CTTGTTGGTTACATGGGTCAGTTTCTCTCCCCGATTATATGTTGATTCATGAGGTAAATACTAATGAACTGTACAGGCGCCATTGACTGCTAACCGAGTGTATGCATGGGCTCATCCGGACTCTTTTAATTTTGGCTTGAACTACGTTTCCAGTTTCGTCCTTCCGCTGCAGGGATTCTGGAATAGCCTTATATACGTGTCTATCTCGTGGCCGGTGTTCAAGACGGCAATATGCGATCTTCGAGCATACTGCACAGTACCATCGATGGATTGGATCAAGATCAGGCTGTTTCCTAGCGGTGTGATAAGCAATGGGAGGGGATCTCGCGGTGCATTTCGGAGCGATAGCACGCAGGAATTGACGGTTTAGATAATCACTCTGATCGGATCATGATGGATGTTATGAGCTACGGATAGTGTTTTAATATTTTTGCTGTGTTATTCGAATAGCGACATAATTTACTTGTCAAGTCTCTCTACACTCCATCAGATAAGATCACATGATACTTCTTATCAACAATACCGTTCGTAGATCAACACCGAAACAATCAACAATCAATCCCACCACTCCTCGACCAAGTCACATTGCCAAGCTCCCAAAAAGAAATAATGGCAGACAACAACAACAGCACCGAAAATGCCAACACCCAACCCCAAAGACCAGCCTCCCCATCCCCACCCCCACCAGCCCCCGTCCCTCTCACCCCGGGCCCCCGCGCGTCGCGTCTCCAACAAGTCTTCGAGCAAGCCCTCGCGCGCACCCTCCGCGCAAACTCCTACTCAAATTTTTCCAGCTGCTTCCCGACGCCCGCGAAACATGTCCCAGCTAGTCTGGAAAGCGTGTGGAGACAATTGAATGCGAAGCTGGAGGAGAGCGCGAAGGCGGAGTTTGAGGATATCGTGCTGGAGCGGGAGGCGGTGAGACAGTTGAATGAGCTGGATCGGTTGGTGGGGGAGGCGAGGTATAGGAGGGATAATGGGGATGATGAGATGCAGGAGGGGGAGGGAGGAGGGAAGAATGTTGCGTATGTTTTTGGCTTTGTTTCTGCTTTCATGAAGTGTGCGGTTGCTGACGGCGGTAGACCTCATACTCTAGGCGCGGAACAGTTGTATCAGGCGCATTTGACTCCGTTTTTGGAGGAGGCGCAGTCGAATTTGAATGAGAAGATTGATACTACGAATGCGGAGAATGCTACTCTGGCGCAGGAGATTCAGGGTCAGAGGGTGGAGATTGAGAATCTGATGTTGAGTCTCGAGTCGGTTGTGGATGATCTCGATGGCGCTGCTGCTGCTGCGACGCAATATAGCAAAGAGAATGATTTGCGGCAAGATACAATACAGATGGATGAGGAGATAAAGGGCAGAACTGAGATCTAAGGGTTTACGGAACACCTGGACAAGCATTGGAAAACCTTTTTGCATTATTTCGTTCGCCTTTTCTTGCTTTATGACGACAGCAAAGCTTCTAATTCTATGGGGCTTGCAAGGCCATCATCCACCATGTCCTCCGCCACCGCCAACAACTCCTTTGGTGCGGCCCTTCTGAGCTGCATAAGCTTGTCCTTCTGACCCTCCAATCCTGCCGCGAAGGCTTCTTTGCACGTTCCGTCGCGCGTTTCTTCTGCTGCTCCATCTCGTCTGGCCAAAGCCGCTGCGCCGCGGTAGTATGTCTGCGCGTTTCGAAGAAGGAGGGATCCGTTTTGCTGGGCCATGGCATATTCCCACGGGGCCGATCCGAGTCTCCATCGGTTCAATTCCACGTCGCCTCTCGCAATGTGGATTTTGGGGAGGTTGTCGGCATCTGGCAACTTAGAGGCTGCTGTCAGGGCGTCCAAGGCAGTGGATAGGGATTTCCATCGCAGGACCAATGATTTCTTGAATGCTTCTGGATCATGCGTGGGAGGGAGGTCTGCAAGTGCAGTGTTGAACGACATGTGAGCATCCGCTTTGCTGCAGAGGCCTTCCGGATCAGCAGATAGATTTAGCTCAGGGCCAAAAGCACGAGTGATTTCCTGGTGATATGTCTCTACCTCGACCCGGCCACTTCGGTAAATGACCTCTGTCAAGGCGCAGATGAATTTGGCGCGGGCTACGGTCGCCTCATATTCTCTACTAGATCCCTCCACATACGCCGGCATTCTGTTCTGAACGAGATCGGAGGAATACTCTTCAACCCAGGCAAGACCGTCTCCAGGGTTGAAAGTGAGCAAATTGCAGAGGGTAGTGAGGGCTTCGAGTTGTGCCACTGCAGTATCAACTAGGGTGTCTTTGGTCACGGGTTCAACCACGGCGGCCCATTGCTCTGGGGTATCCTCAGCAGCGTCGTCATTAGCATCAGACTGCGGTTCCGGTTCTGGTTGCTGCTGCTGGACATCTGGGGCCTGCATGCCACCAAATTCCATCTGCTTGATCTCCTCCTGCATTTCGGTAAAGCGAAGTTCCTGCACCGCGAAACAACGCTGGAAGAGCTCAAGAGCCTCCTGAAGACATTGAACAGCTTGCGTGAGCTGCTGGTCGCTGGGATGTTTGATATCGGAGACGATCTCGGCCAAACTAGTGAGCACCTGGCCGGTGTTGAACAAGACGTCTGCATTCTCTTGATCCAAGGTCAAGGCATCTTTATGCGATTGCAATGCGGCCTGCAACGCCTGGAGTAGGGGAGCCTGCAATTGAGCGGCCAATTTGGGATGTTGGGTGACTTCATATTGAACGCGAGCTCTGCCAGTCGTTAGTTCCTCATGTATTTACCCAGATTAGTTATGGAAACGTGGGAACGTACTTGTTATATGCCAGATCAAAAGACGTAGGATGCTTGCCTAGACCCTGGTCATAGGTTGTAATAGCACGCATGAAGAAACGCAGGGATTTGGCGGCGTCACCGGCGCGCCATTTCTCGCCGGCTTCTTCTTGCTCGACGCCGGCTGGTCTGTCAGCAAATTAATATTTCTCAATGTATAAGATAGAACTAACCAGCTAGGAATTCATCTGCTGTTACTGGGACCTGTCAGGGTTAGAATTTGCGATTCGTTGTTTTGCTGAAGGGTATTGGTTGGTTCACCTGCTGGGCCGCCTTTTTCTTTAACTTGGGTTCTTTAAGGAGAGACTTTGGTTTGGGCATTTTGCCTTTTTGTTGTGCTTGTAAACAGATTCTTAGATGTAAAGTTAAGCTGCAAATCTTTGCGGCGGGGAATGACGATAGTGCCAAGACTACGGTTTTGTATGGACGCTAAGCGTGGGAATTACTATGTACACTGCACACTCAGTTTTGCAATGGGCAATTAAACATCGCTGGCAAATATTTGCTAAATTATCCAGATTCAATTAGGATAACAGACTATTCTGACAACTGACTGGTTAATCACATGATAGACAAACATTCAATTCGACTTGGGCAGATGAAACGCGTGAAACAAAATGATAGTACTCCGTAATCACTGGCCAATTAAGAAAGGCGAGTGATCTGTAACCATGGGAGAGGCTATGGTCCAGTTTCACAGTCCTAATCACATGCTCTTCCAACGTCGCGTCGTCCACAGTGTCCTTATGTTAATCCATAAATGGACATTGGACTGATCAGAAAGACGTGTATTCTGCTCAATAGTAGGAACGCGACGCATACCTGAATCAGACCGAGTATGGTACCTGACTTGCAGGGAAACTCCCTCCGGACTACGATGAACAAGCATTCTGCAAAGAATCTTGGAAATGCGAGTAAGCCTCGGCTTATTTCTTTGCACAGCAGCCAATCAATAGCACCGTGGCCTGATCAATCCCCTTTTCGCGTACAAGGGGTCTAATCACCCTCAGGCTGCCATTATTGGCAAGGCGTAACGCAACATCTCCGGAAGGATTGATTATCGTAAGAAACTGATGATGACAGCAGACATGTCATGAAGATCAGTGCGGACTGGATTAGAAAAAATGCGGGGCCCTTTTTTGGTTATCGAGCAGAATAGAGAAAAAAGACCGTTTTTGGTGGCCCGGTTGGGGCATGGTCAGAGCTTGGTAGGTGGTCACTAGTTGGTGGAGCTGGGCGTTGGGGTCTGCAGGTGCAAGTTCAGGGCACAGGGTGCTCAGAATTGGGTGATCGATACGGAGTAGGGGACTGAGTGTTTTCAGGGTTCTACAAAGACACGTCAAGTGTTACTGGAATGCAGAGTGCAAGTACATACAGCTGTAGAATTTCGATATCACGTGGAATCCCGTGACAAGCTCGCGTGGAAAGCACGTGGCGATGTAACTTTGTTAAGAATTCGTAAAGTAGTCGAGCATGATGCTAGTTGAACATCACTGCTTAAAATGCACTGGTTGAAGAGTACCCAAGCGCGTACAAATTCTCCGTAGAAGACTCAGCCGATCGCAGTGATATGCGCTTAATCAAACTCATTCAACCATCTCCCCCTTTTGTCTCTCTCCACGCCGCCACTTTCTTTCTCCGTCCATCCACAGAGGATTATTGATTGATTTTGGACTATCAATTCGTCAAGGATTGTAATAATCAACACCTCCACTTGTTAGTCCCTCACTGATACAACACATCTCAGACTGCTACTACGTATTATTCATTGTTTGATTGTCTGATACCGGAGAGTCAGAGTGTCTGCCAACCGCCCCACACACTCTTTCGGCGCCTCCTGAGTTTTTCTGGGACGACTTGCATAACCCATACATAACAATCCGGCTATCCCACTTTCTCTTCTCTTTTTCTCTTCTTCTGTCGCTCAACTTCACCTCATCTACTTATTGTCTACTTCCACAGTAGAATACTGTTGCTTCAACCACGTGGATATCAAATCCAAGGTACGCAGACTCATCGGTTCTATCCGTTCCCATCCGCTCCATTTGCTCCATCGCTTTTCTTCAGCGGTGATGCAATGTTTGGATCGGCATATCTTCCATCTTTGTTCTCTTATTGATATCCAGTTCACGAACTATTAAAACTGATTGATAAGAAATTTAGTGGCCTACTGATCTTATCGCATATCGCTATCCACATCGACATGGCCCGTCAAAACTCCTTGGAATCCTCGAGACCCATCATGCCCAACGTACGTCTCATCGCGTCATGTTGGATGAAGCCCTTCAACTAACATCTATCAGAACCGTGCCTCCCAGCGATTCTCCACCGTCAGTGGAGCCACTTCCATTGCCTCCAACGGCGGCTTGCCCAGCGGTGACCCCCGCCTGGCTGAGGTCAACCATGTGCGTGACGGCCTCGAGCGCCTCGAGAACAAGCCCCTCCAGAAGCAGCGTTTCGTCCCCACCGCTGAGAAGACCGAAAGCCTCGACAAGCTGGCCATTGGTGCCAAGATGGAACGCGCGCTCGGCCGCAGAATGACCGGTCAGGATGCCGTTATGCGCAAGCCTGTTATGAGCGAGAAGGCCGCAGCTGAGGCTTCTACTTGAGTTCGTGGGAAAGAATATTTGTCTTGTCTCGATTTTTGATTTGCTCCATTGGGTTCTTTCTTTTTACATCTCTTTTTGTGGTTCTGGTGCACACGACGTTCGATACCTGGTTTCTATCGTTTGATATGAGATCTCCCTCTCATGACCATCATACCCCCGAATTTTCTTGTGTCTTGTTCATTTTTTCCTTACAGCTGTCGATGGCGTTTTTTTTTTTTTTTTTTTTTTTTTTTTTTTTTTTTTTGGTTCCCTTTTTTTTTTTTTTTTTTTTTTTTGATCGATTACGAGATCCCGTTTTGTTTTGAGTCTTTCTGGTTGTCTGGTTATTTGTCTTGTTCAGTAATGGTTTGAAAAATTCGTCACGTTCTTGTCCCTACGACTGTATTTACTGTTCCATGTCCATAAATTGATTTCTGTGTATTTGCTCCCCATAGATACTGCAGTCCTCATACTTGTAAGCGCAGTCCAATAGCAGTGAATGATCAGTCTTTCTCCGCTGTGGCCAGGGCGCTGTCCCAATAGAGCAAGCGGTGGAATCCATGCCAAGACCCGCCGCACTGAAACAGCGAATTTGGTTCACCACAGCAAGAGAAGCTCTCTTTTCCCTCTTCTCTTCCTCTTCCTCCACTTCCTCTTCGTCTTCGCATATCCTCACCCCCTCATATCAGACTCCCTGTATTTGCCTGTCACTCTCGATCTTCCATTGTCCTCTCCGCTCCGGAATTTCGCAATCGTCTCTCATATTGTCTTCATTTCTCGTCTGGTCTTTGCTCAGGTTGGAAATCCGCACAATAAGAATATCTCTTTGAACTTCCTCCAACTTCTCTCCCACACGACACGAACGCTTTTTCCTTGTTATACCTCTCTCTCTCTATCGTTTCCTATCTTTGAGCTGTCACATTGGTATGTGAATTTCTCCTTTCTTGTCTTGCCCGCTTCCGTTTTATCGTGGGTCGTTCGTGTCACTCACTACTCCGCTTCGCTCTCATTCCAATTTACTGACCGGGTTCTCATATATTACAGTTAAGCGTGTGAAAGCTTTTTATTAGATCTTTTGATTTTATCGATATCCCCATAGAGGCTGCTCGACTGTCCATAGACCCCTTGGTCCACGACCTTATTTTTCCTCGGTTATTTAGAACCTTTCGAACTGTCTTTTGTTTTTCTCACGACAACTCAAAAGTTTGCTACTTCAACCATGGTCGACACGACTCAGGCTCCTGTCAACGGCACCTACCCCACGCAGGTGTACGGGGACTCCTACAACCACGTCATGAACAACTCTGCCAACTTCCAGCCCGCGCAGTCGTCCACGCCCTCGAATGCGCCCCCCGCCGATCAGAAGAATGGAATCTCCAAAGACGAAGTCGGTTGGTATTTCGTCGAGCAGTACTATACCAACATGAGTCGCAGCCCAGACAAACTCCACCTCTTCTACTCCCGGCGGTCGCAGCTTGTCTTTGGTACTGAGGCCGAGTCGGTTCCCGTCGCGGTTGGTCAGAAGGTGAGTTGATGCTTCATGTCGCTTGTCCGCTGCCAGCAAAGCCCTGGTTTCTAACCGCTCTTTTAGGCCATCAATGAGAAGATCAAGCAGCTGGACTTCCAGGAATGCAAGGTCCGCGTTTTGAACGTTGATTCCCAGGCCTCGTTCGACAACATCCTGGTCCACGTCATTGGTGAGATCTCCAACAAGTCTGAACCATCCCGCAAGTTCGTGCAGACTTTTGTTCTTGCCGAGCAGCCCAATGGCTACTACGTGTTGAACGATATCTTCCGTTACCTCACCGAGGAGGAAGAGGATGTCACCGCCGAGGAGCCCGCCCCGGCTGCTGAACCACAGCAGCAGCAACCGCAGGAGCAGGAGCAGCAACAGGAGCAGTCGGAGCAGGCTCCTGAGGTCCCCGCGGAGCCAGCCGCTCCCGAGGCTGTCCCTGCTGCTCCCGAGGCTCAGGTGGACAACGAGCCGGCGGTCGCCAAGGTCGATGAGAAGCTTGAGGAGGCTAAGCCTAACGGCGAGGCCGCGGAGGCCCAGGCTGCTCCTGAGATCAACGGTGTTGCTGAAACGCAAGAAGCTCCTGCTGCTCCTAGCGCTCCTGCTCCCGCCGCTGAGCCGGAGTCGACCCAGGCCGAATACCCGCCAAGCCCGGAGCCCACCCCCAAGGCGGTTGTCCACAAGGAAGCTCCGGCACCTGAAAAGGAGGCCCCTGCTCCCGCCCCGGCCGCCCCAGCCGCTCCGAAGACCTGGGCCAACATTGCATCCAAGCCGGGTGCTGCTCCGGTTGTTCCTGCTATCCCTGTTGCTGCTCCCAAGGCCCCGGCTCCCAGCTCTGCTCCCCAGGCTGCGGCCCCTGCTGCTCCTGCTGCTCCTGCTGCTCCTACTGCTCCTGCTGCTCCTGCTGCTCCTACTGCTCCTGCTGCTCCTGCTGCCCCTGCTGCTCCTGCTGCTCCTGCTGCCCCGGCTCTTCAGCCTGCCGCTGCTTCCGCGCCTACCCCCAGCCAGCCTGCCGCCAGCGACAACAATGGCTGGCAAACCGCTGGCCACGACCACAAGAAGACTCAGTCTCGTAGCGGTGACGAACAAGTCTCCGGTTACATCAAGAACGTCACCGATAAGGTTGACGCAAGCTTGCTGAGGCAGACTCTGTCCCGCTTTGGAAAGATCAAGACCCTCGAAGTGAGCCGTCCAAGGGTATGTTGAAAGCTCCACTTTTATATTCTTTTATTCTGGATGTGTTAAACTAATTGTTTGACTTAGAACTGCGCCTTCGTCGATTTCGTGGAGCCTGCTGGTTATGCCGCCGCTGTTGCCGCCAACCCCCACCAAATCGGAAGCGAACAAATCAACGTGGAAGAGCGTCGCGCTCGTAACCACTACGGTAACGCCAACTACGGCCCTCGCGGTGGCGCTGGCCGTGGCCGTGGAGACCGTGCAGGTAGCCAGGGCCGTGGTGGCTTCCAGCGTGATGGCCGTGGTGGTTTCGCTCCTCGTGGCCGTGGTAACTTTGGCCCCAAGGGTCAGGGTCGCAGCCAGACCCCCCAGGCTGCTTAAATCTCTTAATCGATTTTAAAGGGTTGACGGAGCCTATGAAACACGAAAAAGCATTTGATTTCACGAAGCTTATGAAGCTTTTTCCTTATTCTTCTTCTTTTACCTATCTTTCTTCGAATTCTCTGCTATTTCGCCATTTGAATGACGGTTAGCCCCTATTTCTCGTCTTGATTTCTCGATACCTGCTTCGGAGCAAATCTAGGACATGTATTACTCGCGCTTTTTTACTGATAATGACATGCTATGTGGTTCGGTTTTTTCTCCGTTACAGTGCATACTAGCGGTTGGAAAAAGTCTGTTTGTTTTTTTCTTTTCTTTTCTTTTCTTTTCTTTTCTTTTCGTTTCTTGTTTCGTTTGCAGATGTTTTGCCCATTTTGCAGAGCAGGGCACTGATGTGTGATTTGTTTGGGATTCTTCATACCACTTCTTTTCTCTCTTGTTGTTTTTTCTCCAACCGGGTTCTAGCATAGCGAGCTTGAATGTTCGTATTCATACCTTTTCTTCATATGTTTTTTTTTTTTTTTTTTTTTGTTATATAACAATGGGAGTTGCACACATTGCTACCATATGCCAGAGATCTTGATAGTAGATCGGATCTGTTGTTTGCAGAGATACCGAGCTGTACGGAGAAACCGGGCGGGGGAAGAGGGCGGAAAGCGTACAATACGGTATTGCCATGGGTGTAGAGTTAAAAACAGGGATATGATTGGCTCCGCAGGGGATGGGTGGAGAGCGGAACGTTCTAGATGCATGCCTTAGGCAGGAGAGGTGGCGGCCAGACAACAAGAGAAAAGAGGCAAAAGAAGGCAGTGAATGGAACAGGAGAAAAATCTGGAGACCTATGCCAAAGGAAATAAAGGAATTGACCACAGAACACGCTGGAAGATCCTCCATGTACATAGCAAACTACCGGATCGGGTTTAGTGGGTAGCGGAGAGAGTGTGGAAGTTGCTGGATTGCCGTAGAAACTGATTTTCTTTTTTTTTCTGCCAGAGAATTTATTTCTTTCCTGTGCCCGCTTCACTTCTTCCTCTTCCTCTTCTCCATCACTCCTTCTTAAAGATACCATCTCCTGCCTCCTCTTGAAGGTATCTTCTTATCTTCATCTTCTCTGTCCCTGTTTCCTTTTCGTTCCGGGTTTCATTTTGTTCGTTTTTAACTTGTGAGTATCTGCTGTGATAACCCCACCTCCTCCAGTTGAGCTCGACTTGCTTCATCTACAATCTCTGTTTCCTGGAAAAGAACAGAACAGTTGAACACTGGATGAAAAAGCAGAATTCTTTGTTTTGTTCCCTATTCAAAAATTGAACACAAGAGAATTCTGCGGTGGTGACTCAACGTGGCGGGGTAATCAGATACGGGACCTTTTGAGGCTAACAGAATTTTTCCCATCCAGAATTACGCCTTAACGACTTCCTTCATCATGTCTGCCGAAACCTTCGAGTTCCAGGCTGAGATCTCTCAGCTCCTCTCCCTCATCATCAACACTGTCTACTCCAACAAGGAGATTTTCCTGCGTGAACTTATCTCCAACGCCTCCGATGCCCTTGACAAGATCCGCTATGAGTCTCTCTCCGACTCTTCCAAGCTCGACTCGGGCAAGGACCTCCGTATCGACATCATCCCCGACGCTGAGGCCAAGACCTTGACCATCCGGGATACCGGTATTGGTATGACCAAGGCTGTAAGTAGCTCCCATCGATTGTGAATGGCGTGATTGGATCAGGGCTAACGTGGCACAGGACTTGATCAACAACCTTGGTACTATTGCCCGCTCGGGCACCAAGCAGTTCATGGAGGCTCTCACCGCTGGTGCTGATATCTCCATGATCGGTCAGTTCGGTGTTGGTTTCTACTCTGCCTACCTCGTTGCCGACCGCGTCACTGTCGTCTCCAAGAACAACGATGACGAGCAGTACATCTGGGAGTCTGCTGCCGGTGGCACTTTCACTCTCACCCAGGACACTGAGGGCGAGCAGATCGGCCGCGGTACCAAGATCGTCCTCCACCTCAAGGATGAGCAGGCCGATTACCTCCAGGAGAGCCGCGTCAAGGAGGTTGTCCGCAAGCACTCCGAGTTCATCTCGTACCCCATCTACCTCCACGTCCTGAAGGAGACCGAGAAGGAGGTCCCCGATGAGGAGGCTGAGGAGAAGAAGGAGGGCGAGGATGACAACAAGCCCAAGGTCGAGGAGGTCGACGAGGAGGAGGAGAAGAAGAAGGAAGAGAAGAAGACCAAGACCGTCAAGGAGAGCAAGATCGAGGAGGAGGAGCTTAACAAGACTAAGCCCATCTGGACCCGCAACCCTGCCGACATCACCCAGGAGGAGTACGCTTCCTTCTACAAGTCGCTCTCCAACGACTGGGAGGACCACCTTGGTGTCAAGCACTTCTCCGTTGAGGGTCAGCTTGAGTTCCGCGCCATCCTCTACATCCCCAAGCGCGCTCCCTTCGACCTCTTCGAGACCAAGAAGACCAAGAACAACATCAAGCTCTACGTCCGCCGTGTCTTCATCACTGATGACGCCACTGACCTCATCCCCGAGTGGCTCAGCTTCGTCAAGGGTGTTGTCGACTCTGAGGACCTTCCTCTCAACTTGTCTCGTGAGACCCTGCAGCAGAACAAGATCATGAAGGTCATCAAGAAGAACATTGTCAAGAAGACTCTTGAGCTCTTCACCGAGATCGCTGAGGACCGTGAGCAGTTCGACAAGTTCTACTCGGCTTTCAGCAAGAACATCAAGCTCGGTATTCACGAGGACGCCCAGAACCGCCCCACGCTCGCCAAGCTCCTCCGCTACCAGTCCACCAAGTCTGGTGACGAGATCACCTCCCTCCAGGACTACGTCACCCGCATGCCTGAGCACCAGAAACAGATCTACTACATCACTGGCGAGTCCATCAAGGCCGTTGTCAAGTCTCCCTTCCTTGACTCCCTCAAGCAGAAGAACTTCGAGGTTCTGTTCCTCGTTGATCCCATTGACGAGTACGCTTTCACTCAGCTGAAGGAGTTCGACGGCAGGAAGCTCGTCGACATCACCAAGGACTTCGAGCTCGAGGAGTCCGACGAGGAGAAGGCTGAGCGTGAGCAAGAGGAGAAGGAGTACGAGGGTCTTGCCAAGAGCCTCAAGGAGATCCTTGGCGACAAGGTCGAGAAGGTTGTTGTCTCCCACAAGCTCATCGGCGCTCCTTGCGCCATCCGTACCGGCCAGTTCGGTTGGTCCGCCAACATGGAGCGTATCATGAAGGCCCAGGCCCTCCGTGACACCTCCATGAGCTCCTACATGTCTTCCAAGAAGACCTTCGAAATCTCCCCCAAGTCCTCCATCATCCAGGAGCTCCGCAAGAAGGTCGAGGCTGATGGTGAGAACGACCGCACCGTCAAGTCCATCACCCAGCTGCTCTTCGAGACCTCTCTCCTGGTCTCTGGTTTCACCATTGAGGAGCCCTCCAGCTTCGCTGAGCGTATCCACAAGCTCGTCTCTCTCGGTCTGAACATCAACGAGGACACCGAGACCACTGAGGAGAAGGCCGCTGAGGAGGCCGCTCCTGCCGCCGCCACCGGCGAGAGCTCCATGGAGGAGGTTGACTAAACGAATCGCCAAGAATAAAGAAAAAATAAAAAAAGTCTTTAATTGGAAATGGGGACACGAAATGTATCTTCTTTCAACTTTTTTTTTTTTAATTGCTTGCTTTTTTTTTTTCTTTTAATGACTTTTAAGCAACTGTTCCGGTGGTATCCGCATCCTGCGAGTACTGCACTCCCTGGGACGGGACAGGAAAGACATGTGTGTTACGATTTACAACCCGGCGTTTTGAGCGTTTGAATAATTCCATACACAGTACTTCATGTACTTGTTTCTTTACGAAGAATGTTACTTTTTACTGTTCAACTTTGGCTCTCAAGTAATCTCGTAGAAGCTTGTCCCTGTAGACAACATCTTCAAAAATACGATGAAGTTGCACTATTCTAGAGTGTCCCCTGTCGTTTGAACATCACTCACGGGACTTGAAAAGAGAAAGCAAATCAAATTTAATATCCTGAATAGAAATCAGAGCGCTTCCATAACAATTAAAGTCCCAGCAATGAAATATTATTATTGTAGATATAAATATAAATAATGTAAGATCCTATACCTCATACTCCTAAAGAGCATGCATATATACCATTCACCCGCAGAATTCCTGTCTCTGCCAGGTCTCAATCAACCAACCAACCAATCAATCACCACCAGTCCACAGACACATCAGCCAGACTCTGAGGCGGAAAGCCCCAGAAATTAGCAAGCCAGAGGGCCAGCCCTCCAACCACCCCGAAACTCCCAATGACCTGGAACATCTTCCACCCTCGCTGTCTGAGATCGTCCGTCCACCACACGACACCCAACGGGTCGTGGGGCGTTAACCCCATGATGTGGTGGTATTTGATGTTTTGTCTGGTTTGGAGTTGGACGCGATTTCCTCTTGCATTTTCGGGGGAGACGCGCAGTGGTCCGCCGAAGGTGGTGGGTGTTTGGTTGGTGGTGATGGGGACTAGGGAGCCGTCTACGACGCATTCGCTGAGGCGTTCTGTTAGCCAGGCGGCGCGTTCGCCCCGGGCCATTGCTGCGTATCTTTCGCGTTCGTTTTGGAGGCTTCGTTGTAGGTCTGCTGCCCATTTGACTAAGTGCACTTGGGCTAGTCCTTCTTCTCGCTGGGTGTGATCTGTTATTCGTGCTAGTGTGTAATCCAATGAGCCGCTAAGGGCGGGTGAGGCAAAACTGGGGGAGGATAAAGAGTGATTTGGAGAAGTTAATAGTGACACGGAGGAGCTCAACGAAGGCGAACATTGATGCGTCCTGGGTGATTGCATAGGTCGTTGTTGCTCATATTGTCTTTGAACGAGTTTCTTGGATGCAGAATGTCGCATCCAGGCCAAGTGGTCTCGATCAAATAGGTTTTGGACCAGGAGGTTTAACTCAGATGATACCAAGGGTTGAACGTAGTCCGGGCTCATCAAGGTACTGGCGTCCATGGTATCCTCGTCATTGGACTTTGCGGACGACACCGCAAAAGGCATCTGGGATTCAGATGTATCTGTCTCACCTGGAGACTGATTTCCGAAAAGAAAAGGTTTTGCATCAGCAGCTCGAGTTTGTTTTTGAAAGGTGGATTTGAGGGCAGCGATCTGGTCAGACGACATGAGATCTGATTTGGCTATGACTGGAATGACATTCGTGAAATCACAGAGCTTCCTGATACATTCTACGTCTTCTTCAAGGGTATCTAAGATGTATGTGAGCCAGAGCGTAAGGATAAATATGATTTGTGACAACTCACTCTGTGAGATGAGATAGATGATTGCATCAACCTGGGAACCGCCGTTCCCAGCGAGCATGTTTTGAAAGTCAACATTCGAGGAATCCAGAGCTCCAATAGCACGGCCAAGTTGCTGGCGCATGTAGTAAATGATGACCTCAGTCTGCTCAGTACGACTTAACGAAGTCGCGGGTGTGTCGACAAAGCAGAGGTTGCGCTCAAGCACAATGTCGCCCATGCTTTTCCTCCTTCGCAGAATCCGTGAATCCTCCAAATCCGACCACCATGAGGGATACGGCTTGGTGCTCGCATGGATCTCTGACATAGCTGAGCGCATGCCATGAGACTGTGCACGAGACGACCGGCGTCGTCGTGTCGAAGAAGAGGAAGGAGGGAAGGGGTCAACATGTACAATGTGTTCGCATTCTTGCACGATTGATTTGATCAACGATGTTTTCCCAGAACCTAACACCACCGGTCAGTTGCTTTCTCGTTATAATCCAGCACCGTTGTATGAACCTACCAGAAGCGCCAGCCAGGAGCACCTTTAACCGACCCATTGCTTTCCCTCGCTCTGTAAAAGGTCTCCGACTAGGCATCCTAAGACTAGGCATGATTAACTGAGGCATGCTGTCAGTACCAGCTTCCGGCACCTCGCGGCCGTCACTGTCTTCTTCCCCGGAGACGATAGCCTGCTCGTCTGTAATGGAAACATCGTCCAGCGGTTTGAGGGAATGATCCGACAGTGATTTCGGACTGCTGGGTAGCGATGAGGGATGATCATCTGGACTGCTGAGATTAAGCGGTGTCAAGGGACGCGATGAAGCCGGGTCGGAAGGTGGAGGCTGGAGAGAGGAGAAGGAGGAAGAAGGATCGGATTTGAAGTGAAGCAACTCGAATGCCCTGAAGGCTGATCTCCGCTGAGCGGCCTCGGTCGCATCGTGTTCGTTATTGTTATGAAAAGCCGGGTTGGGGGACAGTTTACCGCTGTCCGCTGCGGGGATATCGTCGCATTCGGATGCGGCCAACGTAGCCTGATGAACGGCTTCATCGAGGCTCTGGACGCCGTACATACTATCTCGCGAGGGTTCGCCGTCGTCGGAGTCAGAATCGGGGTAGGGGTCGTGATCGGGGCGTCGTGAAAGAAAGAAAGTCGCGGGGGAAGTAATGCGGGGATCAGACCCCGGCTGTTCGAAGGAGGCCTTGCGGGCACGAGGCAGAGGGACGTCTGGGACCGGAGGCCTCATCGCGAAAACGTGTAGTCGCAAGGAGAATCAGGATGAGGCCATGGAGTGATAGAACATAAAAGGATATGGAAAGAAAGCGGTCGGGGATGGGGGATGGGGGATGGGGGATGGGGGATGGGGGATGTTTGTGCTGGGGATGCGGTGATGATGATGGGCTGAAGCGGTGATAAGAGTGATTGCCTGCCTAATCAGGCAATGTCACGTTATGCCATGTCATGTTACCCCAGGGGTATGCATCCCTTGACATGATATATATGAGTACATACGGCATACACTGGGGATGCAGCTGTCTTCCCCTGACAGCTGTAGTCTACAGGTAAGAACATGTAGTTGACATGACTCGGTATATCTACATATATCTGATCCATTATATTCTCAACTCAGCACATCCTTCGAGTCTTCCTGCGTCAGTGAAGGCCAGCGAGGGTTATTCCGTCAATCGAAGATAAAACCGAAGCAGATATTCATAAGATCGGTAACTAATGCAAGGATATTTATCACATTTGTCCAGTTAAATCTGACATGCAACAACAGCATCTGACTGTGAATTGCTTGGCTATGCTCATGAAGCATTGCATCTGCAGGCATTGCAGAAACTATAAGTGTCAGTCAAATGGACTAATCGTGTGATGAATCCTACTAATGATCTAAACAGTGATAGGACAACCTCCCAAGGAATCACTGTCTGCTATTGGATACAGCCCAGACATCCAAGTCTGCACCGGCTTGAGTTGCATGCATTGCATACCGATCACATCCAAGCAAACCCTAGACGATCATGGAGATCTCTATTCGACTGAGGAGAGGCAATGTGGAGCTATTTGCTGCCTCGGTCTGCTCGTGGCGCGCTCTGAGATTCACTTGAGGGGTACAATGATGATTAACTTAAACTTGGAGATTGCCGTTGGAGGGCGGGAATTGCATTGGTGTACACTGCAAAGTACTGACTAAGTACTCACTGATAGTCCCTCGAATCGGCAGAGAAAAAGAGGGGAAATTATGCCAACCCACGCACAGGAATCCACTTCCACAAATCACCGGACGATGATATCTCCCGATTTGAATAGTGAGACCTTGGTTCAGCAATCTTGTCGAGGCTAGAGGCATACGCGATACTAATCAATGGCTCATGGCTTTGATTTACGTTGACGATATGATATAGCTGACACTAGTATTTCGGAGTACAAGTGGAGCACCCAATGCGCCAGCCATACAATCCACGTCGATATAAGCAGGAGGGTCCAAATGGAGCAGTGGATTCTCCCCGGGTCTGGACTCAAGCGAGTACGAAGAACATAGTACGGAGTACGGAGAGTATCCGTGTGTGCTCATCTGCCAGGAACGACCAGAGACAGCTTGAGTGCATGGATCAAGTGCTTGATATAACAATGTGCGCCGGCGCAATTGGAGGTTCATTGAAGCTTAAAATTGTATTTCTGTGCGCACAGAACCAGGAACGCCCCCGAGTTTCTCCGGAAACCTTTTTCTCATTTTATTTAGTCGGGCTTTTTTCTTTTGCCCCCCCCTCATAGACCGTTATACAGAAGGAGCTGTTAGTGCGACTGCTTTACTCTGTACGCCGACAACGGACCTCGTGCGGCGCAATCATAATTAATATAGAGAAACGACTCTAGACAAGGGTTTGCATAGTTTAGTGTGAGTATGTTAGAGTGCATGTACTTGTAGACCGTCTAAAAGCGGTGCCTCCCGACTCAACTCCGATCGGCAAAGCCGGGCACAAGGATCCGTCTTTTTCTTCCTCATCTTCCCTTGGCTTTTTCGCTCTCTTCTTCTGCGTCCAGGTCCAGCGTCATATCCTGCTCTGGATCATATTCTTTCTGTCTATTTGAATTCGCAACATCGTTGAACATTATGCTTGCCGATAGTCTGTCGCGCTGAGTCGAGGCCTCTGCCTTACTCCGGAGTATTTCCTCTCTTACGCCACTCTCTAGTCTTCTCTTCCTCTCTCTCGTGATATTCGATATCTCCGTTTATATCCTCTTCACTCGTTGTCTCTACCAGTCTCAAAATTACTTTTATACCCCTGAAATGGACCCTGAACCGTCACTATCGTCGTGGCAGGACCATCTTCAAGATGAGTCGCTCATGCCGGCCGCCGACGACGACTTCACGAATTTCCTCGAATTTGGAATGCCTTTCTCTCCCCAGCAACAACAGCAACAGCGACAGTCGCTTCCTCCTCGTTCAGTCCCCGGGAACCCTTCTGTGACGGCTCCGGGCCAGTTCGTTCGCATGGACACCGATGACCCCACCGCTGCTTCGCTCCATCTCCACACGGGCAACACCAGCGCTCATGATGTCTCCTCTCAGGAGGGTCCACCTTCGTCAGGCTTGTCGATGCCCTCCTACTCTGCTACAACGACTGTCATGGCCCCCGGGTTTTATGCCCAGGCGCAGCAGCCCTCCCATTTTCAAGATCACCAGCATTTACCGCAACATCAGCCGCAGGAACCGTCGCAGCAGCCGGCGAGTTCGCATTATCACATTCCTAATGGCCAAGCCATAATCCCTCCGACCCCCAACAGCATTGAACTACACGGCAACGCGGCGCGGTATCCGCAACGGGTGGACGAGTATGAACAGGTTAGAACGAATTCCCCCGCGTAAACCATGGGAGCACAAACTAACACACTGGCATTACACAGGCGTACTACACTCCTCTTATTTCCCCTGCAATGACACCTTTGGAGACTCAGTTCCGCCTCCCAGAATACACCATTCCTGGAGAGTATTTCACCCCTCTCACGTCTCCAGCTCTCGAAACCCAGAACGCCAATTCCAATAACGGTTACCCGTTCTCGCAAGGAGGATCTCAAATTTCCGACATGGGCTTTTTGCAATCCCCCGTTGACCACACCCTTCCTGCGTCTTCAACACCTTCCTCGCCTGGTCTCCTTCGTACCAAACACCGTCGCCATCCTTCGACGACCAATCGATTCTCTGCGCGAGCGAAGAAACAACAGTCGCCGTCTGTGCGGCCCCAAGCGCGCAAGAAATCACTCCTCAGTATCAACCCCGATGAGGTACTTAATGGTCTTGGTCAGGATGATCGGGCCAGGCATTTGCCCAATGGTGGTAGCGGAGGAGGATATCAGATCGGGAGCAACGAAAGTTCGCAAGACTCAGTGTCTCCAGAGCCCCTTTCAGAACCATTGATGCCCCCACCCGCGATCCCTCATGCACGCAAGTCTCCGGCAATTGCTCCTCAGACATCCCAATCACAAGGTAACAACGCGCCCGCAACGCCTGCTATGCTCATGCGCATTCAACGATCACAGCAACAGAGCCAAGATTCGACTGGTCAGTTTACTGGCCAGGCGAAACTTGTGCCGGGTAGCGATTCACATGATGATATTATGACCGATGTTGTCCTTCCCGAGACTTCTATATCTGCTGGGCCCCGTCCAAAGATGACTCGTATCGATACGACTATCCATTCGGGTGTCCCTACACCAGCAGCATCGACCAGCGCGACCCCCGCGTTGGAACCCAAGTCCGCCCCAGTGGCACCCAGTCCGCGATCAGTTGCCATGCCGTCGCCTAGTGGACCGATTGCCAAAAAGTCCGAAACGCCTAAACTTGGTCCATCAAGTAGAAAGCGGCCAAGCCTGAGCTCAGCCCAACCCAGTCCGCAAATACGTCCCAAGATCAGTCCTAATATTCAACCCTTGGCACCACGTGGCGATGGCAAGAAGCCCCCCCCCCCCCCCCCTGTTTTATTTACCATTTGTTGCGATGCTAACTAGTTGCTTCTTATAGGCATCTCGAGTGAAACATCTGCTCTGTATCTGGCATCTAAATCGAATTACCAACACATTTTGGATGGAACACTGTTGCCGGGTGTATCATATCCCGAGACTCTAGCTGAGAATCTGAGCTCGAAACGCACAAACCACAAACTTGCCGAACAGGGTCGTCGGAATCGAATCAACAACGCTCTCAAGGAGATTGAAGGCCTGATTCCCATGGAGTATGCAAAGATGAAGATCGCCAAAGAGGCTGCGGCGTGCAACGTCAAGCCCAGCGACAAGGAGAAGGAGAAAGCCGGAAACCAAGCAATCAGCAAGGCTAACACAGTGGAAATGGCCATCGATTATATCAAATCGTTGCAGCATGAGCTGGCAGGCACGAGGTTAAAGCTGGCGGTGGCAGAATCCCGGCTTGAAGAGAGAGAAGGTACAGAATCAAGCAAAGATGCTTCGCGTTCTGGGTCGAACGAAGAGACTACCACCAATGTTGGATCGACAGACGTTGCCAGTCCAAATGCTCAGACCGATGGAAGTTCTGCGGCTGCGTCTTCATGACACGAAGAGGTGAATGGTTGTTTTTCGCACCGTTAACGTGACACGTCCAGATACGAAGTCATGATATACGGCCGGAGGAAAGGAAAAGTCTGGGATGAGTGCTTAGTTACAATGGGTACGGTTTATTATCGTTGATTCGCAGTTATTCAGGGTGGGTGGTTTTGTTCTCTTTCTTTATTCTTCTTTTTCTCGTTTCTTTGTTTCTGCTTTTTATTTTCTCTCAGCAATATGCAATATCTTTTGGTGCATATGGACCCAGAAGGTACCATCCATTCTAGTTGAGTACCATGTCTTGAATTTGTAATACCAGGTTTTAATGGGCGTTGTTTTGTTGGTTGGCGGTTTGGTTGGGTGTTGTTGTAAATCGTGTCTTCTTTCATGCTGTATCTAGATTCCTTACTTTCTACTTCTTTTACTTTTTATTTTCCATATATTATTTACAGAATGATATTTAGACAATCCAATCGATGGTCATTGGTCCGCTAACGTCTAGGAGTCTGCCTAGGGCTAGTCAGACAAACTTGAAGGAGTGTGAGATAACAACATTGTGCAAATGACTCCAAGTATTCCCTGAGAGTTCTCTGGCTCAACGTATAGCGTCCTCAGTGAATAGGCCCAATGGAATTGACGACTAGTCATTGGCTAACTGACTGGACAAATGATGCCCCAGAATTGAGACATCCTGTATAAGTAATGCACTTTAAACATCATGTAAATTTGATATATTGCTATATAAAGCTCCCTGGGGTATATCTCTCGCTTAAAATCCTTCGAATCCTTCTTGATATTCAACAGTAACTTGAACGGGCATCTGGGGACCAGCTTCCCTCTCCATCGATGCTACTTTTCAAGCTGCCCGATCAGGCAAGGAAGTGCTCTGCGGGCCAGTAGCGGCGGCAGCCTTGAACGATTGCTCGAAATCAGCAATGATATCGTCAATGTGCTCTGTACCGACAGAAATACGGATGCCATCCTCTGTCGTGCCCGAGTCAAGACGCTCTTGCTCGGTGAGTTGCTCGTGGGTCGTTGACCAGGGGTGAATTGCAAGGGTCTTGGAATCTCCGACACTATATACCAATTAGCTTGGCTACTTTTTGTCAGGGAGTAAAGCATAACGTACTTTGCAAGGTTCGAAATCAGCTTGAAGCCGTCAACGAGCTGGATACCGGCAGTAGAACCACCTTTCACCCCGAATGATAGAACACCGCTAAAACCACGCTGCAAGTACCGCTTCGCAGTCTCATGACTGGGGTGATCTTCGAGCCCGGGGTACGAGACCCAGCTCACGTTTTCGTTATTCTGCAGCCACTTTGCAAGGGCGATTGCATTACTTGCGTGTCGCTCAGCGCGCAAACTGAGGGTCTCCAAGCCTAGCAGGAGCTGTTGCGCAGCAAAGGGGTTCAGTGCCGTTCCCAGATCGCGCAATATCTCCACACGGACCCGGATAGCAAAGGCGAGGGGTCCAAAGGTTTCCCAGAACTTCAGACCGTGGTAACCTGCGGATGGTTCGACAAACTGAGGGAAGCGAGCAGCATGCTTGCCCCAATCGAATTTCCCAGAGTCAACAACCACGCCAGCAATGGTGGTGCCATGGCCTCCAATCCACTTGGTTGCGCTGTGGACGACAATGTCGGCGCCATGGTCGATAGGGCGGCAGAAAAATCCACCAGCTCCAAAGGTATTGTCAACCTATCAAAGGTCAGATTCACGGTCTTGTTGAAGTAAGTGAAATTGGTCAGGCACTACTCACCACAAGAGGGACACCCTTCTCGTGGGCTACCTTCGAAATCTCAACGAAGTCAGGCACATTATAACGAGGGTTGCCGATTGTCTCCACGAAGACAGCCTTGGTGCGCTCGTCAATGGCAGCCGCGATATCCTCTGGCTTATCACCCTGGACAAACTTGGTATTGATACCCAGGCGAGGGAAAAGGACCTTGAACTGGTTGTATGTACCACCGTACAAATTGCTAGTCGAGACAATGTTATCACCGGCATGGGCGAGAGCAGAAATTGCCATGAACTGTGCACTCTGGCCTGAGGAAGCTGCTACAGCCGCGACACCACCCTCAAGAGCCGCAATGCGCTTTTCGAAGACGTCGACCGTGGGCTAAATTGGCTAATTGTCAGAGAACTGGGCGAGCATTGGTTCTTCAGAGGACACTCACGTTCATAATCCGGCTGTAGATGTTGCCGAATTGCTTGAGGCCAAAGAGCCTCGCTCCGTGGGCAGAGTCATCAAAAGTATAGGACTAATTGGTGGCCATAAGTATATCGAGCAGTATGAATAATGAAAGTAGAAAACATACAGTGGTGGCATAGATAGGAACGGCACGAGATTTGGTGGTAGGGTCTGGCTCTTGGCTTGAAGATTGAAAGTCAGCGTCATTGTGGTGAATATTGTATTTCAATTGGTAGTAATACGTACCCAGCGTGAAGCTGGAGAGTCTCAAAACGAGGCGGCTGCTGCTGCTCGGAAGACATGATGGGCGCTGGAATGCGGGGTGACGTCTGTTGGACCTATGTACGGTATCTTTACTACTGTCAGGATCGAGAAATCCGGGATGCAGGAAATGCAATACAATATGTAGAATTGAACGAGTACGGAGTAAAGCAAACTCGAGTGGGGGGGGGGGGGGGGGAGCTGTGAGGGTGTGGTATAAAAGCGACGCGGGGAAAAGGCGATGATGGGCGTTGATGGCGTGATCAACTGGAGGAGGGGAAAATCAATCATTCCGTAAATTTTGGAACTGAAAAGGAAATCTATACATAATGGTTATTCTTGTGCTTATTCTGGTGCAAGGCTAAGTGAACTTTGGGATTTGTGTTGGTATTATTGTGGTGTTGTGGTGCTCGGAGGAGAGGAACGATGTTACATGTTACTACGAATTGGCGGTTGAGAAGCTCTTGCGATGGAAAATTATATTATATTCCTGCTATATGAAGCACAAGAAAGTTACCGGAACCTCTTTAACAGAAGATGTGAACCCTTCGGACTACATAGTAATACACGTAAGAAAGTAATGGTGTTCTCGACTCTACATGATCGTCACGTGTCCACGGACCATCTATATCTGTATATTTAATATGATCACCATCGCAGCTCAGCCAAATTCAAGAATCTTCAGGTACTATTTGCATTTCTTTCAGCAAACAACCAATCCGGTGCCTTCCTTTGCTCCAACTGAATCAGATCATGGGGCTCTCTGGTATTCGCCACCAATGGATTTGGATACTTTTTTGACTGGCGGTCAGGCAGACAAAACAACGAAGGAAGTTAGGCTTCCACTTTTTTTGGTCTATATATACAAGAATAACTTTTCCCTCGTTTCTCACTTGAAGCGTTTTCTCTACAAGAAACTACGACGAATCATTTCAAAAGACTTGATTTGTCCGGAATCCTGCAAAGGTACGCCGTATGCTGCACAGTTGTCACATTGCCATGTCACAGAACGCAAAAATGGCCCTCTTGTCAGCTTAACGGGTTTTGAAAGGAAACCTGTCCTCGAATATTTCCATATAAATATCCTTGTTGATATTTGATAGCTGACTGACTGTCAAACAGCTTTTCAAACCTTGCATCATTGCACGCTCTTACCCTATTTAAGGAAAAAAGGCCCTCCATATTCTAATCCACAATGGCCCTGAGCTTTCCATGGATCTACCCCGTAAGGTTCGCGCAGTTCATCTTTGGCATAATAGTCCTCGGTTTAACGGCATATGGTGTGTACCAACCACCCTATAATTGTGTCTTTGTGCGCCTTTTCTAACTGCCCTGTAGTCGTCAGTTTGTGGTGGGCGTCCGGCTCAACGGTTAATTTCATGCTATTCAATGGCGTGTGGACACCCTTCGTTGCCGTGCCTTTCCTTGTTTTAGCGCCGACCTACTTCCCAAACCTCGCGCATCGTCTCATTCTTGTCGGGGTTGAATTGGTTACCATGATCTTCTGGTTTGCCGGGTTTATTGCCTTGGCTGTTGCGCTGCCAGCTGCTAGTTATTGCCATGGAAGCGCCTGCAGCTGTCTTCAAGCCGCGACGGTGTTTGGAGCTTTTGAATGGTACGTTTATGCTGCGGCAATGACATGAGACGTATAGTTAACTGTTAGCAGGGTTTTATTCGCAATCACATCGGCGACAGCGGTCATGGGAGTTATGCGGTCCGGTCCCAGTGGGAAGACCGCCAACGTTGGTGTCTAGCAGACCGCTAACAGGGACAACGAACGCCATGATGATGAGATTTGGTTTGTGATGTCATGCACTACAGGCGGTTCCAGCCTTACTACGCGCATGACCACGATTTGACGATTTGCTTTGAGCCGCAGACTGCTCGACGACTTACGATGGAAGTGTGCATGTTTATTCTATTAACTCTGCTTTGCGCAATTCTTACTGCTATGAATGATACCCAGTTTGTTCATACTGTACGGGGTATGTAAGGGATTGTTAATCCTCTTCACTGCCATGATTATTTGAAACCATTGATGTGTCTTACCTCAGACACTGCGCCTTGCCACCCTGTATCACCATGGTCTTGGTAGTAGAGGTCCTATAACTGGACGAGAGTTGAACATGTTATGTATTCTGTATATGACTCGAGCATCGTCGGTTTCCGTTCCCGACTTTAACCGCCGGAGGAATTTCGCCGTCGGTCGGCTCGGAGTCTGCCGGGAGTCAGATGACAACCAAGCTATACCTGATGGAGCAACCTATAAGACTCCTTTTAGATAGATTTCCTCTTTCCTTTCCTCCCCAGATTCGATATTCTCGTCGATGGCTACAATAGTTTAGATAGGAATTCAGTTCGTTAGTATCTACTATTCCGAGCCCGTGACACACTACAGGTTGATTATACAGTTTAGGCACGTTGAGAGGTGGATGAAATGGCCACCGGATGTTTCTCCAGCATTAGAAAATGAATGGACACTAACCAGGCTTTTTATGTATGAAAAGAACTGGAAGCATATCTGACTGAGCAAGAACAGCCAGATGGTGTTGAATCATGCCAACATTTGGGTTCTTATCCACCTTATGATAGTACCAATGCCAGGCTACACTAGCCCAGGTTTCACGGTCCTGTCGGCCGACTACGATGGCCATGTGGTAGCAGGCCAGATCACCAAGACATTTAATCCAGGTGGGCTCAAAGGCGGGGGGTGTTCTCCAACAAAGAAGTTATCATTAAGCCAAATAAAGGAATGTAAGCATGTGCTCAAATGAATCTGGAAGCTGAGGTGCAACAATTCAAGAAACGAGTGGATGCCATAGTGCTACATCTGAGCCGGCATGGCATACTTCTTGAGTAACTGTTTCCAGACCAGGCTCGCTGACAGATTCTGCGAGGTGAGGAAGAAGTTATGATGCTCATGGAGCAGGGTCCAGTGCAAGGAGACAACGGCCTGCCATTGATGGTCTGACAGCTCATTTTGTGATTCGGACTGCTATCAGTAAACCCAAATCCCTCCCCAGTTCTTGCATTTCTCATTTATCCTTGGGTACATTCATGCCGCTCGACAAAGGAAACAAAATTAACAACAACAAACCTATCTCGATCAGGAACTACTACCGCTTTAGTGCCACACACCCCAAACCGTTAGCTCTGTCAAGACAATTGTGGACAAGGCACATTAACCGCATATCATGTCATCTGAGCCTTCGTCTCGGCATAGCAAAGATCTCGACGGTCACCCACTTCAGACATCACTCAACGCCCGACTCCATCATCACCATCAATCTCCTCGGGAACCCCCTCCATCTCCTATAACGACGCCACGATCCTCCTCATACATTATCGGTTTCACCTTAAGAAAGTAGCCACGATTTGAGAATCCCTGTTAGTACAACTCAATGCCATTCGATGTCAGACAAAGCAGGACGTCTCTTCTGAGGCTTCCTTCGGCTGCCTTGTATCAGCGATTTTATACTGGAAACCGACTGAGAATAGCGAACGGACTCCTTGAGGTCCAGCGTTATCTGATCATCCAACTTCTTGTCATTACGCGCTTGCCAGATTTTCTTAATCGCAGCCTCCACATCGCCCTCACTGTAAGCAGCGATTGCCATGGCAGCTGCTAGGTATTGCGCAGGTTTTCGATAATAAGGTCCTATCTTTTCCTCATTGAAAATACGAGACCGTGCTACCTTGTTAAAATAATTTCGAAAGGTGGAGTACTCATACTCCTTAGCTGTCTGGGCCATCGTCCAAATCTCAATGATTGGAAGCCTGTACAATCCCAAAAGCTTGGCATAATGGTTAGCTTTCTTATTCATTTGGAGCCTGCTAATGAGCAAGCGGCGCAGGCGCAGCTTTCCATTGTCGTCCAAGAGGCCATCGTAGTATTCACGGATTGTTCGTATGACCGCTTGATGTTCAATCGTCTGATACCCCGGGTTTGTTCTTGAGTACTGTTGCATTAAATACTTCATAGACCAGGGCGAAACCAGTCCCCGGATAGTCCTTCCATAGCCACCGGTCGCTTCTGGGAAGTCTTCATCAACAATGAGGGGATGACGCTCCCTCCAGGCGACTATCTCCGGGTCATTACCGTCTATGAAACCCGCTTCAAACTTTTTTCTATTCCTCTTTGGATGAGGATCAGAGGCCAGTGCCGTTGGCAGCTTGTTGTAATTATCTTCGTAGTGGTTCAGGCTGTAGCCAGTCCTTTTCCAAAACTTTTCCTGCGATTTCGGGTCGCTGAATACTGGTGACGATCCGTAGCCTTCTTTGATGTTAGCAGGTAGACAGAGTCTGTGCATCTCGGCCACTATCGCGGTTGTCAATTCCCGATACTCGCGGGACGTGTCCTGGTCCGAAGCCGGTGGGAGAAAGGGTGGCTCTTTCACCAGCTCTGATATTGCGGCCGATGAAAATAGCCCCCCAGCGTGTCTCTGCGAATGCAACCATACATACCCGAATGAATCCTCTTCCGTTTCTGCTGCAACAAGAATTGCCGGTGTCAGATTTCTCCCTTTAAATTCTGTGGTCTCCACCCAATGACCGGAGAAACACGATGTCATAAACATAGTGGTCCTGATGTCTGGGTACTCCGAGAGAATAGATGCGACATGGCTTGGTTTCAGGTACTTTCAGAGTCATCATTCATAAACAGGTCAACACCTAGGCATAAGCCGCCGGCGGAATCATAATCGCCGTGTGAAAAGATCATGATGAGTACGTGATCTCCAGATTCTGCGGCATCGGCCATAGTATTCCTCAGTTGCTGCAAGAAAAAGTCTCGCAGGTCGGCTCCTTTTGGTCCGATCGTCACCTTTGCCAAAACCCGAGGTAGCAGACTCTCATCGAGTACAACTTTTCTGGTTTCGAACGGATCCCCGTGGATGAATCCGGACGCCCATTTTGTTTGCACGGGCTTCGTTACCTGCGGTCCTTCGTCATCAAATACTTCCATCGTAACCTTGTCTTGTTTGCCATATTTCTGCACAAGATAATCGGGGGGCATTGATGTGATCCATTTTTGGTCTTTTCCCATGCCCTCGAGGACATGCAGCCACATGTAGAAATCGGATACCATCCACCCGTCACCCAGTGATGGGCTTGCTGCCCTTGAGGTGCTGGACGGTTCGTCAACACCAAGAACAGAAATGACGCGGGTTTGCGGTGTTACATTCGGGGCATTTTGTGTGTCTCGTGTTGGAATTACAGGATCGACTTTGAGCCGTTTGGCTGCGAATTTCGCATGCGCCATGCATACTTCTCCGGCTTTATCGATATCCCCATGATGTTGCTCTAGCTCGCTTTTCGCGTGCGCACGATCAATCTTGTATCTTTTCATGAGTAGTCGGGCGAGATATTCGGTTTTAGCGTCTTGCAAGCTATCCCCATATCCATTGTCGATAATATTCTGAACTTCTTCCCAATGTATTTCCTTCCACTCCCTCATCAAGGGCACGATGGCGTTGGCAATTTCTCGTCTCTCAATGATGCCATAAAGACTGGAGGTATCACTGACCGCGATTCCCTCCTGTGCGCAAATATGCTCAACATTTTCCGGTTCGAGGAGCAGAAGGTATGCTTGCCGGGCAACTAAGGACGCTTGTTCCGAGATCTCGCGTGTCCCACGCGCACCATCTATCATGTCGGTAATGGATAATGAAGGCTGAAAATATCGGGTTGCTCGTGCTCGTGAACAGCTCAAGACAATCTGCAAAATGGCTCGCTTACCATCCACTTCAGTGACCTTGGACTCTTGCATCAGACGCTCTAGCGCATGCAGAACGTTGTCTGGTGGCTTGGTATTCGAAAGATACTGTTCGGCAGACACACGGTCGATATTGACAAGGCACTGGAGCCTAACGAAACATTCCAACTGCCTGCCTCTGCCGTGATACATTCCTTCCGCCTTTGCTTTCAGAAATATCATGTATATATCCTCGTGTTCCGGAGTGTCGCCTCTGAGGAGTCTCCTGATAATCTTTTTCAGTTCCTTCTGGGGTAGCTGGGTGAGCTCACCCGCCTGCTCCAGCAGGTCTTCAGATACCTTCTCCTTCTTGAGCGCCTTTCGCAGCATTTTTTTGTCGTAAATCAGCAGGCCTAGAGTTGAAGACAACAGTTTGGTGCTGCTGTAGCTGTAGAATGTAGAAATTTCAGAGGCGAAAAAAAAGATGGAATATGGATGATGCTCTCTCTACTACATACTCTCGAAGGAAGTAAATCAGTCCGCCGGAGCGGCGCGGATAAACCATAGGGCCGTATCTCCGAGATGAAACGGATAAACCAATGAAGCGGTTAAACTCTGTGTCGGGGAAGTCGGGGAGTCGATTATCCGGACTGCACGAGGTTATAGGCGAGGAATTTAAATTACACTAAAGAGGGTGACATTGACATCTATAGACACTGTAGATGGTAGAATGAGTGCTTAGCCATCTAAAGCGTATGGCTACGGTGTTCCTATATGAGGAATCTGTCGGACTCGGTAAGCGGGTCAACTATTAATCCGTCTTGACTTTCATCACGAGAAAAAGCATGCAACTGTGCAAACTTCCTCATCAAAATTGCAATGAGTCAATTGCTCTGCGTATTGACTTGTATTATACAAGTGTTAAGACGTCAAACGAATAAACGAGGTTTCAAAATATCATAATTGATTCCCGTCTTGATGCCATGCAAATATGTATAACCCTCTACTGCCAAGACAAAAGCCCTATATCCAGACGCCAAATAGGGTAAATGTATATCCATGCACTCGATTTCAATAAAAAGATCCTCTAGAATGCTCTTCCCCCTCCTCTTCACCTGTGGCCTCCTCACAACCTCCCAACCAGTAGTCTCACTAGTCCCATTCCGACCAGCACTAGGCGATGATGATGCAGTAAGTTCCCCAACCCTTCAAGGACCGGTGACAGCAGGCCGTCGCACCACGGATGATCCCACTTCAACTTCTCGCTTCTGTCGCGATAGATTGTTGTGCTCTTGTTCGTGTTGTTTTTCCACGGCAGCGCGCGCGGCCTGCGGTGATCTGCGCTTCGATTTCCATGTGACAGTTGAATTCTTGTTCTGTGACACGGTATTCACGTTGCGAGTAGTCTTCTTCTTTGACAGAGTAGAAGACGCCGCTGAGTTCTGCGAGTCACTGCTTAGAGAGATGTTAGCTTGGGGATGGTTGTAAAGAAGTTGAGAAAAAGCGCATGACTTACGTGTGGACCCACTGCTGTGACGGTCGACATGTACTCTTTGACAGTGAGGATCAATTCATGGTACATCACGTACTCAGGCACATATCTTTCACGGGCTCGGACTAGTAGATACTAATGAAATGATATTCCTATTTAAACTAGTGTAGCCATCGACGAGAATATCGAATCTGGAGAAGAAAAGGAAAGAAGGAGAAAGGCCTATCTACATGAAGAAATTTATAGGAGTTGTGCGGCATCGCTAAGCAGCCGTTTGTCTTAATTGTTTACATGGCATCGTTTGCCATGTTGATGTTGCTTGTCGATAAAGGCGCTGCGCTGAGCCGTCACACTGGGGAAGGTTTCCTTCAATTGACGTCCAGTCAAAAGTTCAAGGCTTATATTCAAAGTCGACAAGGAATGGAGAGGCATCAATGGATTCTGAAGACAGTCTGGCTGCAACAAAATCAATCAATCAATGGTAGGCTTCAAGCATTGGTTACTTTTCTAGTTTCTGACTCGTCTGCATTTAACCAGCAACTGAGTATACGTACTCAATTGGCCTTGTTTCTTTATTCATTACCTTATCAATCCCACTTGTTTACGGAGTCTGGCGGGGGCGATATACCCAGCGACCCCAAGGGTCATTGAACACACACATCTTGGAAGACACTTAGGGTAAGTGTCTTGTCTCGAATTACAACTAACTAGAGCCCTAGGTACGATATGAGAGAAGCCAGTTTGTGGCAAAAGATTAGCCAATGCTTAATTATATTTCATAATGGTGACTCACCAACTTCATATCTTTTTTTAAATGGCGGGGGAAAACTCTCTGTATTTCCTCACAGTAACAGATTCTCCAGTACTGCACTCGAATGAGGAATTCTGACTGACGCTCAGCATCATGGGTTTCAATATATCAATGCGAAAAAACCTTCAATAACATTTATACTGAGGTTTCTAAGCCAGTAGCTTGTATCTTTGGGCTTGAGAAGTGCACAGAATCTGGTAAAGTGGTAATACCACCATAATGTAAAACGCACATGTCGAAATTTACTCACATGAGGTTCAAGCTGATTCTTGTGGATTCTGCAAAGTCTTTTTCTATTTTCTTAAGGGGTCCTCGAACAAGCTGGTCCAGAACTCAGGCGACCTATTGGTCCGATGCTTGGACTTGATATCTGTTAACTTATAGACCGTTCGGCCAAAAAGGTACCAAGGTGACCCATTCAACCGAATTAGTCATTAAGTATTCATGTTAACAATAGTTATTGGCTTATTGCATTTGGTAGTTACAGTTTCTAGGTTTCATAAGGTCATTTTGATTGAGCCAAAGAAGAGAAGACAAAGAACTCTGGAAGCTGTGTTTGAAAGGAAAAACATAATGTACATGAAATCAATTTCTGGGTGTTTTGGTATTCAAGCCATGATGGGAGCGCTTTCCAATATGAGACTATGGATAATTAAGGTGTACTTGCGGCGTCGCCCGCCAACCACTTATCCGTGCTTGGCGGGCGACACCGTAATGAAAAATTTTCATACAAATGCGACTACCTCTTTTAAATCATCATTTATCAACCACCACCATGCCTAAAGCATGCGTACAAACTGAGCATCAGCTTCAAGATGCTATTGTCGCGTATAAACACGCACAGAACCCCAAAATTAGTGATATTGCGCGTGAATTCCATGTTGATTATCAATGCCTCCGTCAACGCCTAAAAGGAGTTCCTTCCAGGTTCCAAAAAAATACCAGTCAACTATACCCTCAATAAACACCAAGAGAATGCCCTGCGGTCTATCAACTTGATAGGGTGGGATGCCCCCCCCAATGCCCAACAAGTTGAAAAATGTGCAAATTCATTCCTCCGGCGCAACCATACTGATCCCCGATCAAAACCCCTAGAATTTGGCCAAAACTGGGCATATCACTTTATTAAACGCCTCCCTAAGGAGTATAAACTCCAAAAACAAAATCCCATTGATCCAAAATGCATGAATGCTGAAGATATTAGTGTTATTGAGGATTGGTATGACTGCCTGGATGCTGCTATGCGCTGACATCAAATTCAACCAAGTGATATCTACAATTTTGATGAAATTGGGTTCCTAGAGGGGCAGGGGCGTGTAGAGAGAGTTGTTACTCAATTTCCTGAGCAAAATGAGACTCTTCCTTATTTTCACGGAGTTTGATCACCATATTGGAGTGTATATCTGCAGATGGATCAATCCTCCCTCCTCTTATTATTCCACCTGGGAAAGTGTGACGGCTCGACGACCAGGCAAACAGTGCCAACATGCCAAAAGATGCCATACAAGCAATATGGACAAACAAGGGCTCAAGCCGCATCGCACAAAGGTTTATAAAGACTGTACTCGCCAGATAGATTTCCTCTCCTTTTTTCCTCCCCAGATTCGATATTCTCGTTGATGGCTACAATAGTCAAGATAGGAATTCAGTTCGTTATTATCTTCTATTCCGAGCCCGTGACAGAAAGGCCATATGGAAGACTGGTATACACATGCTGATCTACCATTAAACTGGGGCATTCATCCATCACCATCTGGCTACACATCAGATGAAATAGCATTTGCATGGATCCAACACTTCCATGAGAATTCAAGGAGCGGCAGGTGAATTTATCAATCAATCAATCTATCTATCTATCTATCAATCAACCTAACTAATATGAATTAGACTGGTAAATATCGACTACTCCTCTTTGACAACCATGGATCCCATCTCAAATATGAATTTGTTGAATACACTGAAAAGTATCAAATTGTCCTTATTACCTTCCTGTCACGGGCTCGGAAACTAGCAGATAAAACGAATAATATTCATATCTGGACTAGGTAGCCTAACAACGAGAATATCGAATCTGGGGAAGAAGAAGAAAAGGAAATCTATCTAGGCGATGAACGGACTTTATAGGCATTTGTGTGGTACGGCTTAAGCCCTTGTTTGCCCATATTGCTTGTATGGCATCGTTTGATATGTTGGCGCTGTTTGTCTGGCGTTGAGCCGTTGAGCCGTCACAATTCCCACCACATACAACCCACTTTCTACAACCGCTTGATGGCATCCCTTTCAAACTATATAAGCATTATCATGGTGGTGATGTTTGTGAGGCAGCAAAAGATGGGTATGATACTTTTGAGAGGCAGGAATTCCTTGCAAAACTTCCTAGTCTTCAACAAATGACATTTTCTGGAAGAACAATCCAATATTCATTCAAATCATGTGGCATATTTCCTTTTGATCCATTTATTGTTTTGGATCCATTAAAAAGGAAGCTGCCTTTGGACAATGAGAATCCTCTGGAAATGTGGTTTGGAGAAGGGAATGGGCCTACTGGGAGTCCTAAATCTACTACTCCATCATCAATTACCTCTTCACCAAAGACACTCCAGCGCTTTCAGAAAGATATTAAGAAGGTGCAGAGAGGTCTAAATGGTATTGAAGAGGCTCTAGACTCTCTTTCTCCTCATCTTAAAGGGCAGATCGATCGAGTTCTCAGTGGTGGGCTTTTTCAAGCAGAGGCTAATGCCCATCGTGAGGAAGAGGTTAATAGGCTTTTGACCTCTGCCAAACAAAGGAATAAGCCTCGATCTCGCAGACTAGTGAAAGGTCCTGCCTCATTGAGTGATACAGGCTACTTAACTGTTAAAGATGCCAAACACCATATTAATAGGCGTGTAGAGAAGGAAAAGCATCAGGGTCAGGGTAGGAAGCGGCGGCATCAGCAGGATGATAAGGAGAATACCCCCGTAAATACTGCAGATAATAGCTAAATTTTATATTCCTATGATAGAGTAGGACCTAGATTATATAGAAATTAATTCTTTTTATCTGATATTCCTCAATTTATAGAGTAAATGGCATATAAAGATGATGGGTTGAATTTCGATTTTCATTACGGTGATATTTTCATTACGGTGTCGCCCGCCAAGCACGGATAAGTGGTTGGCGGGCGACGCCGCAAGTAAATGTTGCGGGTGAGTGTATTTGCTTTTACCTGATTAGTACAATTTTACCAGTGGCCGCACTAGAGCGGCGACGCCAGGACGGAAATGCCACGAAATGTACCTCAAACGCCACGACGTTCTGTGGCCTTTCCGGCGTCACCCCGAGTTACTCCGTAGTATGAATGCTCTTTTGTTAGTAGGTCAATGCTGAACAGCTTGACTGCAGTCTACTCCGGAGTACTTACAAGTACTGTACTCCGGAGTAGGTACTGTAGATGGAGACATGTCTTATCAATGCATGAAGTTGCAGCGGAGAGTCTTTCACGAGCGAACGAAAACTCTGTTCGCGGAGGTTTATCCACATTATTCCTTCGCCCTCGGTCCACCTCCGGTAGGGCACATCTATGCTCTGTGCCATCAGAACTCCGGTTCTATTATCAGAATTAACCACTAGAACTGAAAAATTCTGTTAGACTATCTTGTTACTCATACTCAGCCATGCTTATCATTCGATATTCGCCGTTGTATCAAGCATTATCCATTATCTGAACTATGACTGTCAAGAACTACGTTGATCCCCCTAATACCCGTCCATTACTACAATACAAGTACTGTTCAAACCCCTCAATTACTTGACATTTATTCTCGCAGTTCGCATTGATTCAGTGTCCTTATATTATCGTTTCAATTCACGGTGAAAGTAACGGTTACGGTTGATTCGATTTGATTTCCCCACATTGTACCAGACACACCGGTAGGGAAGAGAGGGCAAAAAAAAAAAAAAAAAAGTTTCTGCCGGATTGACGGCTCTCGGTGGAGCTAGCGTTCTTCTTCGCATTCGCCGACGCGACAGCTGTTTCTTTCCTCTTCACTTTTACCACAGAACTTTCTTTCCTTCTTCTTCTTCCTCAACCTCTATACGAATTCCTACCTGGTCATCGCGCCCATCGCGGACCAGTATGGGCGCCGAGCAAGACCAGTTCTCCGTTACATCGAAATCTGCTGCGGAGAAGGGCAACATGGCCGGTCAAGACCCTATTCAAGTCGATGCCCATGGCTACAAATCTCAAGAGTTGAGCAGCGTCGATGTTGAGAAAAATGGCACCAATGGAGAAACCGAACAAGCACCAGAGCTCAAGCGAAACTTGAAGAACCGCCACTTGCAGATGATAGCTATCGGCGGCACTGTTGGAACTGGTCTTTTCATTAGCAGCGGTACTGCCATTGGCCACGCCGGTCCCGTTGGTGCCGTGATCGCCTACCTCTTCGTCGGAACGATTGTATATTCGGTTATGGCTTCACTTGGTGAACTGACGACTTATATCCCTGTCGCCGGTGCATTTACGTCTTATGCAACTCGATTGATCGATTCAAGCCTTGGGTTTAGTATGGGCTGGATTTACTGGTGGTCCTGGGCTTCGACATTCGCAGTGGAATTGACGGCAACGGGCTTGATTATCCAGTTTTGGGACAAAGACATCAACATCGCGATTTTCATTGCAATTTTCTGGGTTGTCATCTTGCTGCTGAATCTCCTGCCCGTCAGTTTTTATGGTGAGATTGAGTTCTGGTTCTCCACCATCAAGGTGATTACGGTTCTGGGCTTTATGATTTTCGCCATCTGTATCGACGCCGGCGCCGGTAGCAGGGACTATCTAGGGTTCCGGTACTGGGTACACCCCGGTGCTTTTGCTCCGTACCTTATTGAAGGCAACGACTCATTGGCCAAGTTTGTCGGTTTTTGGTCTGTTTTGATCCAAGCCGGTTTTTCCTATCAGGGCACCGAGCTCGTCGGTATCGCTGCCGCCGAGACCGAGAATCCCCGCCAGACTGTCCCGTCCGCCATCCGCAAAACGTTTTACCGAATTCTCTTTTTCTTCGTCCTGACCATCTTCTTCATCGGTCTGCTAGTGCCCTATGACAACGGCGACATGACCAAGGACGGAAACAACGCTGATTCGTCTCCGCTTGTCATTGCGGCCAAACTTGCCGGAGTGCAGGTGCTGCCTCACATCATCAATGCGGTTTTGTTGACTGTGGTGCTTTCGGCCGCTAACTCGAACGTCTACAGCGGTAGTCGTATCCTGCTTGGTCTGGCGAATGAAGGGATGGCGCCCAGATGGTTTAAATACACCACCAAACGTGGTGTGCCGTGTTACAGTGTGGTATTCACCTCTCTCTTTGGTTTGCTCGGGTTCTTGAACATGTCCAATTCGGGTAGCACCGTCTTTACCTGGTTGACCAACATTTCCGGTGTGGCCGGTTTCATCACCTGGGCATCATTGAACGCTTGTCACATCGCGTTCATGCGGGCCCTGAAAGCGCGCGACATCTCGCGTGACTTGCTTCCGTACAAGGCAGCCTGGCAGCCCTGGTATTCCTATTACGGACTCTTCTTCAACGTGTTGATCATCTTAACTCAAGGGTTCACATCCTTCATCCATGGGTTCAACGTGACAGACTTCTTCATTGCTTATATTAGTCTGATCCTCTTTGTCGTCCTTTATGTGGGACACAAGATCATCTGCCGATCGTCTTTTGTGAGTCCTCACGAGGCGGACATCGACACGGGCCGGGAACCCTTGGCCAACGAGACGTGGGAAACCTCCGACCCGGCCGCGGTCCCGTGGTATATCAAGGGATACCACTGGGTACGGCGGTTCTAGTTGGTTATTTCTATGAACATACTTCCTTTTCTTTTTTTGCTTTTCTTTTTTTTTTTTTTTTTTTTTTCTCTCTCTCTTACAAAGTCTAATTTTCTCCGACTGCACTTCATTTTATGCTTTGATGTCAATGCTTTTCTTCATTTACTCCGAAAGAAAAGCATACGGTGTTTTTACGAGTATGAATAAGCGACCATGAAATCTCTTACTATCATCTTCTCGACTCTTTTTCTGTTGATTAATATTCGATATTCGACCATGTTGTGATGTACATAGAGCGCGCACATGAGGGGGTTTGTTTTATTCTTACTTTGCTTTACTTTACTGTTGTTGAGCCATTCAGGCAAAAGGAGTTAGGTTGCATTTCCGGCTGAGGGTTCAGTCATTGTCAATCTGTTTGTATGTATTTGTGCATCTAGCAAACTTCAATCAATTCAAAATAATCATTGAACCGATATTCATTACTTTGGAAGAATATATATAGCTAACGACTACTCGTGATTTCGCCCGCCTACTACTTATACTGGAACGTCAGTATCAATATTACCGCAATGAAAACTCCATACATTCATTTCCTTTGGTATTACAATGATTTCTTCGTCTGATATCATTAAGACACAGAATACATAATACCGTTGCCGTGCATAAAAAACTAATATAGGGAGTTTTACATTGTGGTGACGTTGGGATACTGGCGTTCCGGTGTAGCGCGGGTAAGTAGCAGGCGGGCGGAAGTCGATATCTTAGCTGGCTTACGAACGGAGCATCTACTACTTAAGAACGAATATGGAAAGAAAGTAACGCTATTACTTTTATTCATAGAACTGCAAAACGGAATCAATCTCATGCGCGCAATAAGTAAGGATAAGCATATATGTAGAGCCTAGACGAAATGAAAAATGGGAATAGAGATACATGCTAGGATGTTTAAACCAAACAAACAAAGAAACGAAGTTGCATCCATCAACCAGCCCAAACAAGAAAGAGAAAGAACGCGAGAAGAGAAATACACAGTGGTAGAAAAGGTAGAAGAAAAGAGCACGTAAAAAGCCGACCACCCAGCTAAGAAAAAGAAGAAAAGAAGCCAACAAACCCATAGAATGCAGGGGAAGCTATTGCGAAGTAAAAGCAAGGTAGAAAAGGAGAAAAGAAGAGAAAAACACAAACAAACCAAGGCCTGAATATGAAATGCCCGCATCCAGGATTTCGAAGACTCCGCTGGTGCGTTGGATTAAGCAGCGATTATTGGAATATCAACCACCCAATAGCACTGGAAGAAGCCCCGTCCTCATAAAGTTGCAATGTGTAAAATCAAATGCCTTCCACAAGGAGCACAATCGTCCAAACGCCAAATGTCCAGTCCGGAGAAAGGAATCGTTAAGAAAAAGACGAGAGTTTGTACAGCGAATTCGACGATAAAATTCGTATCAGCACAGTAGCTGCACGCTTCAATGCATGGTCTTTTTGTCGTATTTGGTCATAACAAGCGCAAGGCACTTTAGCTGCCCTGACCAGGTGGTGGTGGTTGAGATCCTGCCTGTGCTCCGCCCATCATGAACCCCGGAGGAAACATGGGCATTCCTGGGAAGGAGAAGCCAAATCCAGGTACTGCCGGGGGAACACCAACGTTGTTCACATTGGCGGCGTCACGGTCACCCTGGCCGCCAGGTCCAGGGGGGTTCTCACGTTCTGGGCGACGGAAGCGATCCTGCTGAGTGCGAGAAGAGACTGGTCCCCGTTTGCCCCCAGTGTCGGTTGCAATGCGTCTGCTGATGGCTATAGAGGAATCTGATCAGCTAATGACTCAATAAAAATTGAAAGAGAGGCAGCTTACCTTTGGACGAGACACCGGCACCAATCTCGATATCTGGCTCCTCGACGACCATGCCACTCTCCATAGGTCTGCCACCAGTTCCACCATACTCCGCAGTAAGCAGCCACTTGCGGTCCGCCTCTGTGAGTCTCTCGATCGGAATGATACTGACACCGGTCTGGTAGTCGCTGCAATCACGTGGACCGAATCCCACACCCCATCGGGTCTATGAAAACAAATGTCAGACATGAATCATAATTAGAACAGACCAGGATAACTGTATGACTTACTCTGAGTTGCATGTCTCCAGATTTGTACGATTCCATTCCTTCACGAGCATGGATAGCGTCATTGCGGCCAACCATTTTGATAAAAGCATGGCGCTTGTCGATGTTGACAATGCAAGTCTGAACGATACCAAATTTGCCAAACAGCGAACGGAGATGCGCTTCAGATGATCTACAACAAGGTCAGACGTGGTCAATTCAATGGATAATCTTGAAACTTACGTGACACCACCGACAAAAAGAGTTCGGCTCAGTACTGACGCAAAACTGTTAGCATAGATTACTCATAGGGTTAGGATTGAAAACAAACCTTTCAAATTGCCTTGACCAATGGAGTAGTCCCATTCGATCAACTTCGGGCCAGGAGGGGGAAGAGCTAGGTCTTTACGGGGGGATGGCGAGCGACGTCTGCGGCCTGGAGGGCTGCGCTGACGGTAGTCCCGTCGACCACGTATGTCTCGGGGATCTCCGCCCCTGCGACCCGGGGAATCTTCATGGTATTCTCCATAGACAGGGCTATCACGTCTGCGAGGAGGGGACACGTCACGGCGCCTATCCCAGCCAGGGGAACGGGAGCGACGACGATACTGGCCTGGGGGCGAACGCATGTAGTCGCGCTCACGAGGGTCAAGATCGCGCGTTTGAGAGTCCGGACGACCACCCCAAGCACCCATGGTCTGACCCGGCAATCCAGGGAATCCGGGAGCTTGTCCAGGCATGTTGCCTATGCCGGCAGAACTGGACAGAGAGAGGAGTTGCAGAGCGGTAGCCCATTGATCCTGGGGAATTCCTTGTGCCATCAACAGCTGCACAAGCTGGAGTTGTTGCTGAAGGGCATCTGGTGCCATAGCTGGCGTAGGTTGAGCGGGAACTGCAGCCGCCTGTGGCAGGAGTGCAGCAAGCGGGTTTTGCGGTGCAGTCATTGGGTTAGGTGTCTGAGACTGACTTTGAGGCTGAACCAACGCTGGATTCTGAGCCATGCCACCCAGAGCTGCGAATGGGTTCGCCGCCATAGCTCCCGCAGCAAAGGGGTTCACGTTAGGTTGGGTGGCTCCGGGTTGCGAAGCCTGGTCAACGGACGTAGTCACTGGCTGAGGAGCGGTGGCGGGCTGCGGGTTTAGGGCGGCAAGCGGGGTATTGGTTTGCGCTGGAACTGCCGGAGCTGCCGAGGCCGCAGTGTTTTGTTTGGCCATATCCGCCAGGGCTTTCAGGATACTGGAAGTATCAGGCGCCGACTGAGGTGCACTCGTCGAAGCGGCACCGTTGGAAGTTTGCAACTGTTGCTGACCATAAGAAATGTGATTCGGGCCTGGAGATCCTTCTGGGGTAGTGGATTTAACATCTAAGGAAGAAACGTCAGATTCCGAGTCCATGATTACAAGCGCTGGCCATTTGATGTCCGGCATTCCCAGCTTTCATTGGGAACAGCACACCAGGCCACCAAGAAAGAGGCGTCAGAAAAAAGACAGAGGGAGTCTTACTGTTAAAAGCAGGCGCGTTTAGTTTCTCCTTGAAGTCGTTAATCATATGGGGTGGGAAAGTATTTCCACGCTCCCAGATGTCAACCAGCTTCTTGATTTTTTCCTATAGCGAAGAACGATCAAATACGTAAGTTGGACTATTCGCCATAAACGACGGGAGTGCAAGTTTAGACGAAGGCGATGAAAAGAAAGTCATGGTTTCTATGCAAATAGGCAGGGGGGTATATAAGTGGGAGATACATCGGGCTGTTCTTATAAGCCATGCACAGGACTTGGGGCAAGTCACTGTGCAATATCGGCCTTATGGATGATGCCCGCGAATGATAATGTGATAATTTGGTGATTCTTCGCGTATATCTTCTAGTAGTGCGTACCTTTTGATCTTCAGGAGCATTGTTTATGATATCCGTCATCAAGACGGTGAGCAGTTCGGTCACTCTGTTAACGCCAGCAGCGAAGGTTCCATCTGGAGCAGCACTGCCGGCTGGCTGGCCTGCTCTGCGTGCTGCTTCTACCCACTGTCGAGTTACAGAGTCTACAACATAGAGTACGCCCAACTTGTGTGTCCCTGGTGCCTTCTTGAAATGGGTGTAGATCTTTTGGATGAGGACGGATTCGTTCTACCAGCGAGGAGACAGAAGTTAGCGCAAGTCATCCAAACCACCCGATAGAAACTGAGACAGCGACAAACGAAGGGATGACAAACGTACCTGAACGTTGGCGGTGCAAAGCGAAGTGATGCTGTTGATCTTCGAACCCGAGACACCTGGTGGCTTGAGAGCAAGCATTGATTGGAGATAGTTCTCCAGCTCTGCTACAGCCGAAGACATGATGTGTTGGGTTGATATATAGGCAGTTGCTTTGACAGGAGTCGCGTCGCGTCTACTGGGAAAACCAGCGCAGGTTGCTTAAAGAAGTGGTCGGTAACAGAAAATCTCTTGCTTCTCAAGTTTCCCTTTCTGTGACTCTCCACCAACGTGCAAAAAATAAAACAAGTATCCTTTTAAGCGGAATTTGGTGGCCGTGTCACTACAGACTTCACGAGCGTATACTTGGCGATGAGACAGGGCCTTCCGCCTACAGCTGGAACAAAGCCCGAGCGATAAGTGTCCTGGGCTTGTCTTCTTTCGACTCGCGTACGAGTATGAGTACAGGAGTACGTCCTAAATCTGAGCGTGAAATATATCAAAGGGGACAAGAAAAGAGATGGAAAGAGATGGGTTTACGGCGTATAGACGACCCGTTGATGATGGAGGGAGAGTTGAGAAGGGAGAGAAAATGAAAGGGAGTTTTTGGGTGAAAAAGTGCAGGCTCACTAAGTCTGAAGCTAGGCCATAAAAGGCATTTTATGGCCTGAGGTATTATATCCTTTTTATTGTCTTGGCACATCATGTGACCTTTTCACGTGGTTCTTAACCGCAACCAAGTTATTCCGACCTCCGTTTCAATCAACTGCCATTTTCCCCGGTGAATTGAATGCGGCAATCTCTATGGAGTCCGGAGTCCGGAAAGTACTCGGAGTACCCTAATAATACAACTCGCCTGAAACGTCAATCTTGTGTATAGCGTTGCTGAATCATGAGATTCAATTGTTGTACCAAGCACTGTGCCAATTCCGCTAAATGGTACCGGGGAGAAGCAAAAAAAAAAAAAAAAAAAAAAAAAAGCAAAACTAGTTTTATCAGATGCTGCATCTGCATGTGACCACTTCTGTGATAGTGGTATGTGCTTGTATCATCATACAGAGAACATGCTAAGAATCTCTTACTCTACATAATCACATCCTCGGATGACGGCAAAATGGATGCATTATTAGGTGCCGACGTCACCGGCCCCATGAGGTCATGTCTCTAGATGGAGTAATTCCGGAGGACTTAACCGTAAGAGAAGTATAAAAGATGAAAAGCACGGAGCTGCGGATGGCATTGAGAGGCTACTACTCCGTACAAAGGTGCATAGAGTTATTATCAGATGGAGTTACGGGGTAAACACAGAAGATCAATTGCTCTGTCAATTGCTCTGTGGGTTATGTCTCCTTCATCTTCCCGAAGACCGGAATGTAGCGAAATTCGGAAGACAACATGTCCTGTAAGATCAATACCAATTCCGTCACCATCTCGCCGAAACGGGTTGCTGGAGAGTTTCGGGAGACCGGCTGCGTTGGGGCTAACGTTACCATACCGTACCCTCATGCAGCCCATTGCCTAGCTTTGTTGCCGGGAATTACCGTACTGTGTGTGTACCGGTAGTATCGTTACGGTCAGATGGAAAAAACATGGGCCACAGCCAAAGAGGAAGAGCTCCGACTCTTTTTTCCACCTGGGTTGACCTCCCTGATATTATTTCTCTTTCTTCTCTCTTTTTCTTCTTCTCTTCCTCTCTCCATCCTTGGTCTTACTACTCCCACTCCACCCACCCCCAGATTTCACCATGGCTTCCGCTCTCAAGCTCGGAACCTCTACTCTGCGTTCCTCCATTGCCGCTAAGCCGGCTGTGCAGTCCGCTGCCTTCAACGGTCTGCGCGCCTACTCGACCGGCAAGGCCAAGGTAAGCTGCTTGATTTGGAGTCTTTTTGGGACTTCAGACTAATTAGCATTCGTGCACTATAGTCCCTCAAGGAGACCTTCGCCGACAAGCTCCCCGGTGAGCTTGAGAAGGTGAAGAAGCTCAGGAAGTGCGCATCCACCCCACCTCCCCCTCGTCGTTAAAGGTCCCCATCGCCATTTAAGAGACAATTGCTAACCACATGCTTTAATCGTTACAGGGAGCATGGCAACAAGGTCATTGGCGAGGTCACCCTTGACCAGGCCTACGGTGGTGCCCGTGGCATCAAGTCCCTCGTGTGGGAGGTGGGTTCACAACGTGACGTGATCATTTTGGCATGATGGACACCAGCTAACATACTGCGTCGTAAAGGGTTCCGTCCTAGACTCTGAGGAGGGTATCCGTTTCCGTGGCAAGACCGTAAGTGCTCAATGGGTTTCTTTTCTTTCAATTGTGCGATGACGTGCTCACGACATGTTTTAGATCCCCGAGTGCCAGGAGCTCCTGCCCAAGGCTCCCGGTGGTCAGGAGCCTCTCCCTGAAGGTCTCTTCTGGCTCCTCTTGACCGGTGAGGTCCCCTCTGAGCAGCAGGTCCGTGACCTGTCTGCTGAGTGGGCCGCCCGCTCCGACCTCCCCAAGTTCCTCGAGGAGCTCATCGACCGCTGCCCCAACACCCTCCACCCCATGGCCCAGTTCTCTCTGGCCGTGACTGCCCTTGAGCACGAGTCCGCTTTCGCCAAGGCTTACGCTAAGGGTATCAACAAGAAGGACTACTGGAACTACACCTTCGAGGACTCGATGGACCTCATCGCCAAGCTGCCCACCATCGCCGCCAAGATCTACCGCAACGTCTTCAAGGACGGCAAGGTCGCCCCCGTCCAGAAGGACAAGGACTACTCCTTCAACTTGGCCAACCAGCTCGGCTTCGGCAACAACAGCGACTTCATTGAGCTCATGCGTCTGTACCTGACCATCCACTCCGACCACGAGGGTGGTAACGTTAGCGCCCACACTACCCACCTTGTTGGTAGTGCTCTGAGCTCCCCCATGCTCTCTCTCTCTGCCGGTCTCAACGGTCTCGCTGGTCCTCTCCACGGATTGGCTAACCAGGAGGTGCTCAACTGGCTCACCAAGATGAAGCAGTCCGTCGGCAGTGACCTCAGCGACCAGTCCATCAAGGACTACTTGTGGTCCACCCTCAACTCCGGCCAGGTCGTCCCCGGATATGGTCACGCCGTCCTTCGTAAGACTGACCCCCGTTACGTCTCTCAGCGCGAGTTTGCCCTCCGCAAGCTGCCTGACGACCCCATGTTCAACCTGGTCAGCCAGGTCTACAAGATCGCTCCTGGCGTTCTGACCGAGCACGGCAAGACCAAGAACCCCTTCCCCAACGTCGACGCTGTAAGTTTACTTGACCCATTCATAGCCCAAATTACAAAAATGCTAACGTTGCTTTTAGCACTCTGGTGTCCTCCTCCAGTACTACGGCCTGACTGAGGCCAACTACTACACCGTCCTCTTCGGTGTCTCCCGTGCTCTGGGTGTCCTTCCTCAGCTGATCATTGACCGTGGTCTCGGTGCCCCTATCGAGCGCCCCAAGTCTTTCAGCACTGAGGCTTTCGCCAAGCTTGTCGGTGCTCAGCTGTAAACACCCTACTCTTCTTTTTCCGTTTTTGTTGACATGATATGACCCTGGGGAGGAAATTTCTGGGACATGAAACGAGTCAGAACACCTTGTATTATCTCACATTATCTCATACCTTTATGTTTTCCTTTTTTTTTTTTTTGGTCTAGACTGGGACGCGCGGAGTGTTGGGGGTTTGTTCGATATTATTGTATGATAGGACTTGGTTCGAGCGGGCCTTGTAACAAGCACTTCCACGTCAGCTTTCAACTTCTCCTGGGCGATCTTTTATTTTTGTCGTAAGAGAGTCCAGTTCGATAGGCCATTCTTGAATGTACCCCGTAGTTTCCGGACCATACGGAACACTCCGAAGATAATTAAGCTATGACACTAAAAGCACCGAGCTTTACTCCGTAGAGCAAGAATGAAATGGCGGACAGCTCCTTCAGCTCAACTGTTGGGAGCATCTCGGGTGAATCCGGTGCTCAACGACAGCACAGTACGAAGACTACTTCGTACTTCGTAGCACGGAATGCTCCGTGGTACATCTGTCCTCTACTCCGTGCAGAGTACGGAGTACCATGCAGTACAATGTGATTGTACTCCATGGTCTATAGGGAATATAGAAGTATCACCGATAATATCGAAACTAATTACTACGTAGTCCATAGCCGTCTAACATACAACGGCTAATGGCTTTTTGCTGGTCGGCAACGGACAACTACTTGTATATCGCCCAATCGGGCATCGGTTCACCGCTGAGCCCAAAGTGGCCTAGTGCTGCACGGGGACCTCCCCAATTTCGAGTCTGATTTGGCGTTGGGCATGGGGTGGCCAGTGATGCCTCAGGCTGTCAGCCCGCCAGGTCAATTCCCGCGATTGCTCCGGTTTACCTGATCTGTCTTCTTTCTCCTCTTATATATTCCTCTCCCCCCGGTCTTTCTTTTGACTTCTTCCGCTCTTCGCGTTTTGACTGTTATCCGTCGTTCCCCTAATCGGCTCGAATTCCTCCGATCTCGACTCGGCACTACCCCATCTTTCGGTTCTCGCTCGGCTGAACATCCTACTCGTCGCATTTACCCGCGGCCAATCCTTCGACTCTCCGTGATCCCTTAAGGCGACGCATCCCCATAACTTCCCTTGGTCAGGGCCCCTTTCAGCGCACCCCAAGGCCAGAGAATGTCTACCGCTACTGCTCAAACGCCCGCTTCGGGCCCTAAGCTCGAGAGGAAGCCTATCAAGTTCAGCAACCTGCTGCGTACGTGCTACTGCTTACACCTTGCTGTCCTATGACATGGTCGTTCTAACCATACTTCCTGTACAGTTGGCGCAGGATTGAACATGTTCGAGTAAGTAAACTTCCGGTACTTCGAAGTTTCTCTTTGCAGTTGCTGACTTGGATTGTTAGGGTCACATCGTTGGGACAGGTAACTGCTCATTCCTCTGCAAAGAACATTGGCATCCTTACTCACACATCCGTCAGCCGCTGGAAGTGATCAAGACGACCATGGCTGCGAATCGCGGCGATAGCTTCGCAGGTGCCATGGCTCGGATATGGGGTCGTGGCGGGATCCTCGGTTGTAAGTGCTCAGGCCCCCCCTTTTGCCCGTGCTCCACTGTCAGATGTGGGGAGGTGTTTTGGGTTTTGATGCTCACATGTGAGTTCCAAATCTACAGACTATCAAGGTCTCATTCCGTGGGCCTGGATTGAGGCTTCTACTAAAGGCGCTGTCCTTCTCTTCGTCGCGTCGGAGGCAGAGTTCGGTGCTAAGGTGCTTGGTGCCCCCGACTTCCTCGCCGGTATTGCCGGAGGTATGACTGGTGGTGTTGCCCAGGCCTACGCTACCATGGGTTTCTGTACCTGCATGAAGACGGTCGAGATCACCAAGCATAAGATGGCTGCTACGGGTGTGAAGCCCCCCAGCACCTTTGCGACCTTCATGGATATCTACCGTAAGGAGGGTATCAGGGGTATCAACCGTGGTGTCAATGCGGTTGCTATTCGTCAAACTACCAACTGGGGCTCCCGATTCGGTCTCTCCCGTCTGGCTGAGACTGCTATCCGTAATGTCACTGGCAAGGACGACAGCCAGAAACTTTCTGCGATTGAAAAGGTTCTGGCGTCCGGTCTGGGTGGTGGTCTTTCCGCCTGGAACCAGCCAATCGAAGTCATTCGGGTTGAGATGCAAAGCAAAAAGGATGACCCCAACCGACCGAAGAACTTGACTGTCGGCAAGGCTTTCAAATATATCTACGACACCAATGGTGTTAAGGGTCTCTACCGTGGTGTGACGCCTCGTATTGGCCTTGGTATCTGGCAGACCGTTTGCATGGTGGCTCTTGGTGACATGTAAGTCCTGCGTTCTCCTTTTTTTTTTTTTTTTTTTTTTTTTTTTGAATACCCATTTCCCCGCGATCTTCACATGTGATTCCCGAGTAGCGAATATCGGACTAACTGGTGGATCTCCGTTACCCCGAAATAACAGGGCCAAAGAGACAGTCGAAAAACTGACGGGCGAGCAAGTCACTGCTAAGCACTAAAGAGAGGGGTTGAGATACCCTTCTGCTATGCACATGGTCTGATGATGGTCGTCATTGGTCATCAACCCTTCGGCCGGACGGTGGAAGCATATCTTTCGATTTCTGTGCACTGAGAAATTTGCATTAATCGAGATATACTGTACTATTAGGGGACGACATCCTTTGCCATGAAACAGCGATGTATACCTATGGTATAGAATAGTATAGCATTCACATAGAAGGCATTCGATTTGACATTTTCTGATTCATCTTACTCATGGACTATTTCTTCTTTTTACTAGACATTCTATGTTATCTCACGCCAGCAAGTGATCCGAGCACCTGCATTGACAGCACGCTTTGCTTGGTTTAACTCCGAGTAATACACTGCCCATGCTTGCTTAGTGCTCGAAACACGACAGTCGTGATATTTAAGAAATCTTGAAGTTGACCTCAATAACCATTCCAATACTATTTCTGAGGCAATTTAAAGATACAATATCACTGTAGCTTATTAGTGTATCTTCAAGGAGTAACTCCCTCCCAAAATGATATAACCAAAACCAAATCAATGCATCTACATCCCATATAAAAAATCTAATAAAGTATAAGATACAATTGTATTACAGTCACAAGAGAGGGGAAAAAAAAAAAAGAAAAAAGAAAAAAACTACAAACCACATCAACATGACACAAAGGAAATATCTGCGAAGATTGATCTAGACACATGGTAATTGGTGGGGTGTATGGGTGGTTTCCTTTTTTTTTTTTTCAATCAAACCAAGTCTAGCACGTATGGTATGCAGATTTTAAACAGTCAGGCCTAGGTCCTCGGCGTACGGGAGCTGGAAGAGGTCGCCAACAGCGACGACGGAGGCCTTGCCGGAGAGGAAGGACTTGGCAAGCTGTGGGAGTGGTCAGTCATGTTCATGTCATTGATTTAAGGAAGAAAAGGGATAGAACGTACATCCTTAACCTGCTGCTCCGTAACGTTATCAACGCTCTGGGCGATCTCGTCGATCTGGTAGGGCTTGCCGCCGTTGATCAGGGCGGAGCCAGAGGCCTCAAGACCAGTCTCAAGGGTCTGCACCGACTCGAGAGCACGGAACTTGGCCAGAGCAGCGGCCTTCTTAATCTCCTCGCTGGCAACCTCACCAGCAGCGACCTTCTTGATAGCATCAACGACGTTCTTGCTGGCAGTGGCGACCTGGCCGGCGTTTCCGGAGAGCGCAACAGTGAAGAGACCGGCATCAGAGTAGGTGTGGCTCTTGGTCGAGACACGGAGCTGAGCGAAGCCCTGGGCGGCCTGGGACAGGAGCGAGAAGCCAGGAGTCCACTTGATGGTCGACTCACCACCAAGGAGGGAAGCGAGGACGGCAACCTCGGGCTTGTAGCCAGAGGTGCCGAATGCACTGGACCCGGGGAAGCCAATCACGACAGCGTTTTCGGACTTGTGGGAGATGCGCTGCTCACCACCGTGGTACTTCGAGGCACCCTTGTCCTGGACCTTGTACTGGCCGGAGGTGCCAGTGGTCGGGAGCCCCTGGAAGAACTGACCAGCCCACCTAGAAAGCTCCGAGGAGTTGGGGCCGCTGCCGACGAGGGCAATGTTGGACTTGGAGTAGGCGTCCTTGGCGAACTCGGAGAGAGCCTCGACGGAGAGGTACTTCTCAGACGGGACGGAGGTGTTAGGGGTGATGTTGTCACCGAGACCGCGGTGGAAAGCTAAGCCGTGGGCGGCATCGATACCAAGGTACTCGGGGTCAGCAGAGATAGTCTGCTGTCTGAGCTTGAGGAGGTTGGCGACGAGCTCGTCCAATTCCCACGCTGATATGATGAGTTAGACCTTTTTTCCGTTGTATCTTCCCCTCCAATGTCAACCGCTGCGCCCCCACTCACCTGCGAACTTCGATTGAGAAGCAACTTCCGCCAACAGCTCCGTGAAGTATGGGAGGTCATTCGAAAGGAACTTGGTCGTGAGGACGACGTTCTCACGCGAATGTGACGAGGAAAAGGCACCGCCCAGCAGCTCAACCTCCCGAGTAATCCGCAATGCTGACCGCTTCACTGTAGACTATCAATTGAGAAAGATCGTTAGTATTCAGCCGTTCCCAGGCATATATAACTGCTGAACATCGCCATTGAAACCTCGGGGACCTACCTGGAAAGCGAATCGGTCGAGGGCCTCAGAGAAACCAGGGAAGGGCTGGTAGCGGGAACCGGCCTTGGAAACCAACGCCAGGGTGCTCGTAGGACCGGCGACCTCCCGGTTGGCAATCTTCACACCAGCAGCATCCGAGACCTCATACTGGAGACCGGGGTTGCTGGCAGAGGCCATGCCACGACGGCTGGTGACCTGGAGCGCACGGGGCGCATTTCGGCTAAGAGTAGACCGCGACAGCATCATCGCATGTGCCGGAAAGAAAGCGGAGGAGGAGAGAGATCGAAAGCCGGAGAGGCTTTAGAGGCAATTGGGAGGGGTGGTGGTGGCAGAGTTGCTGGCCGACTGTTGTTGGGCGGGATGGAAAGCGATGTCTGAAAAGCTTCAAGATGCTGGACACCGTTGATTACTCGCCCGCTGATTGGTTCAAATGACGAGTGCGGGCGGAACCGGCTTTTCCTCATTCTCCGTCAGGTGAGGTCAGGTGACTTTTGATCTGCACGTGAGCCCCTCGGCGATAAGAAAAAAAGAAAGTGTCGATTGTGGTCTCGCCTTGACTTGCATCTTGTTTGACCTCACATCTCATGGAGGATTCGCGGTGATCTACCTTTTTGCTCTGCCTAGAGAATTGGAATCCAGAAGGCTCTCTAGAGGCGCAAGAGGAAAAGACGAAGAAAAATGACGTCCCAAGTATGCGATTGCATCTCTTCCGGCCATGGTCGCATCGATTGCTGATTGTATAATAATACAGAATTATGCGGAGCTCTGTACGCTCCTGGTCGAGGATAGCTTTGGGGAGCTGTTTGGGGTAGGCTTATGCTTGTCTGATCATTGTTGCGCCTTCGCGACGGATCGTTCGCATCCAAATTGCGAATTGAAGATGCAGGACTTCCATGCTGACTATTTCTGTCTCTGATGTACAGCGCATCTTCGCGACCCTTGAGCGATATGACCGTTTGAACCTTCCACGCTTAAAATTCTACTCCCGTCTTACGGACCGTCAGCTTCACCATGGCCTCGCCGCTATGATTCAGCAAAGCCTCGTTTTTCATTACACATCTTACGATGACGGTGTCACATACTACGAAGCAAATCAGCACGCTGCATATTACCTCACTCGATCCGGCAAGGTTCTGGAATTTATTGAAGGTCGATTGGGGCAATATGCGGCCACGCTCATGTCGGCTATTATGTACTTAGGGCATGCTTCCGTTAGCCACCTCGAGACGTTGCCAGAGCTTAGACCCGAACCACCACAGACAAACGGCATCAATGGGGAGCATAAGCACGAGCAAGACGAGGTAAACGGGGAACACGAAGACCAACCAAATGGCATAAACGGTGAACACGCTTTGTCAGAGCAGCCCTATCTTCTCCACCCAACCCTCAAGACTCTGGCAGCCCATGGATACATACTTCGTGCCAGAGAAGCACACTTCCAGAGCTACACGGACACCGTCTTAGATGCGGAGCGAGTAGTCACTTCAAGGCCAGATGTAAAATCGATGAAAGGGAAGAAGCTCGAAGAAACGGTTATCGAGAAGACGTTAGAAATAGTCAAGGAAAAAACCGATGGTGACCTTAGTCATGGTTTGAAATACAATGGCATTCCTCGGGGCGCGAAACGAGGGCGCGGCGCAGCTCAGTCCAACAAGCCTATCAAGAAGGCGCAGATGGAACAAGCCGATGCCGATGAGGATGACGAGGAAGATGAAGAGGAAAACGAATGGTCAGATGATGAAATGGGCAACGATACTGTTCCTATGGAGGTAGGTGCCCATTGTCTTGTGTTCCTTGGGAAGAGGCTAACGTCCTTACAGTCAAGCTTGGTCATTCGGGTCAACTATGAAAAACTCGATGTTGTGCTACGACACTGCCGTTTCATCGGACTCGCAGAGCAAGATTCATCGCCTGTCACTGCAGAGGTATACGAATCTCTGCTTCGACGAATTGAATATCAGACCCCGCGCTGTCGAGATACAGTCGAGATCCCTCGCGAAGGCGAAGAAGGAGAGCAATATTCTGTTCCAATTCCGCTCAGTGCAATCGCGGAGGATGTCGACCAGCAACTTGATCTTTCAGGCTCTATTGGCCCTATGGATATATCGCAGCCTTTCAGTCGACGCGGCAAACGTCCATTGGAAGATGGTGTCAACGGAAACAGTGACGAAGGGACCAATGGGTTATCATCTGGTGCCAGTCGCACATACGAATTGGACCAACACCTTTGCCTTCTGGCGCAACCACCCCACAACTTAACTTCAAAACGCATAGTTGGAGGTTTGATCACCTGGACGGTCGAATACCGGTATGTAGCGCGTACATTGCGCCATCTCGAGCTGGAAAAGATGATCGAGGCTCGATACGGCGATGTGGCTTTACGGGTTGTCCGCGTTCTACACGCCAAGGGCAAGCTGGATGAGAAGCGGCTACAGGAGATAAGCCTATTACCTTTCAAGGACCTACGCCAGGTTCTCGCTAGCATGCAGACGGGTGGATATGTCGACCTACAGGAAGTACCCCGGGATGCGCAACGGCAGCCATCACGAACAATCTTCCTTTGGTTCTACGACCCGGACCGAGTCGCCAGCAGTGTCTTGGAGGACGTATACAAGGCTATGTCCCGGTGCCTACAGCGCCTCAAATTCGAGCGCAGCCGACTCAGAGAATTCCTTGAGAAGACGGAACGGAGTGATGTTAAGGGCAACGAGGAACAATATCTATCGGAGGGAGAACTGAAGATGTTGGAACAATGGAAGGCCAAGGAAGCACTACTGTTTGGCGAGGTGTCCCGGTTGGACAACATGGTTGCCGTGTTTAGGGACTACTGATGAAGTTACAATTACTTTGGTTAAAAAGGGTATATTTCACATTTGCATTGCATAGTTTTTTGCTGGCATAGCGCATAGCATCATTATATAGAAGGGAGATACGACAAGTCCTGCGACTTGATTAGTTCTGGGCGTCTTTGTTGTCTACCCTAATACAACCAAATTATCATTCACTCAACCTGGCACTGTCCAGTTTCATAGTTCATCCACGTCATCCTATGCATGCATTATCTATCCCTCAATGGAATGCAACAAACTGCAAGAGGACTAATGGTCATTCTCTGTCCTGTCTCATGATATTCCATGCATTCAACATTAATATAATTCGCACTGAGAAGGACCTTAACTCCTAAGACAGTCAAGTACCCTCTTCCGAAGCATCCACATTCAAAGTTGCTAGATAATACTTGAACATGATGATATCTCAATTCTGGGGTAGTTGGCCAAAGAAGCACGCAGTATCAGGATAGGACAGGTCTATGAGAGAGGTAAAACAGCGGCTCAGAGAAGAAACAGAGAGAATAGTAAAAGAGAAAAGAGGAAGATTATTGGTTTTTCGGGAAGTCAACATGGATTCCATGTGGTGGCCGCTTCACATGAGTCTGTTACTCCATGCCCCGCCCCGGCTGATGCGGAGAATGGACCGTGGAGGCTGTACAGAGTACATCAAATGTACAGGGATAGTATGGATGGCCACGGACTTCAACAGGATATTCTGCATGGTCGGAGACTCCGTAGCTTTTGGTTCTGAGACAAACAGCATGTGACCTGTTCGGTTATATTTGATGGTAATGACGTAGAATTCCTCTCTCCCTTTCTTTTTATATTACAGGACGATGCCCATGCAAAATTCTGCATAAATTATGGCAGACACAAAACCCTTTTATGCACTGGGAGCGCAAGGGCCAATCAGAGCCTCCGCTTCAATTACCCAAAAGGCAAGCCTCGGTCCTTCCGATCCGGGGACCGTTTTGATATCACAGGATAGGAGTACGGAGTACATACAGAGTACTCCGTATAGAATTATTCTACATTTGTTATAGCTGTAGTGTAATTGAATAAAGGACTGGTAGTATGGGCGAGCTGATTCTTCACTCTGCCAACTAACCAATGCAATTCTTATACTTGTACTACTAGTCATGTACGGAGTGTACTCCTACTGCTATGCAAAATGCCGAGGTTCATTGGACTATCTATTTAGTGGCTAGCCAATCATCGACTCCACCGCCCGAGAGAGAGGCATTCCCGGAGCAATTAACTACTCTGTACAGATTCTTTTTCTTGTTCTCTTTTCTCTCCCTTTTTCTCTTGTTTTTTCTTCTCCAGTTCCTTAAGAGGGCCTCCATTAACCTCCTCCCTTATACTTAGCACATATTACACAGCGGTGCTCGGAGTGTTGCTCTTCCTTTGTACAAACCATAAACGTCAGTTTAGTACGGAGGACATATATTCGACTTTCCGTTCTCCTTTTAATATTAATACCATCCCCTCTGGTATGTAAACCCCATATTTCCCTCTCCTACTTCAATGCTAAAGATTCCAGACCTGTCAAACACACGTATCGCAAAAACCACCACACCGTCATGTTCTCGTCGCAGCCCATCCATGCTGCTCGCGCGGCAGAGTTGAGAGAGGAACCTCCCAAGGGGACTCCCTATTCCGTTGCTGTGTCTGGCTCCGAGCAGCCGGGCCGGAGTAAGGTCTACCGTGCTTGGAACACGCAAAAGGCCTTGCTGAAGACCTTGGATCCCCAGGTATGTCGTCAATTCGCGTCTTCTTAAGTAGGCGCAAGTCAGCGCTGATACTAAAGCATCGTGTCTTCTCAGATTTCCACGGCTCATGATATGTTCGAATCGACTGCGAATCGCCAGCCGAAGGCTCACTGTCTTGGGTGGCGTCCATACAACCCGGTCACTAAGAAGTTCGGAAACTATCAATGGATCGACTACCAGACCGTCCAGAAGCGCCGGGCCGCTTTTGGCGCCGGTTTGGCTGAGTTACACAATAAACACGGCTGTAACCGTTCGGGCCCGTACGGTGTTGGTCTTTGGTGTCAGAACCGGCCGGAATGGCAAATCACAGGTGCGTATGCAGCCGGGATCATTACTCTGGTCAATTTCGCGACGGTCAAATCCGTTACGCGCGCGTTTTCGCCTGAGTTCATGACTGATTTTATTTTCTTCTTTTTCAATAGACTTGGCATGTATGTCTCAGGGCCTGTATTCCGTTTCGATCTATGATGTCTTGGCCTCGGACGCCACGGAGTATATCATCAACCACGCCGAGCTGAACTGTGTTGTGACCTCCTTGCCGCATATTCCTACGCTGCTCAAGCTCAAGCCGTCGTTGCCAAACCTGAAGATCATCGTCAGCTTGGATCCTCTGGACTCTGGTGAACAGGCGGGTCATTCCAAACGTGCACTGTTGGAGTCGGTTGCTGCGGGACAGGATGTCGCCATTTACACGATTAATCAGGTCGAAGAGCTCGGTGCCTCGTTAAACCGTCCCTACAGCCCACCATCTTCGTCGGACACTGTCACCATCAACTACACCTCGGGTACCACTGGCCCTCCGAAGGGTGTGGTCTTGACGCATGAGAATGCTGTTGCGGCCACAGCGAGTGCGCTCGTCATGTCTGAACAGAAACCAGGCGACACGGTTTTGTCGTATCTTCCGTTGGCCCATATCTATGCTCGTTTGACCGAACATGCGTCCTTCTGGGCCGGTGGTCGAATTGGGTACTTCCACGGAAATATCGTGGAATTGGTCGATGATCTGAAGCTCTTGAGGCCAACCGGCTTCATGTCTGTCCCTCGCTTGTACAGTCGTTTTGGAAATGTCATCCGCGCCTCGACCGTCGAGCAGCCGGGCGTCAAGGGTGCCATGTCGAGACACATCGTCTCGACGAAGATGGCGAACCTGAAGAACCCTGACCCTAACCAGGCTACGGCGAAGCACGCCCTGTACGATCGAATCTGGGCTAAGAAGGTTGCGGCAGCGATGGGTCTGGACCGGGCCAAGTTCATGGTTTCTGGCTCCGCGCCACTCGACCCGTCGTTGCACAACTTCCTCCGAGTTGTCCTGGGAATAGACCTTATCCAGGGTTATGGCTTGACCGAAACTTATGCCGTGTCGACAGCGCAGTCCGCTCAAGATCTTACTGCTGGTAACTGCGGCCGCTTGGCCCCCTCGGCGGAAGCATGTCTGGCTTCGCTGCCCGACATGGAGTATTCGGTTGATGACAAGCCCTACCCACGGGGTGAGTTGCTTCTCCGTGGCCCCACCCAGTTCAGGGAATATTTCAAGAACCCAGAGGAGACGAGCAAGGCCGTGACTGAAGACGGATGGTTCCGCACCGGTGATGTCTGCACCGTGGACGAGATGGGCCGCTTCATCATCATCGACCGCCGGAAGAACGTCCTCAAGCTGGCTCAAGGAGAGTACATTTCTCCCGAACGCTTGGAGGGTGTTTACCTGTCCGAACTTGGCTATTTTGCCCAGGGTTATATCCACGGTGACAGCGTTCAGACCTTCTTGGTGGGTATCTTCGGTGTCCAGCCCGATGCGTTTGCGGCGTATGCCAGCAAGGTTCTGGGTCGCACCATCAGTGCCACCGACCTCGATGCCATCCGATCGGTCTTGGACGACGACAAGATCCGTCGGGCTGTGCTGAGGGATTTTGAGAAGGTTGCCAGGAAGCACAAATTGGCCGGCTATGAGAGAATCAAGAACTGCAGACTGATGCTTGACCCGTTCACAATTGAGAATGACTTGCTTACACCAACGTAAGTTATGACTTGACATCCCTTTCTTCTATTGTTCGACATTGCTAACTTTCCCCCCAGTCTCAAGCTCAAGCGCCCTCCCACGGTTAAGAAGTATCGTCATGTCTTGGATGAGCTCTACGCTCAAGCTCTCGAGGAGCAATCCGCCCCCAAGCCCAAGCTTTAGATCATTTTGCTTTCTTTCTTGTCTTACCCCTTCTTGTTTACTGTATAGATTGTCATATATCCCAGCAGGTGGTTTGTAAATGAGAAGCTGTATATACCTTGATCTTCTCTTTATCATACGCGACACCATGATTTAGTTTTCAATGTGCGTATGACAAGTAATAAATCAATTGAGCATCATAAAATTCAATGGAATCAACAATAAGTGTTACCTGCAATGCAGATATATGTAGCCAACTATGTACTGCAGCTAAAGCGGTGATGCTTGGCGCCGGAATTCATCGACTTCACATCTCCGAGCTTCAATCAACAACTGGCCATATTGTGCCAACCTACCACAATTATCTTCCTTTTTTATTTCTCTATTCCGCTTGACACAATGCATTTCTCAATAACATCTATACCCTCCATCCTCCTCCTCGCCACGACAGCTATCTGCTCGTCCCTAACAATCACCATCCCACCGTCCAACCTTCTCCCAAATCCCAACGTCCTCCCAGCAGGCACACACGCAACCCTCACCTCCCTCCCCTCCTCCTCCCAAGACCAAGCAACCCGCAATGCCCTCCTGACTGCACCCCTCACCCGCTCCGCAACCTTCGTCTTCCGCAATCTCCAGCCGTCGACTCCCGCCCAGCCCGCGTCGTACCTGCTCGACATCCGCTCCGCGGAATACGTGTTCGCTCCGTATCGCGTCGACGTCGCGGCTGATGGTAAGGTGATGGGCGTGTGGGAGACGTTCCGGGGTAATCCTTGGGATAATCGCGGCGCAGAGAAGTTCAATGCTGTCGATGCTGCTGCGAGAAAGGATGTGACGGTGGAGACGAAGTTGTTGGCCAAGAGGGGGTTTTATGAGCAGAGGTCGAGCTGTAAGTTGCCATCTGAATCTATGTGTGATAATTTGGCATGGGATGTTGTGTGCTAACTGGGTATTGTCTAGTCTCGCCGTTGTCGTTGGTCAAGAACCCGATGATTCTGCTTGCGCTGGTGGCGCTGGGTTTTATGTTTGGAATGCCCAAGCTTATGGAGAACAGTATGCTGGCTTTCTTTGCTCGTTTTCAGTGGACTGAGGCTAACATGGTTCTTTCTAGTGGACCCCGAAATGCGCGCCGAATTCGAAAAGCACTCCCGCTCTTCTCCCATCACTGGCGGTGCTCGGAGTGCCATGTCTGGTGGTGGTGGTGGTGGTGGTGGTGGTCCGGGAAACTTTGATCTTGCCGGATGGATGGCCGGAACAGCACCGGGGCCAATGGCTGGTGCAGAGGCTGCTGCTCAGGGTGCAGCGACTGGTAGAGAGAGCGGTGTTGCGCGCAGAAGGGGATGATGCGATGGTTGTTCCTTACAGGGATCCTTTGATTAAGGGTTCAGGTCTAATAATTCTACAGTGTGTTCATATATAAAATCTGATGCATGATCCTCAAATTGCAAGTCATGGCTGTTTTAAAGCGAAGACTGAAGCTCTGAAATACAGGATGATAAACATTCAAACCAACCCATGTTGCACCCTCCCAAAATTAACAATACTATACTTGAAATCCATAAAGACCGGGGATAACATATCAAACATGAAGGAAGCGTATAATCGTCAAACGTATCAACCACGACCAAGTGCGGCCACTAGAAGTCACCACCACCGAAATCATCGCCGCCGCCGCCATAATCTCCATCATCACCACCATAGTTGTTTTCAATATAAGTATTGTCATCCCCATCGAATGCTTCCGCCAGCAAAGCGCCACCAAGCAACCCACCACCAACACCTAACGCTGCCGCACCTGCATTTCCCATGCCACCTTGTCGTCGCTGAGGCTGCGCATACCCACCCTGCATCGGGTATTGGGAATAACCATACCCTGCCTGTGGTTGCGCATAACCTCCATAATAACCACTTGACGGGTACCCATATGACTGCGGCGGCGGCGGGGGTGGTCTGCTGTACCCTCCGGCTCCAAAGGGACTACTACTGCCCCCACTGCTCGGCTTAGCCTTCCCCATCAACTTGCTCAAGAAACTCCTGCTGCGCGTTCTATTTCCCCGACCTGTATCCTGAGGCGCCAGGTTCTGCGCTGACGAAGGACCTGGCGATTGCGCATGCGAGCCATCGCTGTAATAATCAGAAGCGGCACCCGGCTGTACTGCTGGGCTTTGCGTCCCAGATCGAGCGTTCTCTTCAGCTTGTAACCGCGCAGCTAGCTTTGCATCGCTCTCGACCACATCTTCCTTGTCTTTTTCTTGGTTGTAGGGGTTGTTCGAGCCAAAACCTCCTTTCTTGTCACTCGCACCCGCTGCAGAGTCCCCTGCGCCAGATTCCTCGTATGATGGTGGCGGGGCGCTGGGAGGTTCATGCAACTCCTCTTGCTTCTGGGCTGGGGCTTCTGGGCGTTCCCATTGGGATTTGCCGGTGTGCAGGTTTACGAAGTACCTAGTAGTTCAGGTTAACCTCTTGTCTTTTTGACATGCTTGGCTTTGAGCGCCGTGGGTTAGGAGGATATGGAGCTTACCATTGCTTATATCGGTCATCGAACTCGGGCTTCCACCCCTCCGGGACGGAAGGCGGCGGAGGACCGGCAGGCGGAGCGAACGACATTGATAATCGTCGTTGTAGTGTATGCTCAAGCAGTGGACTGGTGTAAATTGATCAAATTCGATGTAGAATATATCAGTCCTTGATGATGACAGTCTTGATGATAGAAATCAGAACTGATAGGAACGCATAACTTTGGTCATTCGGAACAGAGAACTAACTATATAACCATAAGCGTAATCCCATCACTGGACGCAAACACCAGTGGCGGTGCCTCAGCCACATGATATCATTGGCTGGCTACAGCCGGGGAGCTACGATAACCACAAAAGTATGGGGGTATTGGATAATTATTGTGAATTGATAGATTGTTCTGGAAGGTTGCAGATTACGGTTGAGACACCAAGTAAGAAATAGGACATAATCCTCCGGGTACACACATATACATATATGTACATACATACCATGCATTATTTGTTACTATTTATAGCACAAATATCGCTCTCTTTGGGACTGTTGTCCTATGGTTTGTCAGATCATTATGGGGACTTTCTACAATATCGTTGTCACAACCTTACTTCTCTTGTATCGTAACCTAGGGTTCTAGTGTTAGTAGTCTCAGTTTGTGGGCACTTATTTTAAGTGTCCTTCGTTCCAGGTCCTTATATTCGACGATGACCCCTAAGGTCCGTAGTATCGTATCCCGTGGTATCTCGCCCCAGCCAGGCTCTATAGTGAATGCGTTGCTTGGTATATCGCCCCAGCCAGGCTCCGTAGCAATAAGGTCGATAAGGTAACGAAGTAGAGAAACAAGGCCAACTGAGTACGTATACTCAGTTGTTGGTTTAGTGCTGACGAGTCTAAACTAGAAAGGTAACCAATGCTTGATTGACTGTAAGAATCGCGAAGAACTGAGCTAAGTACATGAATGAGTGTCCTTATATATCCATCCCAATCATATCAGTGCTATGCGGAGGCATATCACTGATATGCCGATCACGTGATTTGTCAGTCAAATATCACTTTGATCCCTGTTCCTCTTTGCATATCCATCACCAATATTGTCCAATGATTTTGGCTCCATCTTTGTACCATCACGTGAGACTGGTACGGCAAGGTCTGTAACAAGTAGTTGTATGTGGCCTGCAGGCCAACCCGGAATATGTCTAAGATTAAATAGGTCTTTATAGGGCTGTATGATGCAAATTTATATACACCAGAAATCCATCACATCAAAATAGGCCCAAGATCACCTGAATCACTCCTAGCCTCTTTCTCAATTCATCTTCTTTTCATCTCTTCTCAATACTTCCATGATTCTACCCCAGCCTTGAGTTAGGGGTTGGATTTCCACGTGCCAGGGGGTATCCTTGTGCATCTCATCCCAATTCTCAGTTCATATCATCATATGCATCACAATATGAAGTCATGATAGAGCTTTCTCGCTTATTTTATGAGTTCCTTGTGTGGTTAGGCCAGCATGATACATCAGTTGATCTCATGTCTCATTGGACAACCATCAACCAATTTCTGGTGTAAATTCAATGGCGCATGCAAGAGAAATGGCCCTGGTATCCGCATAGGAAGCGACAGCCCACACATACGGCATTCTTGTTCTTAAATCACAGCTTGTGACTAATCTTCTTCGCCTTTGGGGAAATTCGGGTCGATAGTACCGCTTGCTGGCCACCAAAAGTCCTCTATGTCTTCTTCCAGTTCTCCAGGCAGTGTTTCAAATATGAATGGGTTTGCATTTTCCTCTGGATCGGACTCCAAGGTGAGGTCTATTATCTCAGGTTCGGTCTTGATAATCACTCGATCGCCAATTTTCCCGGCACGTCGCTTGGACCTATCAATGGGACGTGGAGGAAGAGGCTCCTCATCATCTGTTTCTTCACTGCTGCAAAGGTCGATGAAATTATTGCTGCTGGAAGAGATCGGTTTGGTGGAACTAGTAGAGCCATCCCTTTTTCTTTTGTTTTCTTGTCGCCGCTGGTTGCGTATCCGGGAGATTTGGATTCGAGAGGCAATTTCTTTTCGAGACTGTTCGTCGAGCCCTCGCCGATCGTTCAACGGAGCACCATCCAATTGATGAACTAGTACTTCCTTCTTGAGAGGAGTTTCAGCAATGAGATGTCGAGGCGTGCTGTCAGGACGCGCCCAGCTAGCAAATGGGCCTTTGTAGTGAGGCCCTTTTCCGACGCCGTAAATGGGATGTCTAACAAGCTCCCCACCCAGCAACATATTATTCGCCATTTCAGCCTCGGGGTTAGAACCTGCCTGTTGGTCCCCGCCGTCGTCTATAGCCTCGGTCGAGGTCTCAAAGACCATACTCTGCCCATCACTGGCCTGAAATGGACTTGATGATAGCACATGAAGGCCCCCAGCAGAATCTCCTATCAGAAGGTTGGTTTTATCACTTGAAAATGCACCACACATAACCGCGCCTGGGAAACGCGCAAAATCATCAACATGAACATCCTCCTGGGAGCGAAGAATATCCCACCTCTTTAGAACGGCATCCGAGGCACCACTGTAAAACTGGTCAGGACCATCCCCCCATAGCGCCATCCTGACGCCGACATCCACTCGCTCCCGGGGAAGACTCTCATCTATCTGCTCAGAAGGGCCATCGTGCCCAAGCTGGAGCAGAATATCCTCGGGCTTGCGGTAATCCCAAACGTATGTAACACCATCAGTACAACTGGCAGTTACATAATAAGGATTCGTCGGACAAAAAGTCACATCGTTAATATCCAGGGCAGGACAGTCGAGTTCAATTTTGTGCATCTTTGACCTCAGAGGATCATATAACCGAACAACTGACCTAGCGAGTGAAGCCCTCGAGGGTGTCGGAGCACTCCCAGTGAGGAACAATGGCAATGAAGGATGCCATTTTATATCAAAGATATTTTGCGCATTTGGGGAAAGGTGGATTGGGGTCGTCGATGCTTCATCCATGCGCCAAGCTGCAAGCAGCCCATTCTGTGGAACTCCTTCATCCTTCTCATCCTTCTCTGACATCCCGGCAAGCAGGATGTTCCTTGTTGCTGGAATAGTGCCCCATGCTAATGAGGTTGGCACAAATTCTATATCTTTCTTCCGCTGTCGCTGTTGGAATTCCAGTGAGGTATGCTTTCGCTCTTTGATGTTCCATAGTCCAATAGAATCCGTACCTATTGCCAGTACCTGTTCGTCAAAATTCGAACGCGCCATTACCTCAACTTTCGAATCATGTCTGAGTGTGCCAACACAACCAGCATTGGCATGACTGCTGACATCCCACAATTTCACAGTGTTATCATAGCTTGATGTAAAGAGTATATCATCAAACCATTGCATGGCAGTGACACTCATGAATAGACGTGTATCTGTCTGATTTTGGCCGGACACCGCTCGCCTCCAAGGACATTTTACCCAGTGGTCCGGTAGTTCCTTCATACAGTTTCTTGTAAGGTCCCCCAAAACAAGATTGTTACCCTTATTGTATTCCATGTTTTGTTCATCACTCTGCGCAGTAGCGCCGGCTGCGAAACTGGTTCCATCCGGCGACCAAGCCAGAACAATAACGTCATTGGAGGCGCCTTGCCAGTGCTTGGAAGGTTTCAGATCTTGGGCAAAATCAACTTGTAACTGTCGGCTGGTATTGCCCAATTCACGACCATGTAAGAGCCCGTTTAAAGTTCTTGGATTGCGAGAAGTCCTGCAAGATGAAGGATTATCCGGCCGGGGCCGGGGCCGGAGATCATTGATCTGAAAAGACCGGGGCGGCTCCGGTCTTGAATCCAACGGGGATGACGAATAGCTTCCCCGTGGTCGGTATGCCATCGAGGATTTGTGCGATCGCTCGCTCGCATTGTCGTCTGAATCCTGCTCGGCGAAAAGGTTTATTCTCTCGTAATAATTGATGGGCCCGGTTCTCTGTCGGCCAGAACGTCGTGCTGCTGGTGTCGGCGCTGAATTTCTATTGGGCAACATAAGCTTGGAATTTTTTGCGTACGCCGGCCGGTGTTTAGCGTACGAACTTCTCATGAATTGTGATAGTAAGAGCTGAGCTTCTTGGGTCAACCCTTCTTTATTCTCTTTGTCGGACAAGTACTTGGGCATTATGAGTCTTCAATGCTCCCTAGCCTGGCAAAAATTCTTTGTCATATTAGCTGAGCTTTCTCGGTTCTTTTTTTTTTTTTCTCTTTTTTTGGGGGGGCGGGGGGGTGTCCCTTCTTCCCCACCCTTGTCCCTACCAGAACCCAGAGTGATATATACTTACCAAGAGATAGCCTGTAGTGTAGTGCAGCACTGACCTTTTATAAGTTGAAGTTGCTACAACAAATGACTTTCTTGGGCTTTAAAGATTTGTCAAGAAGGAACAGGATGCTTGGTTGGTATGAATGAATAGCAGATATTTCCCAACTCCATGGGAGAGCAAATCAACATCCCATTATGATACTTTTCCTAGAAGCATTCAGTGTCGCATCTTCTTGGGCAAAGGCTCGATAATCATTATGTCACTGGGAGGCCCAATAAATTGAATCGTTCAAGTATTGAGGTGAAGATCTGCTCAAAAGGAAACCACAGGTCAACATGATGTTAATTGAAGATTGGTTGTTTAAACTCACATTTATTAGTGAGAGGAAGTAGTATTATCATCAAAGTCATGAAAATATGGAAAATCAGGACAATACAGAGTACTCTGTAGAGTATGGAAAGTCAAAAGTTGAGGTCAACATCTCAATCAACGCGTCTACGCGGAACCGCGAATATCTCTAAAAATGGTAAGCGGTCAGATCTACCAATGAGGGTGGGGTATCAATTACAAAGGACTGTATAAGGTTATTGGATTATGTAGAGCTCTATTTCACATACATTTTGCATTTGATATAGAATATAGACACACTCATAAGCTCAAGATATACAGTAATTGACCAGTAGCCCATGATGCAAAACAGTTGAGAAGCATAATAAACTCTTCTTCTCCAGAATTATCATACACTAATGAAACTTACAGGGGAAAATTATCCTTTGGTAATGTTCCCATACAGCAAAAAATGCCATCGAATTAATAAAGCATGCTGTAAACAGCCCAGCCAACACAGACTGATGAGGGGGAAAGGAGAGAGACAGAGATATGATATACCCAAAGACAGCAACATCCAAACACAGGGAAGGGAGCCCTCTACATATTTACAACATGGGTATCATTTTCGAAATCCCCCACTTATGATCGTGCTCGGTGGTTTATTCTCTTTTTATTTCGAGACCGCCTGTCTCCTCCGAGCGGCCACTGTCATGCCATAGATAACATCCTTGAATGCAAACAAGAATGCTGCAGTGATTGCACTTTGGGTCACCTTTGGTCCAATGCCTGTGCGGTGTTGTCAGCCTAAGATGCATACACCAAATTCATCGCGCGAGACTCGATTTACCTTTATACAGACCCACGTAGCCTTCCTCCTTGATGATTCTCTTCAAACTTCCATTCAGACTCTCCTTGGGGCCGTCTTTGCTAGCGACATGCATCCGACTCTTGATTGTGATATAAGGATACGTAATCGAAGTGGCTAGGATTTTGCCTAGAGCACCGAGATAAAACGCATCTTTCGGAGTCACACGTCTTCGGCGCTCCAAGACATTCTTCAATTGCTCGAAGATTGTGTACTGGAGGATGGGATTGATAACCAACACGAGCGCCGGAAGAACGCCAGCGAAAAGGGCTTTGGGGCCCTCTTCACGAAGAAGCTCCATCAGGGTACTGATAGTTGACGGTCGTGCTTTCTTGGGGGGCGTCCCGGGCAGGCTCTGCTCGTCGGAATCGGACTTGCGGGCCGTCATCCGAGTGTTTATGACCCAGATTGGGTTGGTAATCATGACTGTTGCACTGCCAGCGATAGCACCAGCAACCATTGACTCGAAGGTCGTGAGCTTTTTCGAAGCCCGGCCAGCCTTGATAGCGGCCTTCTCAAACGCGGCCCGTGTCCACTCATACCAGTAGTAGTATACAAAATTGGTGACACTAATTCCGAACAGTGCAGACTCCAGGCCCGCGTATAGACCCGAGAACCCTTCTCGCTGCACAATTCGACGGACGGCATCAAGGGTGGTAGAATGGGCACGCTTCGATTCGACTTGCGCTCTCGTCGAAAGGGTAATCAGGGGGTAACTGCAGATTGTCAATGGTTTGCGCGTTTACTGGCAGGAAGGAGAGGGAGACAATTGCTGCGACGCACGTTAAAGCCATGGAAAGGACCCCGCCTCCAGCCCCAGACAATGCATGTGCTATGTTGTCACTTTGCTGGGCGGCAGCAGAAGCCGCCGCCACCTTCTTCTGCTGTTCGATAGTTGACTGAGACATGACGGCGACGGAATAGTCCGATGTGGTTAGTATGGGGAGATGATAGCGGAGTCGGCGTATTTCTGGAATAGGCGTGTAGTTATATAGCCGGGGAGAGGGATGGATTTAATCTGAACTCAAGTGGCAATATTTTGAATCAATCGTCTAGAGACGACCAGACAGGGGTTAAAGAGGAAATGCAGGAGAGAGGTAGAGAGGGCTGTTATGAGTGACCAGGACGCGGTAATCATTCGGTTCGAAACGGGGGACGAATGATGGCCTTCAAGACGTTTTGCCGAGCAACTGTGCCTCGGTATTTTATTTCCTTTTAGCCCCTCCCCTTTCCGAAAGAAGGGAGTCAACGTTGAAATAGCACCTAGCGTCTAATTTGATTACAATGGAATTGATTATGGTGTATGGACTATGTATGAATTGTTCACTCAATTTGTCGGGACTGTTTCCCCAGTATAAAACACTACTATGCTCAGAACTTATGCATGTGAAAATGGCTAGTACTCTAGATCTTTACTCAGGGTATGTCTCGTACTCCACGTGGAACCCAAATGGTTACCGGATATGTAGTTGTAAACGCAATACTTGAGATTCCAACTGATAAAATATCAACCAGATAAGAATATTGCTCCGGACATTCATTAAGTTCTTTCCATTAATCCATTCCAACAAAAAAACACGCATGGAACCCAACCTGCTGAAGACAATGGGGCAACGAGACGTAGGCATGCTGTCGAAAAGATAAGAGAAAAAAAAAAAAAAAAAGGAAAAGAAAAGAAGTAGAAGAAAATAACACCAGCAGTAATCACAATAAATAGAAAAGATAAGAAGACAGCAAGAGGACAAAAAACGCAGACCGTCTAAAGCAGGATGGAAGCCGGGGGAGGAAAGGAGTAGTAAGAAGATTATGAAGAGAATAGACAAGAGATCCCAGCAGTCATCGCAATGGGTGTGGTCAGTCCATCATCACAGCATCGGTTTTGATTGTTTAAAGCATGCTGGAATGAAAACCCGTCAAGATTGTTGTTCACTGCCACGTATTGCCAGGGGTCCCTATCCATAGCATCATTGACTGCCAGGCGGAAATGATCCCCGGCGAGGTGCGGAGGTCCGTGAATTTAGCAGCATCCACCTGCAGAACCAGACTGGACGCCCTGGCCCTGGCTGACCTGCACAGTGGGCTTGTTGTTGATGGTGGCGGTCCCCATGCGCTCCTTGATCTGTCTTGCCATCGTCAAGAAAGCTTGTTCGACATTAGAGGCGTTTTTGGCGGAAGTCTCAAGGAACGGGATTCCCAGACTATCGGCAAATTCCTAGGAAAGTCAGGTCAGTTCTCATGAGTCCAAAAGGAACGTCACGAGGCCAAGATTGTGCTTTCGTAAACCGTACCTTCGCCACGGTATATTCCACAACTTTCTTGTCTTCCATGTCGCTCTTGTTGCCCACAAGCAGCTTGTTGACACCTTCGGTTGCATAGCGATCGATTTCCTGGAGCCACTGCTTGACGTTGTTGAAAGAATCCATGTCGGTCACATCATAGACAACACAGATACCATGAGCGCCACGGTAGTAGGACGAGGTGATGGTTCGGAAACGCTCCTGGCCTGCAGTATCCCACTAAAGTCATTTGTCAGTTATGCCACGTCAATCTGATCATAGGTGCTGCCTTGTTCATACGATCTGAAGCTTCACAGTCTTGCCGTCGAGTTCAATGGTCCGGATTTTCTAGTCAGAGTTAGATTGTCATGATGCCTATAACCTCGGAAGGTCGCAAAGAGGGGGTTACATACAAAATCCACGCCAATCGTGGAGATGTAGCTTTCCGTGTAGGTATCATCGGCAAATCGAAGAAGCAAGCAAGACTTTCCAACACCGGAGTCTCCAATAAGCAGGAGCTTGAAGAGGTAGTCGTATCTATTTCGATGGTTAGTTCTCCAATATATGAGATCGCAGGCCGTACATCTGCCGTTAAGATAAGGACTGATCGGGGCGCTTAGGGGTGGGAAATGCTCTAAAAGAAGCCGGCAGGTCAGCAAAAAGATGGTCAAAAACGAAGCAAAAACAATGTAATGTATTGAAATCAAAGTGACAGATCGACCCTATAGTTTCCAAGGAGGAACAAAGAAGAACCTTTGAGGGAGAAGTGACCTAAACTGGAGACGGGCCATCATCAGGCAGAGAACTTACCACTCGGGGTTCATGATGGGTAGAGGCGAAATAGGGATATCTGTTTGTCAAGAGGAAAAAAAAAAAAAAAAAAACTTGAATGGAGCGAGAGATAGAAGAAGTGGGAGGAACAAGCACTGCAAGTCGATGAAAGTGGAAGAGAAAGAGAGAGAGCGTAGGTTGCTATGCTCTGGTTTGTGGTTGATGGCGGCGACTTGAAATGGCGGTTGCGTTGCGTTGCGGTGCTGGAGTGCAGGAGAGCAGGCGAGCCCAGCGTGCAGGTTCCTTTTGGGTCGGGGCCGTTTCATTTCACCTCCCGATCCAGTCTAACGCGTCCATTTATACAATACTATGACCACTACTGCTATTTTTTACCACCTTTCCCGTGATTACTGGATACTAATTGTACATCAATAAGAAAAGTAATGAAATAGTAGTATCAGGCTGACAATGGAATGTCTCAGGTGACCATTGTGTGCATGTCGTGACCTAATCATTTCCTCATTGTAGGACATCACCTTCACATGACTGTTGTACACATTTGAACATGTTGATGATTGATGATTTCCCATAGTGCCCCCCCAAAAAAAGCCCCTATGATGACTACAGCTGGAGGGGAAAAAATAAAAATAAAAAATAAAATCAAACAAAATCAAAGAGCCTGGAGCCATTCCAAAACAGCTTTCTCATCCCTTTCCTTGTAAGAAGCGTTGGTTCGAATGCTGTCAGAAACAATCACTAGTGCGCGATCGTAAGCACTGGTATCCTTGTTCTGGAAGAACGAGGTGATATCTGCTCCAACCTGGTGGTCCGCGAATTTGGAAAGGCCCATTCGCACAAACCGCTCAAAGACCACATTGTTTGCGGACAGTCGGGCCTCGACGGTACTCCAGTTGTTCTTCATATACTCCCATAGGTGATGTCGGACTTTGGAATTCGCGGCCAGAGAGACAGCACCGTTGTGGACATCTTGAATAGCTACCTTGTCTGAAAAGACAAAGTTTAAGTAATCATTCACGAGGTCAGCATTTTTAGTACGCCCAAGCGCCGCCAGACAAATCTCTTTGCCGTCAACAGAGTCCGTCTTAAGATACTCGTCCTTGACGGCATCATATTCTTTGCGACTACCCTCCGAGATTGCAATTCCAAAAATCGCCGATCGCAAATTCGTGTGCACTGCAGTTCTGTCTTGCCCTGTGGCCCAGAGTTCAAAGCGACGTTTAGCCTCGGCGACGATGCTAGAGCTCCGATATTAGTTGCAACTTCAAAGTACAAACTTGGAGGTATGCTTACCCTTCATGACCCGCCAGGCCGGTCACTGTGATCAGGAGCTTCCGGAGCTGCACAGTGAGGTAATCTTCATCAGGTTTGAAATCCCAACCAATCTTTTCAGCAGTGGGGGCGGTCACTTCAAGAGCAAATTTCCTCAGGCGCGACGCTGCGTCTTCATTCTGAGAGAATACGGAGCGTAGATTCGAGAGGGATGAAGAGATCTGAGACCAGACACTGAGAAAAACGAACGTTAGAACAGATGCCCCAAGTCCAGGGAGAAGAAGAGCGCCGGGGTGTCCCGAAGACTCACAGATAGTTTTGCTCCCCTTTGAAGCCGCCCAACAATGCCAACAACGCGGCAGTAGTGCCTTCTCCAGACACAGCCAGGGCAGCAGCGTCACCAATCAAGCCAATCTTGTCTTCAGTGCTCAGCAGATCACGAGACTTTCCAAGTTTTGCCAAGCGATCGGCTGGGTAATTTGTTCGATAGAACCCTGAAAGGTCTTTGTTGATCTTGTAAAACGAGTCTCGACTGATTCCCGTGACGGTGTCAACTTTTGAGTTAAGAGCACGGGAGTCGACGTCTGTGGTGTTCGGGTCTGACTTGATGCCCAGAGGAATCCACCAGGTTGTCTCATCCTCCTCGGGCTTCACGTCACCCGTTGACAGGAACCGGTTCTGGCGGACGCTAACTCGTCCCTGTTCTTCGGCCACAGTAACAACAGGGAAGCCGATTTTGCGGATCCAAGGGTCCTTTTAAGAATACATAAGTTAAAATACTCGAAACAATTTCTACTTCGTTTCTCACTCACCATGAAGCTGTTGACATCCTGCTTTGAGGCGTTACTGAGAGCGGACCAAAGGTCATTTGTGGTGGCGTTTCCTGTGGGGAAAGGATGAACTGTCAGTACCTCTCGAAAAGATCTCAATTTCTAGAGACGCACCGTAGGCGTGGGCTTTGAGGTAGTCGGCCACTCCGCGTAGGAAGGACTCGCGACCAAGATGTTCGCTGAGCATCCGAATCACCGAACTTCCCTTCAAGTAACTGATATGATCGAAGATCTGGTCAACTTCGAGGGCGTTTTTAACAGGCACCTCGATAGGATGAGATGCGCGCAAGGAGTCTAATTGGAACGCTTGTTGAACACCTTCAGCCTGGGAAACTGTTAATTACTTCCTGAACAAATTGCATCATTACCTCGATTATTGCGTACAACAAACTGGGACCATATGTTCCACTCTGAATGATGATATTAGAATTCTGTGACAATCCGTAAAGGAAGTGGTGTCCTTACCGGGGTAGAAATGGTCGACAGCAAGCCAGCCAACCCATGTGGCGAAGCCCTCATTGAGCCAGAGGTCATTCCACCAATCCATAGTTACAAGGTTGCCAAACCATTGATGAGCCAGTTCTTAAAGCCCCGAGGATTAGAATGATCGAATATAGTACTAGGACAAGCCAAATGACTAACCGTGCGCGACAACGTATGCAATGCGATTCTTATACCGGGTATCAGATTTACCCTCGTCGAACAACACGGCAGTCGTGCGGTATGTGATGAGACCCCAATTTTCCATGGCGCCCATAGCCTAAAGCATCACAGTAAGCCCCGTTTACATCTCCAAAAGAGAATAAACCTAGTAACATACAAATTCATGGACAGCAAGAAGGTCTGCCTTGGGTAAGGGGTACTCCACTTCAAAGACTTCTGAGAAATAGTCAACTGTACGATGAGCACATTCCAAGGCGAAGCGAGCTTGTTCTTTGAGGCCTTTTGTAGTATATACACGGACCGGAATACTCTTGCCCTTATATTTGCGCTGCGTCATTGTTTCAACGTAATCGAAATCACCGACTGCCCACGCAAGAAGCTGCAGAAGGATGCGCGCATTAGCCTTCTGTGTAGATGACGTATATGGGTGTATACTAACATAGGTGCTCATCACTGGTGTCCTCTCGAACGTGACAAATTTGAGCCCGGAATTGCTCCCAATCCTCTCTGACTTAACGGGCATGTTGCTAAGTGCAATTTGTCCCTTGGGCACCTCGATCTCGAAATCAAAGGTGGCTTTCAAATTCGGCTCGTCAAAGCAGGGAAAAGCTCTCCGCGCATCACACGACTCAAACTGTGTGCTCAGCATGTAGTGGAAGTCTCCCTCTTTTGGAGTGTCTGTAGCAGGCTCTACTACAGGCTTGTACTTGGAACGGTAAAACCCCGCCATAGCATTGTTCATGGTCCCCTTGAAGTTGATGGACAGGACAACATCGGAGGGTGTGACTTCTTGCGGGAATTTGAATGACACCCGTTCTGACTTCTTGTCGTACGTTATCTCGGACGCCTTTGTCAATTTGTCGCCTGGTAAAAGCACAATGATGTTGCCGTCAGTAACTTGACCGATCACAAACAACCACACTCATGATCCGCTGGGAGGGAAGGGGCTCTCCATGACGGACCATTTTGCGCCAAGATATCTACATTCTGGACTTCGATCTCCTTCGAATTGAGGACGATTTCTTGAGTCGGGCGGGTAATCCTTGCATCAACCTTCACGGTGCCGTTGTAGCCCCAGGAACCACCGAGCTGCAGGTCATACAGAGAGGCGTGATAGTGAAGGGGTTTGGCCCTGGAAGTTGGTCAGATGGTTGTTCTGGAAACGTCAAGTGTCGTTGACCACATACACGTCGGGGAGGACCTCTCTATCCTTTGCCGCCATTGCGTGCGCTTTGGCGGAGCAGTATCGTACGCGTGAAATCGGTAGGCGAAGAAGCTTAAAGGGTCGAAGAGAAGATTTGCCAGAAGAGCGAGGTCGCGAGTAATTCTCAAATGAATCGGAATAACCGGGGGATCCGGAGGGAGAAAGGGAGGAGAACAACGAGGAGTAGATAGAGGGGAAGAGGGGTCGATAAGTCGGAGGACGACACCTGATTGCTGTCACGCCAGCGTATCTGGTCGATGCGATGCACCTTCTTCTCCACATCTGCTCGACACAATTACTTTTGTGGCATCAATTGCATTGGACGGCCCAAAAAATAATTAAAGTGATAACAGATTCTAGAAAAGCAAGTAATTACTGGAACAAGTTAGGGCACCTTTGTATGTAATTAACACGGGTTTCTGTAATAACACGGCGGAGTTCCGTCGGAGCTTTCGATGATTTATCCGCCTTCACTACATCACTACGTGCGACTCAATCTACCATAGCTTATCAATTCTCCTTTCCGGATTATTGAATTTCGACTTTCTTTCGTTCCTCCTCCTCGAATCCCTTACGATCTCAAAGAAGGCAAAACAAGAAATGGCCGATTCAGACGAAGAGTACATTGGAGATGTCACAGAAGACGAAGGCTTGCAAGGATCGCAAAGTGCTGCCGCCTCTCGTGCAAAGCGGAGAAAGCAGCGCGGGGGTGCAGAATGGGAAGTCTCTAGAACTTGGGAGACATTAGTGGAGGGGGCAGATGGTACAATCAGTTCTACCGTCGAAGGGTTACTGGAGGCTGGTAAAAGAAAGAGGTAAGCTCTAATATGGGTAGGATAAAATCTGCGTGTATGAACGCGGCCAGAAGCCCATTGTGCTGATACCGTATCCTCTCACAGGCTACTCCGAGATACGACTCCTTTACAACGTGGTATCATTCGACATATTATTCTGGTTCTGGATCTGTCACAATCTATGGCAGAGAAAGACCTACGACCGACACGATACCTTCTAACGATTCGATATGCGCAAGAATTTGTGAGAGAATTCTTTGAACAGAACCCCATCTCCCAGCTCGGTTTGCTCGGTTTGAGGGATGGGCTTGCGGTCAGAATAAGTGATATGAGCGGTAATCCAACGGAGCACATAAATGCGATCCAAGCCTTGAGGACGCAAGACCCAAAAGGTCTACCCAGTTTGCAGAATGGGCTGGAGATGGCTCGGGGCTCCCTTTTGTGAGTTTGTTTCGCTTTCACAAGGCTAGTCGCATGGTCCACCCCCGCTAACAAATGCCCGGCAGCCATACTCCAAGCCACGGTACACGCGAAATCCTGATCATATTCGGCTCTCTTCTTTCCTCAGATCCCGGTGACATTCATCAAATGATATCTACTCTTGTTAATGACAGAATCCGAGTCGGAATCATTGGTCTTGCTGCTCAGGTGGCCATTTGCCGTGAACTCTGTGCAAAAACCAATGGCGGCGATGATACTACGTACGGCGTGGCTCTCAACGAGCAGCATTTTCGTGAATTAGTAATGGACGTGACTACTCCACCAGCTGCATATTCTCAGAAACAGTCCGCAAGTTCCCTTTTGATGATGGGTTTCCCATCTCGCACTGTCGAGGCGAGCCCTTCACTTTGCGCATGTCATTCTAAGCCCTCCTGCGGAGGGTACCTTTGCTCACGATGCAGTAGCAAAGTTTGTGGTCTCCCTGCTGAATGTCCAGCATGTGGCCTTACCTTAATCCTTTCAACCCACCTTGCTCGATCTTATCATCACTTATTTCCTTTAAAGAACTGGGTGGAGGTACCATGGCAACGTGCGCCCAAGAGCTCTGCATGCTTTGCGTGTGGCATAACTTTCCCATCAGTGCCATCTGAAGATCAATGGCCGGTTACTGAGAATAATGCAAAAGGGATGAGTGTAAGCAGTCGCTATGAATGCACTGTATGCATGAATCACTTTTGCATTGACTGTGACCTTTTTGCTCATGAGATCGTACATAATTGTCCTGGTTGTCAAAGCAAGCAGATTCCAGGAAAGGTCGAAGATCCTTCTTCCAGTCACCTTGCGGATATGGATACAATGGACACGACAGGATAATGCTTTATTTTTTTTTTTTATTTTTATTTTTTTTCCTTTTCTTTTCTCACTCTCTCGAGTTAATCCAATGCATGGACGGCGTTATATTGCATACCACATCAGAATTCCCATAGATTCACTATGTAAGTCTAATATCTCAGGAAAGTGCTAGATTTACATATGCCCGAGAAGTACATACGTCATTCAATCCGCGGACCTCGGCCCAATCCGTATCTTACCCCTAATATTTTATTATTGTAGATAATCATATTCTAGCGAAAACGAACAAAGGGCGTACTAAAATATGTCCTATTCGATAGAGCGTTAATCAATTGCAATATATAATCTCCCATATGAAGTACAAAGCGATAGAGCATACTGAAATACAATCCACTAAGCCCCACCTCTGGATTTATCTCCAGCGCAACTTCTCTACCCCAAATAAAAGTATTACAGAAGCAGAGACACCATGGGGCAACCAACTGAAGTTCAGCCCCAAGCATCTCAAGCAAGCTTGTTCGAGAAATTGGAATCATATCCATTTAATACGGACCCGGAATTTGCCAACGGTCTCTCTATTATACTTGGTCACCCAGACGTCCCCGCAAGTGAGACTGAGATCAATCGCGATGATGATCTAGTATTACAGGCGAAATGCTTTTACTTCTCGCGGTATGCTACCTTCCGCATCATGCTGATACGTAATTGACATATAATGCCTACTAGGAAAGAAGATATATCGCCACCACTTGACTTTGCGGCATTTAAAGCGTGGTTGGCAGAGAACGCGGGAGCAGCACAGTCATCCCACCCATCCTGCCAGGCTGTTGAACCTGCCATGCTCTCAAATCTGACCCAAACTTCTGCACAAGAGCCAACCTATCCGTCATCTTTCGCACACATAGTTGAGCTCATCACCACCGGTCAACCGATCCCCGGGATTCAGCAAATACCAGACACGGTATTAACGGGTCATGATACCTCAAGCGAACAGCCCAAGAGATTGAAGCCGTGGGAAAAGGAACGAGACAAGACCAGTGAGGCGGTATGAAGCGAGAGGGGGAATGTTGATAATGATGTACGGAGTACGAATTACAATCTACTTGAACAGAAAATATTGGCGCAAACCAACGCATTTGTTGTTCCCTCCTCCTCCTCCCCCCTCTTTCTTTCTGATGGGTTATTCTGGCAAATGATAATACAACTGGATTCATGTTTGGTAAGAATGATGAACAAAAGATCAGCACAATACATAAACAATGGAAACAAATACATGTATGGTGGTAAAGTTCCGCATCTTGTTGGATAAACCAAAGCTCCAGCATATCATCGCACACCTTATCTTTTCTGTACTCTAGTGACATATTAACCATCTGCAAAGCAAACAATTGTCTTGTAGAACAATGCATGTATACTGATACCAACTGGTGGGAAAAGCAAATAGAAGAAAAGAAGGAGGGCCAAAAAAGAAAGAGAGAGGTATAGAGAGAAAAAGAAAGAATATGAAACAGATACTCTTATCACTTCCTGTGGAAAGTAGCCTGTAAACCGATGAGTGGCCTGAATAAGTATCGATATGCAAGACAGAATCAGAGTGTAGATCTGCATTTGGGGCAGAAGATATTGTCGAGAAATCCGGTTCCGCGTGAAAGACGGTTTCATTTATTGGGTCAGCGAAATGGTGGATAGTTAGCATGCCACTGGCTCCCACGGCCGAAACGCCCTCCAGTTTGGCCTGCCATCTGGAACCTGTCATCACCGAAGTTGTTGAAACGGCCGATTTGCATGCCGGTACCTGGCCCAGGGCGAGTTGCATGAGACGGGTTGCAGCAAAGCATGGCCACCCGTGACCCAAATTTTGAGCCACGCAAGGAAACCATGTGCTTACTATATTGGCACTCTCGTTAGAATAGTCGAGGATACTCATCAGTGACTAAGGAGCAAGAGGACGACCATACCGAATATGGCTAGCGACCAATTCACGCTGGTGAGACGCAGCATTTATCAAAACCCATTGAACAAGATAATTTCCGTATTGGTCTCCAGCAACTATAAAAGAAACTGAGCATTTGGTCACCTGGGAAGGGAGTGAAATTGGGGGAGGGAGGGGCCCATTCAAACTTACTGTCAATCAAAGGCATCCTTGGCCTATCAGCACGCCCGGTACACACACGAGAAAGGTAGCGGTCCAGAAACTCGGAGCCGCCTATCTTCAGACATTTCTCGACAATCTTTGAGGCAAACTGATCCATGCTATAGTCAACAGACCGAAGGAGGATATGTTCAATAGCACGGCTTCTATCGTGAGGAGCACCATGTTCGCAAATATGCTGGATACACCAATTTCCGAATTGACCATGAGCGAGCACGTCAATCTTGGCTACCACTTCTTCGATGGCAGGTCGCTAGATGTGTTGTTAGCTTAGTCCCTTCGGGTAGTAGCGTGCTTCGATACCTTCTCATCTTCGACACAGTTCTCGAAAATATTTTGAACTACCAGGCTCCCTGTTTCTCCCAGGGCAACTTCATGCCACATTCCTCGCAGCGCTTCGTTGACTTTGGCCATGATTTGCGGGGGCTCGCCGCTCCAACGGAGTTCGAAAAGCTTCTGCCAGACATGGCATGCGTATCGATGGATCACTGTTTCCGGAATTCTGCGTAAAAGTTCATGGACCATTATAGCTTTGTGCTCTTCAGGAACGCAGTCGAACGCCTTTTGAATCACATGACATCCGAAGGGGTCCATGCTAAGGCTCAACGCGTTACCCTTGATTGTATTAGCGATTGCAACAACCTGTTCTGGTGTACCGTGCTCAAAGCAACGTTGAACGAGAAAGTTTCCAAAACGGTTGACCATCAAGGGATAAGCCTGATTCACTATGGCCTCGACCATATCGTATTTTTGTTCTGTGGTACCGATTTTGAGCTTCTGTTGAAGAAAAATCGATGCCTGTTGGTCATTGTTACAAACGATCTTGTCCACTATATACTTCCAGTCGCAAGAGACATTTTTATCTAGGAGTCGGCGATAGTTTAGCGGCTCAAGGGGCGGAACATGCGTTGGCATAGAAGTGCTACCACCGACCTAAGAACATCTCAGTCGTACGTCGTATGTCAGAGTAAAGAGGTCGAACAGTAGCTTACCAGTGACGTTGTCCAAGGCATCACATTCCCATTTGCTGAAGTAAATTCAGTCGCCGTTGGAGAGAGCGGTGTTCCAATTGGCCGTGGGTTATATGGAGGAACCTGGTACATTGGAACCTGCCGGTAAGTGTTGCATCCCCTATCTGCAGGCGATCTAGAGATTGGGCTTGTAGGGATTCCCGGAGAAAAATTTCCCCAAGGAGAGCTCTGTGGTGGGAAGCATGATCCGCCACGGTTCATTTGAGACATAGAGCGGCGCGGCCCTGGGCCTGGGGCTTGAAGGTATCGGGCATGTTCCTCAGGGAAACGTCCATGAAAACTTGCGGTGCCAGAAGAAGGCCCAGAAAGCACTCGTTGGGAAGGAAATGAACTGGAAACGGGTATACCAGAAGCCGTGGGTGAGCCAGCCCAGAATTTGCTGGGTTCGGGACCAACTGAGTTGGTATTCAGGGACGAAGAGTCTCCGAACCGGCTGTCAGAAGCAGGGGCATTAACGCTCATACCGAATGACTGCTGAGGCGGGGCGACCCAAAACCCTTGAGCTTTGTTGTACGCGCCAGCCGAGAGTGCGTCGGAGACATCGGACCGTGAGTCTTCCTGCCCGTTCCACGTATCATGGAATTGACTGAAAACTCCATTTGACGCATTGAAAGCATTCTGCAGTTGGCTGATTGTCTGTTCACTAACCTCGCGTCCGTTGAAGTCGACTTCGGATGGGGAGCCAAGAGCCTGGTCCAAGGTGTGATTCATCACACGCGTCTGTGCTAGCTCTTGCTCCTGAAGGGCAATTTTGGAATTAGCAGCAAGGAGTTCCTGCTTGAGTCGGAGCACCTCAGTCGCTTCGACGCTTTTCGTTTCACCTGGAGCTGAGTCCTCAAGTGGCCCGGTTGCGAGTGTAAGTGGCGACGTGCTCGAAGAGCCAATGGCTTCTACCTGTGCACGTCTCATGGGGGCAGCATTGGTATTGACCAAAAAATGCTTTTGCTTGCCGAGTAATGCCTGTTGCTCTGAGAGCTTCGCAAGGATCTCTTGGCTAGGAGAGGTTTTGCCTCCAGAGGACTGGGGTTTAAGAGAAAGCTTGGCCAGTATTTTTTCCATCTCAGACTGTCCAACCGAGGATACATGCTTGGGATTTTCCAACTTCTGCTTGTGGGGTTGTGAGCCAACGATCTAGATTCAAGGATCTGTGAAGACGTAGGAACCTGACCTTGTGTGGTGGAACATCGTCTCCTTCGCCCACGGGTGGTTGGAAATTGCCGAGTCTTGAGGATACGAGAGGGTCAGGAGTGGTATGAGAAGTGCTCGATTGCCTGTGTCCCTGTGAAGGCAATAAGGTCAGCCGTCTGCGCCTCCCACCTTTCAAGTTGGCTCACTAGTTTTTCACGCCCAGAGGAAATGGTGCGCGCGTTGACGCCCCCTTCGCTGGAAAGTGAGCATCCTCCAGAGTGCTTGCGGCTAATTTTAGGAGAACCAGTTGAAAGCAAAGTCATGCTGCCTCTCGTGACAGTAATCGCCGTCCTGTAAACCGCAAAGTGACCGTTGAAGGTATAAAGAAACGAAAGAGAATGGTGAGCAAAGCGCTGCGAGAAAACAAACGATGAAGTAGTGTGTGGAGGAAAGGTAGCAATTGGGTACACCTGACAAAATCCAAATGATTTCACATGTAACGGTGATCTGGCAGTGGTGCAGATGTTTGTGAGATGGTGGTAAGTAGAAAGATAGAACTATTTCTGCGAGCAAAACGAAACACGATAGATGGCAGTGTCTGAGAGAAAAGAGATGAAAAGGGAGATCAAGGAGATTTGCAAAAACAAGAAATAAAGGGCGGAGGAAACGACGAATGTAGTCACAGAGTGGGACGGGACGAAAGAGCAGAGGAAAGAGCCCTAATGGGAAGCAGTGGTGGAAGGTACCTAAAAGGGAAGGCCCTTTATTGGCAGAACATTACTAACAGCCAATCTCTTTTGCACATGCAGGAACCAAATTAAGATTAGGAAAATGTAAATCACTCTGCTAAGATTCGTGAATAATTATTGGTGTTATGTTCTCGTTGGTAACTGGGTAATCAGAATGGCTAGGGTTTATGGTCTAAGAGAAACGTACAGATAGACATATTACCCACCTAGCGATTGTTGCAGCGTCATTAGGATACTTTCATAGCAAGCATGTTCCGTACGTTCCCGGTCCCCTGTAGGAACCAGGTGATATCTGCCAAAATTTGTTGAAATGCCCTGCGGCAAATAGACCACCGTGACCTTTCCAACGGCAGCTATCGCTCAGTACTATAAAGTCAGGCTGTCCGACACCTGTAAGTGTGGGCACGAGACGTGCAGCTTGTTCAAGACCGTGTATATCCGCACCCCAAACAATCAGCTCCAATCGCTCATTTTCTAAAGGACGAAGAAACAGCGCCCCCAGACCTTTCTGGTAGGTATATTCGGACACATACTTCTGTGCTTTCTCGTGGTCAATTCCCGCTTCATATGTGAAATGGGGAGAATTGCATGCGTTTGAGAGAACGAGGGTACCACGACAAACGCGAATTGGAAACGCCGGATTCCTCGAGGGAGGCAAGTCATCGCCTACAGCAAGGACTATAAAATTGCCGTGTCTGCTTTTAGATGTTTGGCCTAGAAAAGGAGCGGTCGAGCTGCATCTCTCAATTATCAGAGAATCTGCTGCAAAGTATTGCAGAAGGTTCCGACTAATTTGAAGTGCAATGTGTTCAGCACCAGCCGAGCAAGTAGAGATTGTGAAGGTCCCATTGGAGCGCAATATAGCATCCATTGCGCCCATTTGACGGCCATGCCTTTGGTAAATGTTCTTCCATTCAGTATCGTTTGATGTTATCCATTGGTTCAAAGGGTCTTTAAGATACCATGTCTTTTCGCATAGACCTGGGTCCACGATAAATGGATGTTCCATTCTGTCCAACACTAAAGCAACCGGGACTTCTACCCGGGTGCTAACTGAGAGACGAAAGCGATGTATATTTTGTGTCTGCAGGTACCAAACCCCATTTCCCAGATCTCGGGTGACCTCTATTTTGCCGTTCATGTCAGGTGACTGCAGCTGGTCGACATAAATCCCATACACGGATCCCATGGCTCCAGACGACGGAATGCTTATGATGAATGATAATGGGATCTTTGGTCGGTACTGGGAAATGGCCCTTTCTTCATAAAAGTCCAACAACGACGAAGTAGTCATGATTCCCTCGAACCAATGACCCTTTCCAGGTAGTTCATTGTATTGAGACGGCCCCTGGGTTCTTCCAAGTAGCTCGTGCATAAGACGAGAGTGGTACACCGGTACATTATCATCACTAGAACCATGTTGCTGAAATATCGGGATGCCTGCAGCATTTTCTAACAGTAGTTCATGTTTATAACTTGACCGAGACCTCTGGAGAACAGATGAGACTATTGGGTCGGAATCCTGCCACATATTGTATGACACGTAGTCTACATTATCAGCATACTTTCATTTGCTGCAAGAATCGAAGTACGTACTTTCAATGGAAGAATACCCTGATACTGGCGCCGCCGCAATAATATTGTCAGGATAGTGGGTCGAAAAAAACCATACCCCTTGTCCTATAACGGTAATTCTTGCTTAGCTACATAAAAGCATTCAAATACGGGGTATTAGGACTCAATACCTCCATTCGAATGGCCAGTGAGAATCCAGTCATCCACAGCTGCATGTGGGCCTTTCCAGTTAACGTTTCTGATCCATTCAGGGATTGCCGCTATAGCGGCTTGGACATCAGAGGCACCCCAAATATCTATAGCTCAATCAGTAGGGTTTGCATCAGCAAACTCTGGGTCAATGAAAGTTTCACAAGACTCACGCCAGTCATCACCACTCCATGGAGTAACACCAGTCGGGAGCAACTTCCACGAGCAAACATAATTGGCAGCATCCAACATCTCACGCACTTGGGGTGCATCTGCCTGAAGCCCTGCTCCGTGGAGAGCAATCATCACAGGCATGGGTTTTCGTCCCTCGTGAACTCCACAAATGGAAGTAAGCGGTGGTGGTCTCAAAATAGCATAGGAAACTATTCTCGCAGAATGAAGAAAGGTGATTTTTTGTGTTTCTGAAAGGGACTTCTCAACGAGTTTCACTTGAAAGGGCAGCGTCCCGAGGACTTCACCTTTTTCTGTATCCATCTTGTAGATAATGTCGACGGAGAATTCTAATTTCAAGGGAGAATCAAGAGAAATATTAAAAATAAGTGGCCGGACTTGGTACGGGAAAAGGTGTAGACTTTCCATGTCTAACACATATTGAGAGGCCTGGTCGATCCGTTAATCCATTTGCAAGTAACGCACATGGCACCTCACAAACTAACATCGGGCGAACTAAGAGAGACAATTTCAACCCACTCAGCTAGATTGTTCTGGACATCAATCGACGCCCAGCCATTTCCAAGCCTTCCCTGAGTGATGTCAGATACCAAGAGGCTCTCTGAGTCGATGTTCAAAGACATCTGGCGCTCTTCGGCTTCAACGTCGACCCCAATTATAGGTTCATCAGCTGCACCCAGAGCCCTAACATCGCGCGTCAACCTCATATCCAATGTATGTTGGCCTTGAGATAGGTGTAAGATAACGGGGGCTCTGCGATAGCTGTAAAAATCGCCACCAAAGTGCCGTTTACCATCCACTAAGAACTCGAGCAAACCACTCATATACAGAGCAATAGTCTGACCATTCGGCTGGCTCACATCCAAGAATCCACGGGCCCAGGCCTGGTATTGCAATGCAGACCACCCATATACAGATTGTAAAAAGCTCCATTCGACTTCCGAGAAACTCACATTCAGTGAGGCTTTTATCGTTCCCGGCGAAGTGCTCGAAATAACAGCCTGAAGGAGACTCCATCTGGCAGCTCCATTGACAGCAAGAGCACTGCTGAAAGTGGCATCCGTACTATAAGAAAGATTGGAGAAGCCGCCATAGTATTCCAATGGATCTGCGCCCCAGATAGCCTCTGGCCCAAAAATACATCAAAAGTCAACCTACGCAATATTCAAGATATCCAACACGATTAAAGACTGGGGAGTGCGAGCAGCACCAACCTCGTGTTCCAGATCGAAAAGGACCAAGAATCTGCCATGTTCTTGAAAGTGAGACGTTTCTGTTTACTTCAAGAAAAGGGATTTGATAGGGATTATCAAGGTGCGGCCCCATCATATCACGACTGCATACCACAGATTGGAGGGAACAAATTGCTAGTAAAAGCACACCCAACAAAAGGTTTATCATTTTGTATGGAAGAGCAACAATAGTCGATCAAGATCCTTTGACTGTATATCTCTTCGGAATTAGTGATGCAAATCTATCACTTATGCAACGACCTCTTGTAAAAGACAGTATTACCTCCTCACTGTCATTATTACTTCCTCGTACGCACACTGTGTAGGAAACAAGTAAAACAAATACTAATGGTAGTACAGTACCCCGTACAGTACTAGTACCAAGTTCCCGGCGGTGCATCCTACTGCACGGCCTCCCATTCTAGATGTTCATTCGCGGAGGGAGATTCGTCATCAGGACGGGAGCCCGCTATGCAGAGGACTTACTCCGTATGTACCTTGACCTCCAAAGAAATCCTACGTCGCGGCCGTTTCATCATTTTTTTTTTTTTTTTTTTTTTTTTTTTTCTTGGATATCAAAGGCGAATTAACGCCACAGCTTCTTTTCTGGCTGCGCGCTTGGGGAAACTACGGTATGCTAACTCTTCGGTCTTGCCTTCATCTTGAAAGTGGAATCGTTTTAACACTCGACCAGTTGCAAAGACCGCACTTTGGGACATGACGACAACCGTTGTGACTGGAACTGGGCGACGCTCCTCGACACGACCACCAGAGTTACAGATACCGGCAAAAACATCCATTTCACAGTCCATGACGAGTCCAATAGACAAGTTCCCACCTTTTAGCGACGAGCCATATGATACAGCAACAGGGCAAGGGGAACCGCAATCCAGCTCTACTATCAGGTACGCACCGCGCGATCTTTGGGAGCCTCGAAAGGCGGGCGCATTCGCGCGGGAGCATGGGAACGAATCAACCAGAATCTCGAAACACAGGCCCAGGAAAAGCGTCAGTGAGGCGATTAGCACAATTAGAACCCGGAATGCCAGCGTGAGTGCAAATGCGCAGGAACTAGCACAGGCCTTGAGGGCGCCAGTCTCTTATCAGCTGATAGTAAGATTGCTGATATCCCTTTCACTCGAGGAATTCGGCTAAATGATGCATCGGTAGTTCCTTTGTCTTATTTGGTACATGACCTCGGCCGTCACGAACACATCGTCGAAATCCATCCTCAATGCTCTACCGAAACCTATCACCCTTACAGCTGTGCAATTCGCCTTTGTGTCAATATGGTGCTTGGTATTGGCGTATCTTTCTACTGTGGTGCCATCGCTCAGAAGGAGTATACCAGCACTGAAAAATGGCATTCTTTACCCGTCGCGCGATGTTATCATGACAGCATTGCCCTTGGCGATATTCCAACTGGCTGGTCATATACTCAGTTCCATGGCTACCTCTTTGATACCGGTATCGTTAGTCCACACGATCAAGGGCCTTTCGCCTCTTTTCACCGTTCTCGCATACCGTGTGCTTTTCCGCATCCGATATGCTAAAGCAACGTATCTGTCGCTAGTCCCATTGACCTCAGGCGTGATGCTTGCCTGTTCTACAGGATTCTCTACGAACTTCTTTGGCATACTGTGCGCACTCGTTGCGGCGCTAGTCTTCGTTTCGCAAAATATTTTCTCTAAAAAGCTTTTCAACGAAGCTTCGCGCGCTGAATCGGAGCAGTTATCAGGAATACGAAAATTAGACAAACTCAACTTACTATGCTATTGCTCCGGGATAGCATTCATCCTCACATTACCGATATGGATTTGCAGTGAGGGTTATTCACTAATATCAGACTTCATGCAGGACGGTATCATTTCTCTTTCAGGCAAGAAAGGCTCATTGGACCATGGAGAACTCTTCCTCGAGTTCGTATTCAACGGGGTTTCGCACTTTGCGCAAAATATCCTGGCATTCATTCTGCTCTCTAAGATTTCACCTGTGTCATACTCCGTCGCTTCTTTAGTGAAACGAGTATTTGTCATCGTTGTCGCCATTGTGTGGTTTGGCAGTCCGACCACTTCAATGCAGGCTTTGGGTATTGCTCTTACTTTCCTCGGGCTTTACCTATACGATCGAAATAGTCATGATGATCTTGCAAATCGACGGGCGAATGCAGATTATTTTCGCGCCAAGGAATCCGTCCTCCCCTTGAATGCGCGAACGCCAACGAGTACCCCATGGAATTCCAACGGTTATGCCTTCCCATCTGGCAAGGATTCTCAAGGCCCGTTTTCTGAGAACCCACATCATTTGGCTCATAATTCAAAGAAGGAAGATGATACTTCTGGTCATGTTCGATCGAGAGGAGGCAGTACTTCTCGAGCATGGTTACCGCCTGGCACAAAACAAGAGTCAACATGGCAGCCAAGTGACTCTTGATATTTTCTTTTGTTCATCTTTCTCTTTTTCTTTATATTTTCTTGCTTTGCCTAATCTCGAAATTGAAACTTGTTCACACGTACTAAACAAAAGGAGGATGTACTCCGTAAGAATTGAGTTTCCCTCCATCTGTATTATAACATAACGTGAAACTATCTACAACCTAGATAGAGGTTTTGATATATGTATTTTGTTTTATTTTTTTTATTTTATTTTTATTTTTTTATTTCTTTTTCTTTTTAACGAATCACCAGGTGCTGATTACCGTGATTATTAATCATTGAACATGTTGCCACTGTCAGCAGAGAACCAAAAAAACCCTCAATAGACAGCCAAACTGCCCTGGGCGGCTCCAGCTTAGTGAACGCTTCTTCTTGGATCATGTAGCAGAGGAAGAAGGGACCTATATTGCCTTCAGCAATACCCCTTCCACCTACAATAATCAAGTCCGATGAATGAGTTATGATTCAAAAGAGAAGAGGAAAAAAGGAAAACAAATCCAGAAGAAAAAGGTGTGGTTCGGATTAAGGGATTTCCCGCATAACCGAGCCAATCCGCAGCGGGCAATTTGCGAGTGACGCCCGCTTTGGCAGACCAGAATCCGAACCAAGCCAAAAGTGCTCTTGTCCAAAGAACAACAGCTTCGCAGCTCTGTGCCTGCGGCCAACTTTTCCAGTCTGCTGTACTTGTTATTTTTCCTTCCCCTTCCCTTCCTTGTCTCCTTTATCTCACCATGCGGCCGCAACTGTTTCGTGCGGCCGCCCGGTCTTTCCGGGTCCCAAAGGTCAGCAGCTATCCCAGGACCTTCGCAACGACTGCCCCTCGCACTGCTGAGGTAGAAGTCACAATTGGTATGTCAATCCTTCTTTGCCATCAAGTCTGATATTATTACTGACGGCTGTTGGTTACTAGATGGCAAAAAGATATCAGTGGAAGGTAAATACAGCCATAGAAGCGAACGAACTCGTGGCACCCCTACTTACACAGTTTTGCAGCCGGTTCAGCTCTTATTCAGGCTTGCGAGAAAGCAGGCTCGACAATCCCGAGGTGCGTACTGCTTCACGAATCCCTGTCTACGGTTAAAATAGTCTAACAAAAGCATTGCAGATACTGCTATCATGAGTACGCTCCATCCCTTCCAGTGAAGATATTACACCTGCTAACATACCTAAAAGAAAGCTTTTGATTGCAGGCAACTGTACGTTTCCTTCCGTTCTCCAAGTCTTCTAGGTATTGAACAACAGTCTAATGGCTTTGCTAGGCCGTATGTGTCTTGTTGAAGTCGAGCGAGCCCCCAAGCCTGTGGCATCGTGTGCCTTCCCTGTACAACCGGGGATGAATGTCAAGACGAGTTCGCCTCTTGTCCATAAAGCGAGAGAAGGTGTGATGGAGTTCTTGCTCGCTAATCATCCTCTTGACTGTCCCATTTGCGACCAGGGTGGAGAGTGTGATCTTCAGGATCAATCGATGCGTTATGGCGCTGACCGCGGCCGATTCCACGAGGTTGGCGGTAAACGTGCCGTCGAAGATAAAAACATCGGGCCTCTAGTCAAAACCTCCATGAACAGGTGTATTCACTGCACACGTTGTGTCCGGTTTATGAACGATGTTGCTGGAGCTCCGGAACTTGGAACCACAGGCAGAGGGAACGACATGCAGATTGGAACTTATCTGGAAAAGAATCTCGACTCAGAACTGTCTGGTAACATCATTGACCTTTGCCCCGTGGGCGCACTCACCTCAAAGCCTTACGCGTTCCGCGCTCGTCCCTGGGAACTAAAACACACCGAATCCATTGACGTCCATGACGCTTTGGGCTCCAATGTTCGAATTGATTCTCGTGGGTTGGAAGTCATGCGTGTAATTCCAAGACTCAATGACGATATCAACGAGGAATGGATCAACGATAAATCTAGATTTGCGTGCGACGGTCTGAAGACGCAAAGACTTACAACACCATTGATCCGCAGGGAGGGAAAGTTTGTTCCGGCCACTTGGGAACAAGCCTTGACCGAGATTTCATCTGCTCAACAGAAGCTCCAACCCAGCGCAAATGAGTTCAAAGCTATTGCCGGGCATCTCGTTGATGCTGAATCGCTCGTGGCCATGAAAGATTTGGCTAACAAACTTGGGTCGGATAACCTTGCCTTGGATCAACCTGGAGGCAGTTCACCTATTGCCCACGGTGTCGATGTCCGCTCCAACTATCTTTTTAACTCTAAGATCTACGGTATCGAGGAAGCGGATTCTATTCTTCTCGTCGCTACCAACCCTCGCCACGAAGCGTCTGTCCTCAATGCTCGCATTCGCAAACAGTACCTGCGCTCTGACCTCGAAATTGGACTGGTCGGAGAAAAGTTCGACAGCACTTTTGACTACGAGCACCTTGGTGCTGATGTCTCTGCTTTGAAGTCGGTCCTTTCTGGACAGTTTGGTGAAAAGCTCGCTTCCGCTCAACGCCCAATGATTGTTGTCGGTAGTGCCGCAGCTGAGCACCCGGATGCCAAGGCAATTTTCGAGGTGATTGGAGGCTTCGTCGACAAGCACGCCAACAACTTCAACACCCCCGAGTGGCAAGGATACAATGTTCTTCAGCGCGCAGCATCCCGCGCAGCGGCATATGAGGTTGGGTTTACTACGCCCTCTCCGGAAGTCGCCCAAGCGAAGCCTAAGATGGTCTGGCTCCTGGGCGCGGATGAAGTTAGCCAGAGCGATGTTCCAAGCGACGCATTTGTCGTCTATCAAGGTCATCATGGTGACCGCGGGGCTCAACTGGCCGACGTTGTCCTCCCCGGTGCAGCCTACACCGAGAAATCCGGCACCTATATCAACACCGAGGGCCGCGTGCAAATGACTCGTGCTGCGACCTCCTTGCCTGGTGCTGCACGTGATGACTGGAAGATTATCCGTGCGATCAGCGAATTCCTCGATGCACCACTTCCCTACGACGACATTGAAGCTCTCCGTGACCGTATGGAGGAAATCAGCCCTGTGATGCGGCGCTATGATGTAGTCGAAGCAACTTCTCTCCCCTTGTTGAGCAAAATTCAATTGGTCGAGCAGAATAAGGGCACCCAGCCCACCAATGCCCCATTCAAGAAGGTTATCGAGGATTTCTACTTCACTGACTCTATTTCAAGAAGGTACGTGCACCATTCACCCGTTCCTTATAATGTATTTTTTCGTGTCGCTCACAGGTCGATAGTTCGCCGACTATGGCTCGCTCCTCTGCAGCCAAGGCCACCGGAAACCCTGAGACGAATTTCATGGCAGCTGGTGAAATGTCTCCCCAGGCTTTGTATGGTTAAACAGGGCTTTGGTTGCAGTGGATAGATATATTTGTTTCTCTATCGGTCTAGGCGTTGTCGTTCTACCACCTAAACGTCACTATTTTCTCGTGTCGTTTGTATGATGTTTAGTTTCACTTTTGTTTTGAACTCCCTTTTTTCTCATGTGTATTTCTGTTTTTTTTTTTTTTTTTTTTTTTTCTTACGGCGCCTCAGCTGCTTTTGATATGACTCGGACCTCGTTGATAGTGGTCGACTTGTATATAAGATTGAGATAAAATAAAAAAATATTAGATTCCGACGGGTGTCGCCAAGATCTATGAGTATACTTCATGAATACGGAGCTCAGGTATCAGATAGTATCCTGTAAAATGTGTGCTATTTCGAAAAACCAATGTGGTCATGGCTTTTGTCACAACTCATCATCATCTGTCTCTCCAGCAGTACTTTCGACATCATCTTCTGCTTGATGCAGCTGACTCTGTACCTCCTTCTTTTCTGGGACTCGCCTCGCAAAAGGGAGTTCTCTTCGCGGCGGAGAAGCTGCAGGATCCTTGAGCATAGGACCATTACTTATGTTGGAATTTTGCACGTTATCGTCTTTCTTTTCTGGCTCGACATGTGACAGGACGGACTCTTCGTCTGTGGTGGTGCCATTGTCTCCATCTTCTAATGGCTGAGGAGTTGAACCCTCTTCATCGTCCGTTTCTTGGTCCTGTTCCCGACCTTGGTTACCAACGTGATCCACATGCATTTCTTCAAATCCATCTCCACTTTCTGATTCATCTTTGCTCATTTCTCGATCGCGCTTTAGGCGCTTGTTTTTCTGTGTTAAATTGCGATCCTTAGATGTTGCCGCTTGTATCTCAGATACTGAATTGGATTAGCACCTAGTGACGGTATTCATGGACCAGGTCGGGCGAAAGACACATACCCTTGACTGGATTTACCTTGGCCGAGGCCAATAGGCGCTGTTGATTGCGAATTTTAAGCTTCTTCTCGTTCAGCAACTGAGCGAAATTGGCAACCAGCTGATCTTCATGGTGGGACTTTGCGTGAACGAGCTCCTCAAGCTGCCTCGTCAGCTGCTGGATAGTGTCCTCGGCGATGCGACAACAATCAGCTAGTGATGAAGAGCGCTCCTCGGAGGCATATGCTCTGGCGGCGGCAACACCAAGCCAGTCAAATAGTTCGATGGTTTGTTCATCATCTTGTTTGAGGCTTATGGACCCGAGCCTTTGCTATGATGCGGTTCAGCGAGAGGACAACAAGATCATTATACGGAGCATACTGTTATAGTTTGGATTCGTTTTCGTATAGTCAGGACTATCTCTTTGTCTTCATCGTTCGCAGAATCAGAGACGCTGGCCGAGACCTCGATCCCATGTGACCACTTTGGTTTACCAACTGTCGACGAAAATTGTCCAAAAACGTATGATACAATCTGAGCCCATTCTTCGTCACTGCCTTGGTAACTTTTCGCACGGAGGTTCTTCAGCCGACTCTGATTGACTGTTGTTCTCGGTATATTAGGACACGAAAAAGACGATATCAAGGAACATTCGAACGTGTAGAAATGATGAAAAGACTCACTATAACCGGTATATGGGTTCTCCCCTTCCGTGGCAACGACTGCCAGGTCGGAGCGTGACTTGGTAACTCGGAGCAGCACGTAGGAGTTGGGTTCATCGGTTTTAGGGATCCGCAATATTTGCAGAGATGATGCGCTGTTAGGTTCTGCCGGCATTTTGTTATCCGAGTTCAAGTTGGTCGTACGGAGTATGCCGCAGTCGAAAAGTGATGAGATGATGTATATATATATAACACTGTCAATGCTATTGCTGCCTGCTATGTCCGCAGATACTGCCTAACCACTTTAGAATGTATTACTATTATTATATTTATTCCTAGACGTTGTTAATACACGTATGTAAATAACACAAAAATACAAATATACTCTGTACATCCCAGTGCCTCAGATACTGGAGGAAGAAAGAAACATAGCTTCAGAACATATGGATGGTAAAAAACATAGACCACAGTTTATATTGTGCAAAATACAAGTCAGATAGAAAGGCATAAGATCCTTTCAATAATAAATAGCAAGCAAATGTACAGAGTACACTACTGTACCATGCACAAGCACTTTAAGGAGTGGAGCATTTCGACTTTTACATACATATACTCCGTACATCAGTCATAGCTTCATCAGCTCCATTTTTGACCCTCATTAGTCTTGCTTAGCAGGTGTGCTAGTCCGTGGTGGTCTTAGTGTAATCCATACTGCATGGAGTATCTACATATTATGTACTAGCAACTCTCAAACAAGTGCTCCATGTTTTTCTTTCTTTTTTTCCCCCCTCCCCTTCTCCCTCTTCTTCTTTCTCCCCCAGTCCAATTTGGAGAAAGTGCCAACTCTCTGTCCCTTCATTACATAGTCCTTGTGCACAAAGAACCTACATAATAATTCATACACCCGCGCGCTGCGTTAAGCCCTGTCTCATCCAAGGAATTCAGATCTAGCCATCATCAAAACTATTGGGATTCACGGACAGCACTCGAACACAACGGACACAAGAGCCTGGCTACTTTCGCGCTGATTCTCCTGTAGCCTTTCCTATGATACTTGCTTCTACGTACTCTCGTGACCTGGAGCGAATCTCGAATCCACCGTCCGATACCCCCCTGAGCCACACCCAATTCCAGCTTCTGTACTCTGTACTCTCCTTCTCCCCGCTTTTGCTTTCGGCCTCTCTCCTTCCATTCAAACCCCAAACAAGAGTTACGACTGCAGAAATTTCGCCATATGTCTCTCTCCTGGTAGCAAATCCCATCTTCCCATCTTTCGCTCACTCGCAGGCGAGTTCGGGATGACGTTCCACCCTGCTCCGCAACCTACCGGACAGTCTCAATAAACAAACATCGCTTCTCATTCCCTCTTTTTTTTTTTTTTTTTTCCCTCTCTTTTTCTTTTCTTCCCCTCCCTCGCGCTTGCTCTTTGAGGGTTTTCCCATACTCAACAGTTCCTAGATCATGGAACCGTTGACCCTTCAATTACGGCAGGATGACGAAGAAACAATCGAATGCTGGGACGACGATGGTGATCTACAATGCCATGAGGATATACAGTTTCGTGCTGCGTCCAGCGCTACATCCGTGACGAGCTGTTCGATTCGCCGATCAGGACATCGGGATTCAATTTCATCTCGTCGCTCTGCTAGATCCGATCTTGAATCCAACGCCGGCGGCGATGACGACTGGCAAGTACAATTACTTGAAAACGATGATTATGCGACCGACGATGCTATCGCGTCTGCTCAGAGCGCCGGGATTCCATTGCCTGCGAATGTGCCCAAGTCGGCCCTGATAGGGGGCACAATCAAGTGCCTGGGACGGAAGAAGCCAAGAAGAAACTTCGCAGATGATTGGTCTGAAGACGTCGAGTTCCCAGACTCGGAGTATACGTTGAAATTGAAGGACCCCAAAGAACGAAATTTCCCTGGAATTCTTCGGCAAATCAACTCCACTGCAACAAGTCCTGTGAAGTGCTCGGCTCCGTTGTCAAGGGATAATGATATATCAGGCCGCCTGCATTCTGCGTTGGTGGGGTTGGCTCGGGATGATGACGATGTTGCTGATCTTCAGAACGTGCCTACTATCAAGCTCCCAAAAACTCGGACACCTCGACAAGCAACGCCCGTCAATAACGATACCTACGAAGCTGAAAACGAAGTGGAAAGTTTCGATAATGATTTCGAGTTGCCTCCCGATGATCTCCCACTTAGGCGAAAGGTCAACGCAAACAGTTCAAGCCAATTCCCAGAAGACCTCGATTTAGACTGGTCTGAAGGGAGTATCGGTGTTCGACTTGGTGGCACGGCGCGGGATCGGCGATCCAATCCTAGCTCATCAGTGTCGATTGCCAGCCCGAGTTTGTCGAGCTGCTTGACGGGCGAGAGTGAAGATGATAATCTTGATGGTCTCGTTATCCCTGACCAACCTCTGGACCTGGAAACATCCCTAAGGAAGCTACAGGATCCACCCATAGCTGCCCAGCCACATCCAGAATTCATACAGGGTGGACAGGAATCGGCGGTGGACGATTTCTTCTCCGGTATCGAAATCGAAGGCGGCGATATTTTCACATCAAACGTGTCACTCAACCCAAATGTAAAATGCAAGGCAGAATGCCCGGAAAACCCGGCACGTCGTTCGGCGACTACAATTCGGTTCACGAATACATCCGCATCTCCCAAGACTCGGATCCCCCGTCTCTCAGGTCATGATCGCCCACACTCAACTTGTCTTGAAACCGTGTCGGAAAGTGGAGCACCCCTTTCTAATTTTCGGCGTTCACAAAAATCTCGGCTCGGCGGCCATTCATCGCACTCTTCTCTGTCCAGTTTGCCTGCGCCTAGTTCAATGTCGACATCTCCGACTTCCCAGCCCGCTGGTCGACGGTTGGTTGGGACGCGTGTCTCGAAGGATTCCTTGTTGGCTGCGCGTGCTCCTACCGGAAAGCAATCGCTGCAATCCTTGAAGGCAAAACGATCCATGCCGGCTATGCGCGGCATGTATCAGAATTCCATGGTATCCCAAGGTACAGTGTCCCATCAGGATACAAAGAGCCAATGGTTTATGTCTACAGCCTATCCAAAGACGCCAGTCGATCGCATGAATGCTAATCGCAGGACTCAAGCGCCATTCATCCCGGCAGGTGCTTCAGAAAACCAATCGCATCACATCACCGTCAAGAGTCACCGTCATGCACGTAGTCCGAGTGATGTACTTTATTCACGGGGGTCTGTATCGCGACTTGCACGGCTGAATCACACTGATGCTGTTGACAACAACGGTTCTAGCGATACTGGTTCAGAAACAATTGCCGCCAAGCGTACCCTCACTAAGCCAGCTCGTCGGCGGAACTTTGGCGACGGAACGGAACTGGAGTTGTTTGATGATTTGCCCACGTCTTCCTCGACCGAAAGCAAATTTATCAAACATGCCAGCGGACGTGGCGCCCCAAGGTTCCTCCGAAGCAGGTTGGGCCAGAGTCAAAATATGGTACTGCAGGGAGAGACACCACAATCACCTGCACCCGTTACTTCACTGAAGACCCTAGACTCCACACCGCGTTTCGCGCGGGATACGAATGCCTCCAGGAATGCAAGAGAACAGCGCATTTCCTCCGTGAATATGAAGGATCGAGAAGTCAACCCACTCCCGTCACTAGGTGCGAATCGGAAGGCTCAAAGAACGTCACGTGTCTCTTCCAATAGCTCGGCGACATTGAGAAACAAGAAGAAAAAATCCGTGGTGCCTGGGAACAAGCCCCATTTAATTAAGCCGATGGGTGTGGGCGTTCAGGGGGCTAAATGTGAGTTAGTGCATTTTTTATTTCTATTGTCGTTTTTATCTTGTCTTCGTGGAGCTGATTTTATATTTTTCTAGCTGTAAACGGGATGCGTTACAATCCCATCACTTTCCGCTGGGAAGGAAATGAGAATTTGGTCCAAGACTTTGACAATATTTCCCCGATTTCTCCCAAGCCAGCACCAGCACTTATCACCAACGTAAGCGCAATGCAGAATGTGCAGGTGGTCGGGGGTATGGTGTTCGATCCACAGCGCATGTGCTGGCTTAAATTAGCACCGCTACAGCCCGGAGCCAACGGGCTAGTAGCCATTCAAGATGAGGATGATGTTTTTGCTGGCCTTGACGACCTTGATGATAAAGCATGGAGCAACGATCATAGTGGACGAACTTTGGGTGCACCTGATGATCTTGGTCCTGTGGCAAGCGGAGACGATCGAAGCGGTGGGGAGTCGTCAGACGAATGGCCCATCACAGAGGAATTTGACGTCGGTCCCGAGTTCATCAAACGCCAACGGGCCGAAGAAGAGAAATGGAAACATAAAGTTGATAAGTGGGTGGGCTTCGAGCGCCGAAAGCTCGATGATGGATGGCGATGGGCTATCCGAGATTTGGTAAAATCGAACAGCCCATTTGAAACGGATCAATTCGACGATACAGGTGCTAGTTACAATGGTGACCAAGGAGAGTGAGCGATGAGCGTAATGAGAATGCACAGTGATACCCACCAAACCAGCGGCAGAAGGGGGTTGGAGCAAAAATAAAACAAAGAAGAAAAAACCACCCTACGGCGGCATTGCCTGACATTCTGGGCAGAAGCATGCTGTATGTTTGTTGACATTGATGATTATGATTATTATTATTATGATGACGACGATCATAAAAGAAAGAAAGGAAAGACCTCTCACCAGGCTTGCAATTGGATGATACCCCTCCCATATGATTTCATGAGACACACCTTGTTGATATTAATGAGCCAGTCAGCATGATGAATTTCCTTATATCACTGGTCTATTGCTGTACTTTTTTGATACAATACTCTTTTGGCTCTTCACAGAAAACTTTTGATATGCAGAGATACCTGTGTAACTATACCTAGTATATGACATTATTTAGGATATAAATATATGCCTATAGACTCTATGTGATGGTTGTTCTATCTTTCATTAAAGATCTTAGGGCTAGTTTTAGCATGGGCCCTAAAATCGAGGTCTACACAGATCCCGGCAATCTGCCTATTTATTTTCAAGGCAAACATGGTGCATCCTATGACTGGTCCCTGTTATTTGTACATCGGAGGAAAACCCCTGTGGTTGGTGCATACATAGTACAGAGACATCGCTCGATGGAGAATATGCAACATGGGCGCCTTCCCCTCCTCTCTCTCTTTCCAGGAGAGTGGGGTAAAGGAGGACAGGGGTTTCCGTTAGACAAGCAAAGCGCACCGGGCTGAGGCAACATAATACCTTCACCATTCATTATGAAGCCGGATTTCATTGATTCGAGTCAACCGAGCCAAATGCTTAAATAAATTTCAAAAAAAAAAACAAAATAAAAACATATTGGTATATCTTATAGATATTTCCTTTTTGTTTGTGTATCCAGGATGGATCGTTGTCAGACAAAGAGGAGAGAGAGCATAAGCCAGTAGCACAAACATAGTAAGAAATCACTAAGGAATTCTTGGAGATGACAGCCATCTTCCCTGTAATGCCAAGGGCTAAAAAAGAAAAGAAAAAGAAAAAGAAAACACGGGATCTGATCACAATCATATGTACAAGCACTCTTGCAAGTGTGAATGAGCCATACACATTCAATCCAGTAGCTCCGGATTTACTTTTGATCCACCAGAGCTCTCTCTCCAAAAAAAAAAAAAAAAACGGTGACTCCAGAAGCGTTCTCCGGGTCCTACAAACAAAACAACAAAACACCACCAATGCAAGCAAAACGAAAAGAAAAAGAAAACAAGGAAGGGGGGGACGGGGGTAAATAAACAAAAAGAGTTATTCAAGGTTGTACAGTAAGTAATTCTACTGGATCAAGGAGAGGTGTCAGGTTTAGCTGCAGCACATACCAGGACCAAGATCACCCGTCTCAGAAAGAAAAAGAAAGAAAAGAGACATAGTGGTATAGAGAGGAAACCTTTTATTGCTATCGAGGGCTGAATCTCAAAACGCAATGTCAATTCTGGTTTGTAGAGAAGGAAGAAAGCCGCAATGGGTACTTTTGCGTGCGAATGTACTACAATTGCAGTTACTCACGATGATCTCGAGTCCAGGCAGAATCGTAATCTACTATACGAAGTAAGGTACAGCAACACGAGAGACTTAGCAACCGGCCATGGCTTTCCCTAGCATTGTCACTCTCAAAACAGCGTGCGACACACCCAAGGTGAACCTTGGGCTTCTCTGATAATACTAGACATGCTTTGGCACACATGGCAGCATATCACCAATACATTTCTCAATGTAGCAGGACACGACACACATGCATGCAGCTCTCCATACTGCTGATTATCCCCTCTCAGAAGTCTCAGGAAGCACAAGCAATTGAAATTCATGATCTTGGAATGCCACCTGCAGGACACACAATTGACACATTAAGAGTAGCCAGGAGTGGTGATTGGGTTCAAGAAGCGGTTGATGTACAGGACAGACTTGCAAGTGACAAAAGAATAATGTGGTAAGAAAGAAGAATAAGAAGAGATGGGACTAAGGGGACAAGGCAGTCCTTATTCAAAACAAGCTCTCCTAAGGCCCAGATAATAAGAAATGAGCATGACGTTAACTCGGGACTTTTTTTTTTTTTTTTTTTTTTTTCTCGATGCGCAAATGCTTGTCTGGATTAGAGGTCAGCTGGAGAATGTCCAGAAACTGTATTACAGTATAAGCGCTCTTGCCCCTTCTGGGGGTTCCGGTATGGACGACCTCGAGGAGCGAGCCCTATTATTGCGCTCGCTGCTTTGACCCATCCCGCGGGTTTTCCCATTCTTGCATGTACATACGATAATGGCATGGGATGATTGGTTAGGATCCCTGTTCCTTTTCTAGTTTATTCCGCGTTACCCTTTTTGTTTGTTTGTTCAAAAGCTAATCCTTGCCGGGACCAACTGTAGCTGTCTGGCTGCTTGCTACGCCTTGTTGTTCGCTTACCACTTTAGGACAATGTCGGGGTATCCCTGACCCAGGAGCAGCGAATGAATTTTCTGTGTCCCTATACCCTGGGAGGCGCAAGCGCCAGAAAGAAGTTGTAGATGAAGAACCATGCATGTACTGGCTACATTACTAGGCAGACCGGCATGGTCTCATCGCAGGCATACTATCTTGGGCACAATTTGTGCCTGTCATGTAGAGGCCTCACAACATGCAAGCCAACTATATGAAGCGCCCAGGCCCTTCTCGTTTCTCTAGGCATTCTTGATTGTCTCCCTACTTATACAACTTGATGCGCTGGTGGCAGACATCTCTCAAGCATGCAGAACACAGCAGAATACGCAATGAGCAATTTTGAAAGACATGATAATGGTGGGCATGAAAGCTATCTCATTGATCAGCAAATTGCCCTCCCTCTTCCATATAGCCATTCTGAGAGTCATCCATTTGGTCCAGGCGGCTCATACCATTTGTCGCAGCCTGCTCTCCATTCCTACATGGCCCAGTTTGGCCCGACTTATGCTCAACAGTCGATATCTCCTAGCATCCAGCACCTGGCTTCACACTATCCACCGGGGCCCTCATTTCCACCGACTCCGGACCAAGCAGGGCTACAAAATCAATCCTCACAGTGTATCAATCAGCCCCAATACCTCCAGTCAGCGGCGTATCTGCCTCTGCGAGAAGCACATAGCGAGACAGACATCGAAAACCAAGAATCTAAAAATGAGAGAACAATGCTGTCAGAAGCAATTGTTCCCGCGCCAGAAGGTTTTCCAAATGCAGAAGAATTTGATCGTTTGATAAATGGGTAAGTACCTTTGGCTCATGTAATAATTGATTATGCTCACCAAAGAAAATGGCTCAGTTACATTCATGACCTTTCTGCCAAAAAACGGGACAAGGCCCTTATACATGCCCAAAGGGCAGGGCACATAAAAATGATATTGTCTGATCCCAAAAATACTGCAGTAGAAACTGCACAGTTCCGGTATGAACTCGCGAGCTATGATCATACTTGTCTTAAGCCTATGTGCTCCCTGCATTTCAGTATGAGACAAATAGCCCCTTGGTTACTTGCTAAATGAAAGTTGACTAGGTTTTGGGCCAAGAAAATGTTTGAACTTAGAACAACTGGAGTTGGATCCTCGAATGTTAGTATATTTTGAATTGTGAATTTCTTGATTAGATTTACATTGCTGGCTCTCGGACAACAGCAGATTCTTTATACTAATCCGATGTTTAAAGTGTATGAAGATGATTTGCCATGAAGGGAGGCCAGTGGCCGTTCGCGAAAAGCTCTATAAGATACTTACAAAAGCACACCTGCAATGCAAGCATGGCGGCAGAGACAAGACATCAGCCAAGGTTCGAACAAACTATTCATGGTAGGAATGTCCCCGGCTCCAAATCGTATCTAATCCACTTCCATATGCTGACCATGCTTTAGGGTACCGAAAGAGCTCATTTCACGTTTCGTGAAGATCTGTCCAACTTGTCAAGTTCGCCGTAGAGGGCTGCGTCCTAGGCCCTCTGGTTCTCAAAAACGCTCAGGTCATCGTTCCTCAAAAACAAAGAAATCCTCTTCTCCGCCCACTTCAAGACGTGGGTCGGCACTCAATTCTCAAACGCCGTCACAAGTATCACAAGCCGAATATCTTGGTCAGCTTGATGGCCATCATGATTGGATGGACAGCCAACAGAATGTTCATGAACGGCAAGGCATAAACCAGGGCTCAGTGGAGACGCTAAGCCACTTCCCAAATTCAATTTCGGCAACATTAGACCCATTTGGGGGTGAAATGGCGATGTCACCGTCCCAATTGAATTACGGTGTTGGATATGCATCCGGGATTCTGAAATCCTGAAAGCTTCTTAGCATATTGCTTGTGTTATGTTTCTTTTTTTTTTTTTTTCTTTCTGTTGTTCGGCCGGTGATCGAGCTGCCCCCCTTCTATATTCCAACGATTTCATGATATATAAAAGTAATTTGGAGCTATAAAGTGTTATAGCTGAAGCTTGTCAAGTTTAGTTTCTGCTTCCAAATGTACACAGGAAACACGATTTTCTTTCTTCCCCGAAGGTGCTACGCCATGAGACGAATTTGAATAAACTAATTGAATTTCATATGGAGCAAATTACGACATTCAGACATGTGTCGAAAGATCGAGTCGACACTCCACGCTACTAAACTCCTCACAAACCGTACAGGCCCTACCAGCACAGTAGTATCTTTGTTTTAAACAGGAAGCGAGAATTTCTTTCCTTTCATGACTCTGTATCTGTTTAGCAGTGATCGTAATGTATGGACCCGAATGACTTACTTGGTGTAGTAGATATAGAAGAAGTCCGAATACAGGAGTGTCTGGATTATACCTGCCACAACTGGATTGGGTTCAAAGCGGCCCTCTGCAAAATAACGATATAGCCAATTAGGGATATAGAGGGCACGATACATGCCCAACGCAAAGAGATAATGGGTAGTTATGGTGTCTGCTTCTCCAGTTCGTTGCAACATGAAAAGCTGCGGCAGAATGGCGACAGATTCAAGCCAGATCGAAAAGGTCCAGAGTATCTCAAAAGGTGTCAATATGCATTGTATCATACAAGTTTGGAATACTGACCTCAGAGACCCTGTAGTTATGTGAGAAAAGCAGGGCAAACAAAGCGCTGAACCCGAGAAGATAATGAACTTTGAATGTATCGAGATTGGGGTCATGAGTTGGTTTGTAGTCGTTAAGCATGAGGTAGATGATGTACGCCGAAGAAGCTATGAACATGATCTTAAAGGTAGTATTGTAGAGCGATTGCGTAAAACTCCAAAATAGATCTAGCCATTGCATTGTCCCGTTAGATCACTTCGAAAGACATATGCTTGAATTCCAGCTTACCAAGGTAGCGAGTGATGAATACTATCAAATATAGCACTTGTGATTTGAATGACAATCCAGAGCAGCTCTATATTTTGGTCAGCACTGTGCAAAGATAGCAGCCCAACCATGCATACACTTGAAGTCTTCATCTTCTGTAAAAGGATGAAGATTGAAGAGAGATGGGAAAAATCAGCTAATCCATTTGGTATTCATTAGTCTTTCACTTTGAAACATATTGAAAAGAGTTACAGAGAGCGAAACACACCTAATAGCCTGAAGATATTCATTGTGAATGGGCTGAGGGGTGTATAGGATATAGGACCGAGGGATGAATGAAGGAAAACAGTTGTACTGCAAAGAAATAGTTTTTCAAGGAATCTAAATAGGAATGTCCATGAAAACCAAACAAGGGCTAGCGGCCATTGGTTATTATTGACGTCGTTGAATTGGCCTGGCCAGTGTGAGGCAGAATCGATGTCTGTTGCGAGTGATTGATGACACGAAGCCTTAAACTACGCGACAAGGTACGCCCCACATCACGCGTGGCTGCATCCGCATAGTTTACAGGCACAGCTACTTCCCTCCCCCCAAATATTTTGTACATATAATATATATGTATAATAAACTAAAATAAAAAGAAAAGGAGAGGGAGAGACATTATTGGGGTGGGAACTGGGCTTCGCCGCGAGTATAAAATATAATCTCGTTAGACATTAAGGCTAATTATGTCAATCCTAGCTGAGTGGCCAATATTGGGAGTTGTCAGGAACATGTTCAAAATATTGTTCCAATCCGTACACTTTCACCACCAGTGATACGTTGCAGATGTCCCTCAGCAAGTTCACTTTTCAGAGTGCTAATGGAGCTTTCTCTGTCTAATCTATCCCAATCTTTCAGACCGGCCCTCTTGGACGCCTGCTTTTGCGCGACTTGGTCGAACAGTCTTGCCTTATCGGCGTTTAGGTGCAAGATGCGCTTTTCAACTGCAGGGTCAAAGCATGATGGGAAGAGTTTACCTCCAGGTATGATTGAACACATGCCTGCAAGATGACTCGTTAACTTTTGATTGCGAGCATAGCCAGTATTGGTGGCACTATTTTGTCGATGAAATGTATGCTCCGCAACCGGTCCCGTGGATGTGAAATTGTTACCACGTGGGCCTGAAGGAGGACCTTGACCCTGTGCAACAGCAGCCATAATTCCACGACGGGGCGGAGCCCCTGGCCAGATGGTATCTCTAACGTTTGATCCCCCACGAGGACGAGTTGGGGCGGCAAGCAAAGAAATATTCGGACTTCGACTTTGTGATAATAGTGACTTGGACCCATAGGAAGGCCCTGATGGCGGTACTTGACTCATTGAGGTGTTGTAGGCCTTTGGTTGGGTTGGAATAATGCCAGTTGCATGTGCATGTGCGTGATTCGTGAGATCAGAATCCATGTGCTGGTTGGTCACAGGCCGCGACATTTCACGATTTTCTTCTTGTCCTTTTCCTAACGGTGAATTGGACCGCTCTTCGACCAAGAATTTATGATGTATCTCGTTATGACCTGAGGACCTATATCTTGTTGGGAATGTACGCTCATGGATAGGAGATGAATGACCGGAATGCCTAGAAAAACGTTCATATGAAGAATATTGTGTGATAGGTGAGCGCGTCTCTGGGTCGAACGGGGCTAAGTTGGATTTATCAGTAGGCGACGAGGGACGCCTGGAATTTACAACCGAAGTCGGCGCAGTATAACGGGTAAACGACCCCTCTCTCAAAGGAGATGTCGACCGACGTTTTGGCGTAATTTCTTGTTGACGTTCACGGTGTCCTTGGAAAGGGCTTCGAGTGCGAAAATTTATCGAGGCGCGTGAACTGTATTCTCGTAAAGCGCCGCGCTTTGGAGGTGAGTCGGCTCTCGAATATTTCTCACTGGTAAAACGCTCTCTCTTTGGGAATCTAAAATCTTGACTGGGCGGCGACGCCTCCCGCGGCCGTAATGAAGTAGTCCGATCCCATGAAGTATCGCGAGATCGACCATCGTTGAATGGAGACCTAGAGCGCCAGAATACGTGCCGCGGAGACCTTGGCCTTTCATCTCGTCGAGGTGATGGTCTTCTAGGAGGGGAACGCGTCCTCCGATAGGACGCCTGGCCGCCATCTCTACTGTAGAATGAAGGACTCCGAGAACGACGCCGCAAAGCTGGAGATCGGCTTCGGAAGCGGTCATAAGTTCGACTAGCCGATGGTACCCATGTATCAGCAACAAGGCGAGGAGAATGCGTCCGTGGAGGTGATCTGGCGTGCCGGATGTAGTTTCGTGGAGGAGAGCGGCGTGTTCTAATCGAGCTGATGGGACGATAACTTTCTCCCCCGCGACGATCATCAAATCTGGTGCTGTACGTGTCACTAACCGCAACCAGAGCTGTTATATTGGACGGAACAAACCTACCTTCTATTGCGATCCCAATCCATATTGAGCTGATGGCTGCGGATATTGAAAGGAGTACGCAATTAGTTAACTGACTACTACCGAAAGATTATTCAGCCTTAAAAATTCCAGACCGCCTTGACAGAACCACCAAATCAGACATATTATTATTCTACTGCATTTTGCGCATACAACTTGTTTCCATCCCATTGATTCCGTACTAAACGCCGAAATAAAAATCCAGAAGGGGGATAAATAGTAATGACAGAAGAAACAGAAAGTGAAAGCAGTGAGGGACGAATACCTAATTCTTAGTGCCTGACTCGTCTCTCCTCCTCTTTCCTAAGCCTTTTTCGACTTTCCTGCGCAATCATGTCACTGAGGTCCTCTTGGAATTCCCAACCAGGGTGATGCCCTTGCTGTCTCTGAGATTCGTATAAACTCTGCAGGTTTTCTCTGCTCATTCCATCACTGGCCTGCAGTGAATCTGGATCCACGGACACATCGACGTCACCAGGTTTCTTACGCTTCCGGTTATGCTCCTCAGCTCCAAGCACAGGAAGATCATCCGAGGCGACGTTCAAGTTATATACTTTGTCACCCCCAAAAAATCCCTGTATGTGAGTTTGTCTCTCTGGGATAACCTGGAAGGCACTTCTCGGTTGCGTAGATTCTTCTGTTCGCGTTCCACGGTGATGTTTACGCACGTCGAACTCACCAGTTGCATTCTCGGCCCCTGAAAACTCGGATGGGACAACTGAGGCCACACCGCCCGGTGTTTCAAGCCCACTAGGTGTTTGCAATCCGGTATCCATGAGCTGTTCTGCAGTCTCGTCTTCACCTTCTTCTTCTTCGTCGTCGTCGTCGTCGTCCTCCTGTTCTTCATCTTCGCTCGCCTCGTCTGATTCTTCTGGTGCCTGTAGTTCGCCCCATAAATCTCTCTCAACGGGTTCACCTTGCTGCATGTTTTGCTGGGGTTGAAGAACACCAAATATGTCACCGCCATAAAGAGGCCTGTTATGCTCATCGACTGGAGGTTTTCCGTATCCTCCAGGGTGGTAACCCCACATGGCACCGGGAGGTGGTGGGGCATTAAGGCCTGGAATCTTGAGGGCAGGATATGATGGCGGTGGTCCATATCGCTGCTGGTTGATTAACCAGGGAGGCGGGGCACCCGGTGGCATGTTGAGTGCTTCTTTCAATTCCTGACTCAGTTCACCTGGGCGCAAGTGTCTAAGGTTTGTTTCGTATTCTTTGCCTTCATAGTAGACTTCACCATAGCGAGTGAGTTCGGGCTTTGTCTGAAATCGGAAGAAAGCTTCATATAACTTTTGATAATCGATATCCAATCTTCCAATCTTGGGCTGCACTCTTTCCCTCGTTTTTTGCTTCAGAGTCGATTGTTCTTGTTTTTCTAAAGCAGCATCGCGCATCTCTGAAATTCCTGTCTCCTGAATGAACTTGGGCAGCGAAAATGGCGGCTTCTCAACTCCCCTTTTCGATGAAAGATATTCGCGTTTCAAGGACCAGTGAGAAGGCACGGGAACAACATTCCGATGAGCCTTTATGTGAACGAGAAGGCGGGGGTCGGGGGCTGATGTATCTGTCCACTCGACTATCTCTGGTTTTCGGACCATTGCCTTCAACTCAGCTACCGAGAGCTTATTCATTTCTTTGCGCTTCCTCTTCGACAACTTTGGCTCGCCCTCATCTTCATCCGGTATCTCATTGTCATCATCGAAATACACCTCAGGTTTTTCGTGTTCCTTGACAGGCGATGTGTCGCTTTCGGCTTCGTCAAACCTATGGGCGATACCTTGATAAATCTGCCACAAAGGATCACCAGCATCGGGCGAGAATGTTGACTCGCGCAGGGCACTGCTATCATGAATGTTCACTGCTGAAGACCTCTCTTCCGGCTGAGCTCCAGTAGCAAGTGAGTCTTGATTTTCTTGCGTGGTCTAGAAAAGTTAGCTTTCTCAACTTGTTGGAAAGATAATCGCGCATAAACTTACATCGAATTTTTGAGCCTTTTTCTTCGCTCGCCTCAGTTGATTTTTGCTTGGCTTCATTGTAATTAATATTTTCTTTGCTAACCCAGTATGTGCAGTGGAAATAATGCTCAAACTGTTCATTAATATTACATGGGTGGAGATAAGCAGCCACCGCCTTATCACGTGATATACTAGTTAAAGTACTGTACAGAGTAGTATTCTACTCCGTATTCTGCATTACATAGTTACATCGAGTTACTAAATTTCGAGGATCATAGTTAAGCCAGACTTTATGGATGCAGTTGATAGAGATATATGGGAGATACGCTACTTCTTCTTCTTTGCTGTTCGGGACTCTATATGCACAGGTTAGTATGTATTAGGGCTAGCGCCAGAGAAAGGAAAAAGACGTATATGTATCATGCAGCAATAAGACTTACCTGCCGCTGTTCTCTTTTTCTTTGGTCTGCCCTTTCCTCGAGATTTCGCACTGGAGAGTACAATGAGCATTGAAGATGATGAGGCTGTGAAAAGAGAGAGCATACATCTGAATGGCTTCTTCTCTATCGTCCTCGGCCTCATCAAACATGGTTAAACCAAGTGGCCGATATGTATCCTGCAGATCTCGAAAAGAGACCGTCTTCCTGGGATACCATGCTGCAAGTGCCGGTCCTCGCAATCTTTGCCTCAGGATCTTGTTTCCTAAGCGGAGTCTCTCGGGATTAAAATTCTGGGAGAATATGCGACATTGTGTCTAATAATAGTTAGAGGTATTTCTAAAACATAAAAAAGGGGGGAAGGCAGGGAAGCTGAGATATTGGACCAGCATACCTTAACAAGATCTAATATCCGATGACGCGGTATTTGCATGATTGGGTGCTAGTGTATAAGGCCATGTAGCGAAAAGGGAAAAGAGTATGGAGCAGATATGAAAACATATCACGTGATTGGTACCGTAAAAACCATCTTTTTGGGGCACATTAATAACAATTTATTACTATGTGCACTGTCTGCCTCATGGATATAAAAAGAAAATCAATCTTCTCGCCGCCTACAAGCAGCCAAGAAAAAAAGACCAAGGTAAAAAGAAAGAAAGAAAGAAAGATGAAGCAATTTTGAATATTATATTGCCCAACACTTCCTGCGCACTCACTAACTTTTATTGTCAAGACCTCTCATCAAAAAAATGAGTCAGATGTTCTATTAGACCATTTTCCATCTGGAAATAATAATACACGGTTCCCCCTCAACACATTGGAAAAGCTACTCGGGGAAATTATAGACAGTCCCCATTCCACACAGAATCGTACCTCTGCAGCTGGTTCGGGAGTGGTGAAAGCTGCTGCTGAACTGGCTAAGGCACTCAAAATTGCAAGAATTTCACCAAACGCATCTGTTCATACAGTTGACTATAATATTGACTATATGCACCGGGAAAATTTACATGATGCATCTAACATCTTGGAAGGCGAAAGCGGCTTACCGGTCTTGCCGCTCATTCTAGATGAGGGTCTTCAAAAGGCCGTCTTCACACACCCTGGCTTGGACAACAACAATAAGACGACCTACGACAGACTTGAAATTCTCGGGGATGCATACATTGAATTGATTGCTACCAAGTTAGTATGGGACAAGTTTCAGGATATCCCGTCTGGTCGCATTTCACAGATCAGGGAACTCTTGGTGAAGAATGAGACTCTTTCTGAATATGCAACAAGATACGGGTTTGATCGCAGAGCCTCTGTGCCCCAGGGCTATCTAGATCAGCCGAAACGATGGACCAAGACTAAAGGCGATATCTTCGAGGCTTATGTGGCTGCTGTCATACTATCTAACCGGGACGGGGGCTTCAAACTAGTCGAGTCATGGTTGACGCAGTTATGGCTACCAAAACTTACGGAACTCGGAATTCAAAAATCGACCCTGCAAGCGAAAGAGGCCCTTTCAAAGAAGGTCATGGCTAAAGGAGTCAAACTCGACTATATTGATGAACTTCCACCGGTCGCGTCAAAAGGGGGGATGCAAACCTTTTTTCTTGGTGTGTATTTTACCGGCTGGGGATGGGATAGAAAGCATCTGGGTTCCGGTCAAGGCCGTAACAAAGCAATAGCTGGGGATGAGGCAGCAAAACAGGCGTTACGAAACAACCCGTTGATTGACGAAATCGCTGAGAAAAAGAGGCTTATCGGAACAGAAACGAAGACAAAAAGCAGGGTCGACTAAGGTATGATGTATCGATGCTGGCTATCACTACGGTCTGGTTTTTGAAGAGGTAAAAATGAAACGTTATAGGAAACATTTGAGCCGGCCGACGCGAAGCTGCGAATGGTATTAATGTCCATGACCAACCGCTTACTAGATAAAGGGCATGGCTGTGGTTTTGGATCTATTAGATGCTCTAGTATAGGAGTGATTCTGTAAAACCTCCCAATACAGATTAGGGCCCCAGGCCCTGGACACACTTTATAGCAAGAGTCACCTGGCTCCCACCAGCAATCAATCTTTAGTTAGATCATATCACCTTTGAATAACATTCTACTCTTTCCTCTGCTCATTAATGTCACTATATATGCTTAATTATTAATATACTATTCCACTTTTATAACCTATATTCACACGATTCTAATTGGTCTTCATTATAATAGTCTAATAAAAACTCTATACTATGCCTCTTAAGCATACACTCTTTAAAAGTAACTATTTAAGATATAGAGTAACTTAGACTGATCTTAATCATATTATAAAGAGCTTTTAATTTAGTTATAATGCATTCATTACTTAAGCTTATAATCAAGAAACTAAGAGTAAAAAGCACATGGCCAGTATATATATCAAAAAGAACTAATTAGTTATATAGTCTTTAGCTAGAGATATTCAATTATTTTAATTCTGACACCTACTAGTCTTAGAGTATAGGAAACTACCGTTAGATAGAAAATAAAATTTAAAAAAAAAATATTTGTATATTCTAATCCCTGAGTTATATGTCTAACTCTTACTCCGGAGCACACGCTCAATCGATCAATATATGATTCCTTATACATATGCCCCCCCGATTGCTTAACTAGTAGAATTCTGACTAGATGCTCAACTAGATCCTTGACTATATGCTTGATTGAACGCTTGATATCCTTGATTATATCTATAGAGGTATTTTTGCTCACTGACTCCATTTCCTTAAGAAATCACTCTAGATATTAAGGTATTTATATCAGTGAGGCCAGCCTTGCTTCCCTTTTATTTAATAATGATGTTAATAATTAATTAGTCATATATAATGTTAACCTAAAAAATTATATTTCTGGTTAGGACATGTTCTTTAATATATATTCTGAGTTTAAAAAGTCGATATTAATGTGATTCTAGATTTAGTTGTATATAATAGAGATGAATTAATTACACCATTAGATTAAGAATACTACCTCAAATCCTATTTATACATATTTATGCCATTATTTAGGTCTACATTAATCAATAAATTTAATAATATGCATCCTCTTCTCCCTTTTTATAGAGTTTACTCTTATGAATATGCAGTTGACTTCAGCTGCTATATTTAATTTAATACCTACTGAAATTTCAAAACAGCTGCTTTACTAAACACCCCTATTTCTATTTTATTATCTTCAATGTTCTCACCTGGAAATAAATTGATACTTATACTGGGTTTTAAATCTATTGCTCAGTTGATATAATTATCATTCTAGAGGTTCTTTAAGATGCTTTTATAGAGAAATTCTCAAAGTCTGAGGCTTTTCTTAACTCCATTGCTGATTTTTCTAGTAATATGCATGGAAAAACAAATTGATCACTATAAGTAAAAAGTAAATACTGATGTTACTCTCTCTCATCACTGACAAAAAAGCTGTACTTAACTAATTGACTAAATATATTTCTAAGGCTGAAAATAAAATTAAAAGCTATATTACAGCATATCCTCTTTACTATTAACTAATGCGCATCACTCTTAGACTGGAAAATGCTCTATAAAATGGAAGACATCATCATCAATGCGCATCACTGGTGATCACATGACACCAGACAGATCACCTAACACCAACTTAGGGCCAATCAGAGAAGAGATAATTGTAATATTTGCTTTTGTGGTTATTGGCCAATGAGAGACAGAATCTGGTTTTGCATTTTGAGCCCCTAGCATTTGCTCCGCTATCGCTTCGCAAATAATCCTCTCCTGTCCACAGTTAAAAGACCTATAAATAGGCTTAACCGACCCCTCCGCCTAGTCTCCGGGGTCGCGCGGTATACGCGACCCCGTCAGCCCAGCGGTCAGGGTCAGCTCAACGAGCAGTTAGAAAAAATTCCCGTATTTTCAATTAAACGCATTTTTATTCAACCACCGCCATGTCTAAAGAATATAATGAATATGAAGCTAAAATGCAAAAGGCCATTGACGCGCTCCAAGATGAAGAAAAACCAAAATTTTCAAAAACTGCGCATGGTGTGTCAAGGCAGACTCTCTCATCAAGATGGAAAGGCTGGAATTCCAGGACTACTCGGCCACGGATGAATACAAAGGTCACTGAAGCCCAAGAACATGCTCTACGCCAGTATATTGACACCCTTGACCGATTTGATGCTCCCCCTTGGCCAAAAATGATTGAAAAATGTGCCAATTCCATCCTGAATTCCGCCCACATGGATCCTACAACACCCCCACCAACAGTTGGTGATAAATGGCTCAAACAGTGGCTCCGGCGCAAATCGCAATCCACAATACTTCCGGGAAGAAGACAAGGGCTATAGATGCTGATCAGAAACATTCCCATGATTATTCAACTATCAATAGTTGGTTTGAATTGCTCCAGCATACAGTTGAGGAACACGGTGTGGTTAGTGAGGATATATGGAACTTTGATGAGACTGGATTCCAAATTGGGGTGGGAAAGGACCAATGGATTGTCACCCAGGATCGTGATAAAAAGCGCTACACTGGTAGTAATACTAACTGTGAGCATGTCACGGTAGTAGAGGCTATCAACCCAGCTGGTTCCTTCATACCACCATTCATTGTAATGCCCGGCCGGTGTCATCTAGCTGGCTGGTTTGATTTTACAGAGAAAGGAAGTGCTGTTGCTGTTTCAGAGACAGGTTATCTAAATGATGAGTTTGCCTTTCAATGGATTCAATACTTCAACCGGTCAACATTAAGGTCTAAAAAAGGCCACTATCGACTTTTCCTTTGTGACGGCCATCACTCACATATTACCTATGAATTTGTGGATTTTTGTGAAAAGAATGAGATTATCCTCTTTCTCTTACCTCCACATACAAGCCACCTGCTTCAGCCATTAGATGTTGGCGTTTTCCATGCCTTTAAACACTGGCATAGTGAGGCTATTGCAGATGCAACCCAAACTGGATGTGGGAAGTTTACCAAGATTGAATTCCTGGCTGCACTATCAACTATACGGCAAAAAACATTCAAAAAACGTACAGTGACGCATGGATTTAGCTTGACTGGCATTCATCCATTTGATCCTGATGTTGTGCTTGATAAACTAGCAGAAGACTGTCCTGCTACTCCTCCTAGCTGTGAAAGTAGTATGGAGTCATTCAGCTCTGGAAGCACACCCAAAACTGCCAGAAAATTTGCACTGCAAGGAAACATTATTACTAGCTATCATGCTGAGGGTATTCCTTTCAAATCACGGCTTGATAAGCTACTAAAGGCTAGCATCTCACAAGCCCATTTGGCGGAGGAATTGGAACAGGAGATACAACAATCTACACAGGCTCAGCGTGCAAGAAGGGAGCGAGCTGGCGCCTCAAGACAACATCTACAGACAGGGGGGGTTGTATATAGTGATGAGGTATCAAGGATTTCATGGATTAAGAAAGAAAATTATGAAAGGAAGGAAAGAAAGATTCTCCGGAGGAAGTGGAAAGAAGTCATGATTGAGCTTGTTGACTATGCCCTGGACCGTGGTATCATTGTGAAGCGATCAAGGCTATCTAGGGGAAGATAGTGGTGTCCAAAAATTATTTATATATAAAAATAATTAGTATAGAGCCATGTATTGATGAAATAT